AGATGCGACCACGTCATCAGCTTCCACCGCCGCCGACTCCTCATTCGTCTGGCCAGTCGTCGGACCTTCCCCAAAAGTTACGAACACAAACCCGTGTTCCTGACGCAAGATCTCCGGTTGACAGGTGAACTCGATTATGGATCCCTTATAGAACCCTTTAAGAAACCCTCACATTAAAGGAACCCTACAGCTCCACACCCTAAACCCTTAAAGGAACCCCCTACACTCATAGTACAACATAGCCTTAATGAACCCTAGAACCTCAAAGCCCCAAACCCTAAACCCTAAAACCCTCAAGTCCCTAGACCCTAGCGCGTTGGACGGTCTACTATAGAATTAAGCCTTAAGTAACAGTTAGAACCCTAAAACCCCGTAAATTACAGTATAGTGAGCCCTAAACCCCCCAAGCCCTAAACCCAGAGCCCGGAATTCCCGGCCTCCTCTGCATCTTTGGCAGCTGAGGCGGACACACCGCGGGCATAGAACGACTGCCTCCGAGGCGTCGCAGGGTGACCGTTGTAGCTAGGATTTAGGGTTTAGAATTCCTGTCAGTTGTAACTGTACTTGGAGGCCCTTTTGACTTAGTAAGTCTACTTAGTATCCCCTAGAAACCCTATTAGAAACCCCATAACCCACCTTACTAACCCTACTTACTAAGTCCCCCGACCCTCCAAGAAGGGATCACTACAAGGGTTTCATATAGCGGCCTTAACCATGGACTGTTGTAGGTTTGGGGGAGTTGAGATGTGAGTTTGGGTTGAGGGTTTTAGGCAGTTCTAGGGCTTCCTCAGTTGCACAATAGAGGGGCCGTACTTAAAGGATCATGGGACTTAGTAAGAAGGTTATAATTGGGGTTATAAGTCCCCTAAGTGGGGTTATCCTAACTATAACCTACTTATAACCTTACTTACTAAGTCCCATGAGCCTCCAAGTAATGATTCGAATAGAATTTTGGTGGTAATTACCAAGCTAACGCAGCCGCTTGCGTTGACGAGACTTACCTTTGGTTAGTAGGGAATGGAGGAATCGGGTACAATTATACTGCTACTACCATTCTTCCATTCCCTACTAACCAAGGTAAGGAGAAGGACACGCTGCGACTCTCAGCTCTTGAACAGTCAGGAGATGACAGCCCATCAAAGGGGAGGAGGAGGGACCCTTAATGGTGACCCCTACCCTGTAATGGGGCTATATAATGGGGTTTATAATAGCTATATTAAGCGTATATACCTAGGGGTCCTTAGGGTCCCTCCTTTTACCCTTGGAGCCCAGACGCCACCGACAACGTGGCTTCTATGGTCACCGAAGCCTTGGCAACATGACGGCACAGCATGGCTTCTACGGTGACGGTGCTTGCTTCGCCGCCGCCGGGTGCAAGAGCCATCAGAGGCACGTGCCCGCACCAATGCGAGAAGCGGTACCGCGACAAGCGGCCTTTTACAAAGGCGCAGGTGGCATCCACCTGGCGGAGTGGCATCACTGCGGGATCCGCGATTGAGGGGTTTGCCGTCTGCAGCACGTGACTTCGTCGACGATGCAGCGTCTGACTCATCCCGAGAAGCTCTGGATTGCTGATTGGAGGCATCTCCCTGACTCCTGACGGCTGAGAGGAGGCAAGGCCCTAAGCCGTCTTAAACCCTAAACAGCCATAAAACACTGATTCTGAGCCCTACGCTCACTCGTAAACCCTAAAGCCCTTAAACCCCTGAAGCCCTAAACCCCTCACTCCTAAACCCTAAACTAGGAGGTTCCGGCTTGCTCCCCGCAGGGTGACCAGGGCGGATTTTGGGGCCCACTATATTCTAGTTCATATAATGAACCCGCAGAATAGGTAATATGAACGCCTCTCCTCGACAAAGTATGCCATCATGGGGGGCTTGCTAGAGGCCTCATATTAAAGCATAGTCTGTAAATGAGTCTTCTTCCTGGATAGCAAAGGCACTTGGATCCTTAGGCTACTCTACTGTGGACCCCAGGTAATTAACTGGGTCCCGTTGCGAGCACTACTAGCACGAGCTTATCATAATGCCTCACAAGGTAGCGGTGTGTCATTGTCAGGGCCCTGAGTTTCGGTAAATGGGTCCGCTTTGCAATGTCGCGGATAAACCCTAACCCTGGAACTAACTACTTAAAGGATCATGGGACTTAGTAAGTGAGCTATAATTGGGGTTATAAGTCCCCTAAGTGGGGTTACCGTAATTATAACCTAACTATAACCTTACTTACTAAGTCCCATGATCCTTTAAGTACCCTATCACCCTTCGGCACCGTAAGTCCTAAAGGCGTCCAAAAACTAAAACCTTGAGCCCAACTACGCTGAAACCCTAACTGATTAAGCAACCTTGGGCGTTTATGAGTGTTCCTTATCCCAGAGGCTCAATATATAGTACTATTATGGAATTAGGTCCCAAAAGACCATCCATGTCATGGCTTTGGGGACCTAATTCCATACTGGCACTATGTATGGAGCCTCTGGGTTTATGAACCCTACTATTTTAAGGTTATACAGTAGAAGCCCGAAAGTTGGAAACCCAATAGCCTCAATCCTTTAGAGCAGTGTATAGAGAGGCCTTAATCCGTTTTCCAACTCTATGGGGTTTACTGTAGGCCCAGGGTCGCTTAATCAGGTTCCGACATGAAACCCCAACGCCCTGAACCGAACACCCGAAAACTAGAACCCGAAGCTTGGATATCCCGGCTACCCTAACGCCCTAACACCCTAACATCTAGGATGCCCAGTAACCTAGGAACAAAAAGGCATCCCTTTTGGTATTGGGTAGCTTTACAAGTAACCTGGGCTACAAAAAAGGAACAGGGGTACCAGTGGGCATCCTAGATATAGGAACCTGATCAAGACACCCCGGGTCTTTATTTGGACTCCTGGAATGGATCCTAATCTTATGGGGTTGCAGAATAAGGGTTTGTGAATCAGTTTCCTACTGCTAGTTTAAACTAAAACCCTAAAACTCTAGACCCTAAAATCCTAAACTCCTAAACCCGTCACCCGAAACTACCCTAAAAGCCCTAGCGACCGAAACCCTAAACCACTAAACCTTAAACCCAAAATCCCAAAACCCTTAACAACCAAAGACCCCTAGACCCTAACGCATTGGGGTCTCTGATCTTTTAATACCTAAACGATTGTGTTCGATTTATAGTATCCCCCAAAAAGTTGAAAACCGGATTAAGGCCAAAGGATGGAGGCTTTTGGGTTTCCAACTTTTGGGCTTCTGCTGTATAGTATACTATAGCCTAAACCCCTATTCTACTTGTTAAGACCCCATCTTTTGGATCTCGAATATAGATCCCTCACAGATCCCTGTAAGAAACCTTCACGGTACTTATGAGGTCCTAGAAGAGGGACCCCTTAATGGGAACTCTGGGCCCCAAAAAGGCATTTAAGCAAAAATTAGGATGGGGATATCCCATGAGAAGCCCCTGATAATGAAGCCCAATAAGGTGAGGATATCCCTATAAAACGCTTATGCTTATATGTCCGTTTCGGGTCCCTCCTTCTTAAACCCTGAACCCAACACGCTAGCACCCTAACCTGCCCTGATAGATCCCTTATAGTGGCCCTTATGGACCACTTTAATGGAATCCTATTCTTAGATTAAACACGCCGAGAGCACCCAGAGCTCCGCCGTGCTCGAGGCCGCGCGCCGGGCGCAGGGAAGTCTGGGCCTCGGAACACAGGGTTTAAGGTTTAGAGATTCTGAGATTAGGGTTGAGGGTTTAGAGATTTTGAGATTAGGGTTGAGGGTTTAGAAATTTTGAGATTAGGGTTGAGGGTTTAGAGATTTTGGGATTAGGGTTTAGAGTTTAGAGTTTAGGGTTCCTTTGACTAAAGGTTACTAGAAGGGTTCCTTTAAGGGATCTGTGGGGGTTAAGGGTTAAGGGTTTAGGGTTCCTTTAAAGGGTACTATAAGGGTTCCTTTAAGGGATCTATGGGAGTTTAGGGTTTGAGGTTTATACGGTTAGGTCTTTAGGGTTCGTTTAAAGGGTACTATAAGGGTTCCTTTAAGGGATCTATGGGGGTTTAGGGTTTAAGGTTTATAGGGTTAGGTCTTTAGGGTTTGTTTGAAGGGTACTATAAGGGTCCCTTTAAGGGATCTATGGGAGTTTAGGGTTTCGGGTTTAAGGTTTTGGGGTTCAGGATTTAAGGTTTCGGGTTTAGGCTCTAGGGGGTATAAGGGTTTAGGATGGTCTAAGGTTTGATTTGGCGGGGGCTGGGTTTACCGCGTTTACTTGTTGGAGGCACTGCTTTTTGTTTGCTTATGTTGCTGTGTGTCTGAGTGCGTACACATGTCTGTCAGAATGCTTGTTGCCGATGGTTTCTGCACCCTTGTCGGCTTGTTGAATCTTGGGGCTCAGGGCTGCGCGAGTGCATAAGTATTGCTTGGAAACTGCCCCCCACTCTGAAACAAGGGGGATGCCAGTAATAATAGTTGACGTCACTGTACTCAAGCGTGCCTACCAATCAGTCGCAATACCCCCACCAGGCTCGCAAGAGGAGCCGCTGGCAGCTGATGTTGAAGTGCATGGTGATGCATGCTCTTATCGTTGCACGTGCACACTGCCCGATGGCGGCACATGCGGTGCAGCATTCAAAACCAAGCAGCAGTTGGCCATGCACATACGGTCCACAAAGGGAGGCACCCATGGCGAGGTGCCTGCGGATGCCAAAGCCACTGTGTCGAATGTCTGTCCATGGTGTAGAGCCATATTTGCCAGCAAACGTGTTGCTAGAACGCACATCCGAATGGCTATCAGCAAACGCAAGTGCAGTGGTAGGTCAAGCAATCATACCTTTACCATTGAACATCCGCAGTCAATGGAGTGTAGCTTCTGTTTGCGGGAACATGAGAATGTGGAGTCATTGCTGGCGTGCATCACTACTCACGTGGCAGGACCATACATCCTTGTTCCGTGAAGTTGGCTTAGACACTCAGCTTGGCAGGACCAACAGTAGAGCTGACCTTCTGTGCCTCGGACGAAGCATGGATTCGTGGCTCAAAGGCCTCCCAGCACACAAGAAAGTCAAGCACCAGGAGCCCAAGCAGGTGTCGACTCATGAGGTTGAAGACATCCGCAACAAGATCATCGATTTGGTGGCCAAGCTGACCCTCAAACACGACCTGGCCATCAGTCAGCTTGAAGCCGCTACCTTCCGCACCATCTTGAGTACCAGGGACGACCCATACCTCATCGAGCACCAAAACGCAGTGCAAGAGTTCATAGCGAAGACGCAGCACTTGCACAAGGGCAACCCGGAGGGCAAGGACGCACGAGCTAACCAGACAAGAACGGAGGATGAAGGAGAGCCGCACATCTACGGTTGGTCTGCCATGATCTTGGCCGCCATCACAGACGAGTCGGCCCCCAAAGACTCGCAAGAGATTTTGAAGAAGCACGCCGAGAGCATTACTGACCCCAAGATGTTGTTGGATCTAGTCTTCGTCTGCCGCACCAGACGCTGCTACGACAAACGCCAGCTTCGGGTGCACTTCTCTGTGCATCCCTCCTTGGAGCCAGTTTTAGCTGCTCTCACCAAGTGCTTCGTCAACAGGGGCGCTAAGTTGAAGCGGGGTCTACCACCGAAGAGTGGGGGAGCCAGAGAGTTGCAACGCCTACTGAGTGAGCTAGAGGGAATAGGCCTCTGAGTTTGTTCGTGGGTGCGATGCACCAGAAGTATGCCGTAGATCAGTACAGGGCGCTCTGAGACGTAGAGCGGGGGCAGATCTGGCAGCTTCTGAGCTGCGTGTCGCCAGACAGGTCGTGCGCAGACAGGTTCAACTGTTTGCAAGACTTGCCGCTCAAAGGCAAGGAGTTTGAATATGTACCGAGGCCGTAGGATGCCTCCTGCTCAGGCATTAGTCAACGCTGACTGAGAGACCTGCCGTGAATGAATGAATGAATGAATAATAGTGGCAGTACATAAACCCTAAACCCTCAACTAAACCCCAAAGCCGACCCTGGCTATACCCCCTACAGAACCATAATAAACATGCCCATTTTGATATTCTCTTGGACATTATATAAACAAAAATGAAGAACGTTCCTAAGGAGTCCCTAAACCCTAAACCCCCAAACCCTAAACCCGATACCCTAAACCTAAACCCTAAACCTGTAGCTGGGGGGTAGGAGCATCCTTCGGTGCAGTGTCCTTCTTACGGCCGGAGCCTGGGGAGCTGGCATTGCTTTCTGCAAGGTCTACCTGGACCCTGAGGAACGCTGCCTTTTTGAGATTAGGGTTTAGGGTTGAGGGTTTAGGGTTCAGGGTAGGGTTCCTTACTATGACTGAATGAAGTAAGTCTTTCAAAGGGTAGGTTATTTGCAGATATTCTAAACACACCTTCAGCCGTCAGTGACAAGGAGCCCTAAACCCTAACCTTCAAACCCCAGACCCAAAGCCCCAAACCCTAAACCCTGAACCCAAAACCCAACGCCCTCACGAATTACCTCGGCCCTGTTGTTCTACACCGTTGGATTCGGTGATGGGATAATAACCTGTCTCAGGGAACCTGAAAAGAAATGCTGGGACAATAATCACCTGAAGCGTTTTTGCTCTTGCAAACATACTCTCTCCAATAGACACGGAGTCGAAGACTATGGAGAGTGGAGATCCCAAAGACTCCAATATCCCTTAATCAAGGAATATACATTAAATCTTATTAGGGATCCTACTATAACTTAAGGTATATTCCTTAATTAAGGGGTATTGGACTCCCTGGAGATAAAACTCCCGGGCCGGCCAACCTCTCGAAGAGGGCATCCGATTGCAGAATCTCAAAGCATTTTCCCTAAGGCTCCATGTACCCATATAATATAGCATATACTTAGGCCTTAAAGTACCTACATAGGGACCCCTTGAAAGCTGAAGTATCTACTATAAAGCTACATGGAACCTTTGGGTTTTGCAGACACAAATTCACAGAGTCTCAGAACCTGCTTCGATGCAAACTTTTCTCCGACGTCGACGGCATGTAACCGGAGTTTCTGCAGCGACTGGACGAATTCATCGCCGGGCCTGGCATGACAAGAGTTGTGGATGGCCTCACGGACAAGCACTGTGAGGACTCTGTTGCGGTGTTCCATCTTGGATTCCACCTCTTGCGCGTCCTTCTTGGAAGCCAGCAAAGGAAACCCCAAAAGGGAATCCGATAAACACTCCCTCAAAGTAACCCTTGTGAACCCTAAAGGAACACCTGGAGGGAACCCTGATAACAAAACAAAATTTGAGGGAACCCTTAAGCAACCCCATCAGTCGAACCCGTAACGGAATCCGTATAATCAGTCAAACCTTAAGTGTTTCGGACAATTTTTTTTTTGGGGGGGGTTACTGTATTTTGGGGTCCTTACATAAAGGATCCTACTATTTCGGCTACTACCCCTATTTTCGGAAACTCCCTGATGGGGCATGCACTATTTGTATCATCAACCATAGGAGTGGTTGTCAAAATTATGGTCCCTTTTTGGGTACCTACTTAAAGGATCACGGGACTTAGTAAGTAGGTTATAATTGGGGTTATAAGTCCCCTATGTGGGGTTATCGTAATTATGACCTACTTATAACCTTACTTACTAAGTCCCATGATCCTTTAAGTAATATAATACGGCACCCAATATTTGGGGTGCCCAAAAAGGGAACCCAATTTTGACAACCAGCCACAGGAGCCCCGACCAAAGTCATCCAAACTTCGGCGCATGCTCTGCAGCTGGTCCTCCAATTGCAGGATCACGGGGTGACTTAGTCTACTGTAACTAGGTTTAGGGTTAGTTTGGGGGTTTAGGGGTTTATGATGCCCAGTAACCCAGGAATAAAAAAAGGGCTCCCTTTTTGGTATTGGGCAACTTTACAAGGAGCCTGGGACTACCAAAATGGAAGAAGGGTACTACTGGGCATCCTAGGTGAAGGGGTTTCGTAATGGGGTCCTTGAAGGGTTCCTTATATTAAACAGATCTATAAGGGTTCCGCAATAGGGGGTTTTAGGGTTGCTTAGAGGAGCATGGGACTAAGTAAATAGGTTAAGGCACAGGGCAACTTTGCTGAACGATTACTTACAACCTCAAATAAAATACTAACAACCTTACTTACCAAGTCCAGTGAGCCGGTCCTCCAGCGCTTCAATTCGTGCCTGAACGGGCTTTGGGCTTGGGGTTAGGGTTTTGAGGCTTAGGGTTGAGTTTAGAGTTTGGGGTCTAGGGGTTATAGGGTTTGAAAATTAATTACGGTTTCGGAAGGCTGTAGGGTCTGGGGAAGCGATACGGGTCAAGGTTTAAGGTTTTGGGGCTTATCATCCACGGCCTGCGTTGAGAATCTGCGCATTTCATATTTAGGGGTTTAGGGCTTGGATAAAGCCAAAGTGGCCCTAATATAACACTGACACCTGGACCCTTGAGGTTAAGCTTGCAAAGCGGTCGGGTGTTTGTGGTAAGATTCTCGAAGTGTAATCTTTTGTCGGATTTCAGGTCCCTTTCTGTTCGGTTTAGGGCTTAGGGCGTGGAAGGTTAACTCGTCTAGCTCGCCTGAGCTTGAAAGCTTTCAAGCTTTATCCAATGGCTCCCAATGCAGGCAAACCCTAAACACTAACCCCTAAACCCTAAACCCTAACCCCTGAACCCTAAACCCTAAACCCTAAACCCTAACCCCTGAACCCTAAACTAAGCGAGGGGCCGAAACCGTCGAACGACAGGCCCCGAGCGCTCGGCCGAGGGCCTAACAGCCCGAGCGCCCATACGGAAAGAGAGACGGAAAGGCGAGGGTTAAGCCTCGCCGCCTGTCCTGGACAGGCCAACGAATGTGGCCTTGCTTACGACAACGTCCGAACTCAATTAAGGGCTGGCCGTATCCAGACCACCTTTAGCGTAGCTAAAGAGTAATTAACCCCAAATCGTGAACCATTGACTCTGGAGGGCGCTTAGGATTCAGGATTTAGGGTTTAGGATTCTAGGATTTAGGGTTTAGGGTGTAGCATTGGTCGGCTGAGCGCAGTAGTATGCAGACATGCCCACCCCAAGACCACCCAAACACTACTCACTGCGAACCAAACCGCAGCCAGCCCAACCAAGCCAGCCTCATTATTCAAGTTTCAACACTTTGCGTCGAATCCAGACAGGGCGACACTGGGCAAAAAAATGGCGGCGGGCGACGACAACGCATCAACTCATGCCCATGTATGCTGTTGACAGGCCTCGCTAGAGGCAGCTGCACAGCAGGAGCTCTTCTGTTTTTTGACACAGCAAGGTTTGTTTGATGAATTATCAATGGAAACCATAGGGCAGGACTGTGCTACGACTTCCCGCCTGCTGTGGCTTGCAAGCAAAACAAGGATATGCTCCGCAGACAGGAAAACGACAAGTGCAAGTACAGCATACCAGAGACTTTGTACCTAACCAGTGTTTGCAGTAGCCATCGTCTGCGATGCAAATACTCAGATCTTGAACCAGACGCTGGCTTGGTGCACAGGCGTCTAGCTTTGATCTCGCCAGCAAACGGAAGCTCAGCGCAAGAAAGCACTCAGAAGGTCACATTGCGGGAACGAAGTGTTCGGCAGTGATGCAGCCGCCTAGCAGGTAGTCGCCGTCGTGTCGCACACGAGACAAGGCCACATACCCCGCTGCAGGGCAGCCCGGCCGATCTGGCCAGAAGGTGACGTGGCGGAGTTCGGCGCCCTGGAACTTGTGCACGGTATCTGCGTACCCCAACCGCATCGGATAGTAGGTGATGTAGCCGCCCGGGCAGCTGTCGTCGGCCACGGGGTAAACACAGAGGGTTTCGGCTGTCTCCGTTTCCACGATAACCGCACCTCGGCGCGAGTCGAAGCTGTGGATCGTGGCCGCCATCCCGTTGACGAAGTCATGGGATTTGTCCATATTCCGCGTTAGACGTACGCGGAGGCCTGCGTAGAGGGTGAGGCGGGAGGGCTCCGGTAGACCTTCCTTCAAGACACCAGTCTCCTCGTCGTAGTTGGCAGGATTGCTTTCCCAGTCAGCAGCAATCTGGCCTAAAGCTGGCTGGCCTTGACCTTGGAACAGCACCTCTTGAGCAAGGGCATTAACGAGCGCAGCGCCTCGGCGAGTGCAGGTGATAACTGTCGTATCTCCAGCCGTCGTCTGCATCAGCATGCGAACGTCCTCCGCCATGGGTTGGTGATGCCTGGACCACGCTTTATGATTGCGGCAAAGGTCACGCACGAAGCATTGGCCTTCCTGTCCCAACGGCCTGTTTTTGCGAAGGAAGGCCAACTTGTGGAGAAGAGGGTCTTCGCAGTGCTGGCGCCAAACGTGGTGGAGCTCAATCTTGTGGACAAGGTTCCACTTGGGATGCCAGACCAAGCTCCGTTTGGTGCGATCAGGCGGCGGCAGCTGCCACTCATCGCCAGCGAACACCAAGCACGGCACCTTGCCGGAGGCGAGCCACATCTCGTGGAGCCGCTCAAAATGCTCCTCGAAGAGCTGGGGGGCTTCGTCGATAACCACGAGGTCATAGCAAGTGAGGACCCCCATGGCCTCTGCAAGCGGCTTGTGGAACAAGAAAGCTCCGTGGCACGTGTCCAATTCCGCTTCGGGATGGCGCTGCTTCATGCGCACTCGTTGCACGCCGGTTGGCAAAGCGATAAGAACTCGCGCCCCGAGGCGCTGGGCTCTTCGAATGCAACGATCCAAGACGGCAGTTTTGCCCGTGCCGGGGGCACCAGAGCAGGCGACCATGGAGCCATGCTCCTCGATAATAGCAGCCAAGCGCTCGTACTCTCCATCGTCTGCTTCTGCCCGGAGTCGCAAGGCCTGATCCACGCGCTTGTTGATGTTGCGCTCAAACGAGGCTTGCTCCGTAGTGAAAACCAGGTCATCCGCCCTCTCTTCGAAAAGGTCCTCAAGACTTCGAGGCACGGCGACATTCTCCGTGCGCTGCAGCTGGCCAGAGAGGTGCTGCTGGATGAAGAAGTCTTGAGCTCGGATCCTGTGGATGACGGTTTCGATGAAGGCCTCACGGTGTGCACGGAGAGCCATAAAGTCACGAACGCGCGCCTCGTTGCGCCAGAGCTCCGGGGCCCAATGCAAGGCGCAGGCGAGGAACTTGACTTGCTCGGGGACGGCCTGAACGATGTCCGGGAGCAAAAGATCCTCGAGGCGCTTATAGGGAATGTGGAGTGCCATCCACTGCCCGAAGAACTTGTCGTTCTGCATGGAGACCATTTCTGCGGCGATGATCTTCTCGCCGAATGTTTCATAACGCAGCGCGAAAGTGTGCAAGCTGATGGAACCGTCCGTCTTCAAGTAGGCCTTGCGGATGTGCTCCAGGATGCTGCCCTTCTTGTTGACCTTCCGCAGGTACTCGATCAGTGGCATCTCGCCGCGCCAGGTTGCGGCCTCGTACAGCTGGAGGTACTCAGGCTTCACCTCCATACCGGGGTGGGGTGCAATGATCGGCTGCATCGTGCCCCCCATGAAGAACATGGGAAAGGTCTGGTTGGCGAGGAGAAGCCACATCTCTGGTTCTCCCGGGTGAAAGGTGAAGAGGACTCGACGAGCTGCGCCATAGCCGCTGCTGGTGTCATCCATGAGCTCCTTGCCCGGACCGTCGCTGAACTTCGGCAGGTACGTGGCGGCGTACTTGAGCATGAGCCCAGAACCACGGTCCAGCTGCAGGTCTTGATGACATTTGAGGACGTCCATCAATTCAGGCAGGTAGCCCCGGATGCCCAGCCGACTGTCCAAGGCAGTGTGATGGAGCCGCACCTTGTCCTGCGTTGAGTCATACTCATTCTCGCCCGCATGCTGTGGCCAGCCACTGCCGGTGCGGCCAGTCTGACCATCGAGAACATAACCACGAAGCGCGTCGCCTTCTGGTGGTACTGTGGCGCTTGCCTTCTGTGGAAGCTTCATGGGCCCAATGCTCTCTGCGAAGACAAGGCCATGCAAGTGGACGGCAGCACGTCCATGGTAGTTTTGGGTCGCTTCCTTTCTTTTGCCATCTTGGAATTCGAGACGCCCAATGAAATTGACCTTGAGCCTGCGCCCATCCTCGGTAACGCCTCCAAGGACCGCCGATCGCCAAACACTGGAGCTCTCGCCGAACTTCAAGCCGCCACCGCAGACCCATTCACGAAACAGCTCTGTGAGGATGTGGGCAAGGTGCAGTGTCTCGGGGCCTGCCAGTTGCAAGCGCTGGCGACCCAGTTGCGCCATCTGTTGGAGCAGCCATTCGTGGTACGGCGCGGACCATTCAAAAGGGGCCCACGTCAGAAATGCCGCTGGGAAGCCACACTGCGCCTGCATGTCAAGGGCCGCTGCGTGTCTCACCTTCCAGTATACTGGGGCGTCCAGGGCGCGCCTTTCATGGCTTGCCACATGGGCGTGCCACGCAGAGCGCCTTTCTTTCCGCCGACGTCAGACCAAGTGGACAGATCAAAAACAAAATGAAGCAGTTCGTAGTCGCCGGCATAGTCTGCAATGGGCCCCATGGCTTTTGCGAGAAAGCTGCGCTTCAGACTTTGTCTGCGGGCAGGCTCCTCCTCTCGTGCATCCGGGTCGGACTCCTCCTCGTCACCGTCCATCTCGGCAGCTGCGGCTTCTTGCCTGCGCTGCACACGCCTTGCATCGGCCAGGCGAGCAGTGGTCTCGCAAAGCCGCTTGTCCCAGTACAAGTGAGGCCAGAGCGCACACTCCACAGCTTCTTCCTCGATGTATCGCAGTGGCCGCTTGCGTCTGTCCTGGTCAGCAACTGGATATCTCTGCAGGAAGCTGCGGTGGCGCTGCACAAAAGAGGCATAGCTGGAGTTGTCGCTGCTCATGAGGAACTCGAATGCCTACGCAGAAATCACATGAAACTGTCACAAGCAGAGTAGTCGCTGCTCATGAGGAACATGAATGCCTACGCAGAAATCACATGAAGCTGTCACAAGCAGAGTAGAAACACCCCTACCGCAAAACACCGTTCAGCCTTGCGAGCACTGCGTCGATCAGGGCGATCCAAGCCAGCGATCTTCTCCTCCACGTCCTGCGCCGACCACGCAAGCCGCAGCATGGTGCTATGGAAATAATAGCCGTAGTCGGCCTTCCACTCCGGTCCACAATCCACATCTAAAGGCCGCAGAGCCAGAAGAACTTCGCGGGACAGACCCTGGAGTGGCTGTGGAACCTCCTCCGGCCAGGGGACCCAGATCTGCTTGGTCTCGTTCTTCTCGCAATTCTTGCACCGCTTGATCACCGAGGCTGGCAACTTGCGGGTTGCTGCTTCTTTCAGATGCTGTGGCTGCACCGACCCACAAAGCGCACAGAGCCCCCAGGATGCACGGTGACACCAGGCCTCTACAGCAATCGCCGAAAGACTTGCACATGCTGCAGGAAGACCCGTGTCGTTAGGAGCCACATCGTGAATTGTCTTTGTCAGGTCCTCCGACATAGGGTTCTGCCACTGCCAGCCTGCATGACGCACCCTGCGCGGACGACTAGGAAAGAACTTCTTCTGCACATACGCCCGGTCGGAGTCCACCCACGCTTTGTAATCCTCGATGTTGGGAGGAGCAGCTACGGAGGAGCGCCAAGAGAGCACGGTGTTCTTTTCCGGCTTGACAGATGGCTCGCGTGGCTCAGTTGTCAGCGCAGCTCTTATCTCCTGCGGTAGGGAACGAAAAGCGCTCCGCTCTAGCGCTGCTTCATAGATGTCAGGCGCTTGCATCCGCCATTTCTTCAGAAAGCGGACGACATTGCCGCGGCCTTGCTGGCTCTGCACTGTTTTGGTCATGGCTTCTACGTCGCAGAAGATACAGCGACCGAGGTGATGCCCTCGAGCCCGTCCGCCGCCACCATTCGAAGCGAAGCAACATGTCTGACCTGCTTGACCACGACACAAGGAAGGCGTCCCCTGAGACCGAGCGACGCCACCTCCGGACAGGACGAGATGCTCGATGTCGCTCACCTCGGGGGTAACTTCGCCCACTCGAGCCAGAGCCTCGTCGTAGACGCCAAAGTCCAACTCACGCAAAGCCTCAGCACAGTCTACGAAACTTCAAAGCGGTTCAGACGTCCACTATGTTATTATTGAGTCGAGCGGCTTTGAGCTTGCTGACCACGTAAGAGTTGCCCGTCGTCAACGACTGCTCCACGAACTCCAAGTCACAGAAGAAGCACGTGTTGGACCCTCTTGTCAATTGTGCCGGCTGGCCTGCGTGCGTTGGAGAGAATCGGCACGGAGTATCCAGCACGCCCCGGCAAGAGCGAGGCATGTTCTTCGAGACACCCAGTACTACAGCAGAACTGGAGAATGAGCCTTGGCAGAAATACAGCTAACAACGGTATGCTGCGGAGCTGCCAGGTGGAGACCGCGCTTGAACATGATCTTTCGTGTGGGCACAGCAGGTGGCGGCAGCACTTTTTTAGCGACGGCGCTCTCAAGCAGTTCCTACAAAGCTCCAACAGTGAATAAAGGTGGATAATGCTTATTGAAGCGTTGTGTGTAAGCACCAGGCACGACGTAGAATTCACGGGCACAACATCATAGCCTCGTGTGTATTCAGACTGTGTGCAGCTGGAAGAGTGAAGAATTCTGCTGTGCCGGAGTTGATTTTCTGTACAATACTACATCTCGCCTGAACATGGTTTCCCGCTACATTTGAAGGAGTCACTTGTCGGATGGCTCGGCTGCCACCTGCAAAGCCTGCTCCAGGGTGGCGGACAGCTTCTCCAGCTCTGCGAGAAACTTCCGAAGATTCTCGGTCTTGGGGTACCGCGTCTTCTGCAGGAACGCTTCTATGATGCTCTTCAAACCCAGATGTGCGATGGCGGAGGATGGCACCGTCTTCAAAGCTTCTTGAAGAGTGCCGATGGGAGGACGCTCCTTCGAGTCCTTGGCCACGTCCTTCAGCAGCTTCTGCAACTTGCTCAGCGCTTCTGCTGTGTAGTCTCCGAGCTCGAGCACGGTCTCCGGGAGAGGCTCAGGGGAGGAGGCCATGTCGAGTGTCTTTGAGGCTTCAGGCTCCTCGTCGGAGGCCAGCGGATTGCCGGGGTCGGCTGGCGTCTTTCGCGGCTGCTTTCTGCTGGCGAGTCGACGCGGCGTTTCGACCCCTTCATCATCTTCATCCTCATCGAGCCACGGGCGACTGTAGTCTTTGTCACCATCATATGAGCCTTCAGCCGGCTTCTCGTCCCAATCGTCAAAGGCAGATGCACCGGATCGCTTCTTCGTATTCTCGACCTTTTGCTGATGGAAAGCCGCCACGAACGAATTCAACATGGCCTCTTGGTCTTCAGGCTTCTTCAGCCATGCTTTCGAGGGACCCGGCAAATTGTAGTCCGCACCGGTTTGACGAACTCCGGCTGCCATCACTTTCGGGTTATTGAGCGCAGTGATTGCTTCGAGGCCTTCAAATGCGAACAAGTATAGCCGCGCAGAGAACCTCGCCAATTTCTTAAAGCAAAGTTCTTTCTTTGCCGCCTCAGTCGTAAAGAAGCGAAGGAAGCGCTTCACGGCCTTAGATGTTTCGTCCTCGCTACGCTCGATCTCTGTGTTGGAGGTATTCAAGTAGTTGCATGCCGCGATAAACTTCTGGCCATCTGCTGACTCGAACTCCTTCAACAAGTCGCGAATGCTCAGCTTGCGAAGCGCCGTTTCGGCATCCTGGGAGAAGTGATGCCCCAGCAACGCGGCCCCCACCTCGAGATTGGCGGCGCCTTCGGACAGGGCTACACCTTGCCGGGCACAATATTCTGAGCATGTTTGGCCGAGAACTTCCTGAAGATGCCAGCTGGTCAGCAAGTTTGTCTCTTCCGTTGTTCCAACGAACGGACTGCCGGCCTGATCCGCGTAGGGCCGAAGGAAGTACTTCGACAAGCGATCGCCCCAGGGCACTTTGCGCACCCAGTCCTTCTTAGCGGGGACGGCGCCGCCCTTCCATGGCGCGGCCTTTTTACCCTTCTTGCCGGTGCCCTTGGAGCCGGCGATGCGTGATTTACCCAGCATGGCTGTAAGGGAGACAGAGGCACTATCTGCAGAGCCGAAACGGCTGCACATGGGACGTGCGTCAGTCTTGTATAGAAGGCTGTGGCATGGCAGCAGCAGAAGAGATGTAGCACCTTGGCCATGTACTGTGGACGCACCCACAGGAAAGCTCGATGCAGAAGATTTCGAAGCAAACGTGCCTGCAAACGAAATCACTTTTTTCGCGCAGTAGAGGCCGACAGCACATGCACGAATTGGTGAAACGCCTAGCCCAACAAGCAATACACGGCTGGAAGCAACAAAACGGCGTTGGGCATGCCCGGCCTGAGAGGGTTCCCCCCCAGCACCGGGGAGGCAAGGTGTTGAGTCTGCCGTTGCGCTGCTCCCGACCCGAGCGGCTGATGGGTCGTGCTTCGCACCCGGCGTTCGGCCCCTGAGCCGCCGCGCTGTCGCGGCACCCAGTCCGCACCGTACGGAGACCAACGCGCTCCGGCAGTGACTCTCGCACCTACTTTTAATGGCTCCGACAAAAACCGTGGGTCGAGGAATTGCAAAAGCACAGGCGCACGGGTACAAGGGCCGGAACCGCCAAAAACCGGACCAAAAAAAAATCGGCCAATGCTCCGGGAATAGGAACAGTGGCCAAAATTTCGCCCGGCACGAACACAGAAAAACACCAAAACGACAAGGCCCAGAGACGCGTGAGAAACGTCACGCGCGTCACGCGCGTTCGGCCGAAAAGGCCGTCACGCAGGGCCGCGTGACGCGCGTGACGCGGGCCCCTGGCCCCCCACACGCGTGACACGCGTGACGCGCGTGACGTGGGGCTCGGTGCTGGGGCACGGGGGAGGGCCAGCAGGGCCAGGGCCAGGGCAGCCAGCCTGGGCCAGCCAGGAGGGCACTCCACGGTCAGCAGGGCCACGGCGCCAGGGCCAGGGCCGGCCCAGGCAGGCCGAGGCCAGGGGTCTGGGCCAAGTCGTGAAGGATGCAACCCCCGACCCGCGAAGCCAAAATCCTAGGGTTTAGGGTTATAAAATATATATCAGTGACTAGCTAGGCGACTCTAGCTTGGCGACCCCTTCAGGGGTGCGCCCTGCAGGCTCTGCAGCCTAGCAGAGCCTGCCATGGTCTCGCTGCCGCTCGACGTCGCCCGCCTACCCCAACAGAAGTGAGAGGGGTGGCGGGCGGGTTTAGGATTCTAGGATTTAGGGTATTGTTTAGGATTCTAGGATTTAGGGTTTAGGATTTTAAGATTTAGGGTTTAGGATTCTAGGATTTAGGATTTTAGGATTTTAGGGTTTAGGGTTTAGGATTCTAGGATTTAAGGTTTAGGATTTTAGGATTTAGGGTTTAGGATTTTAGGATGTAGGGTTTAGTTTGGATTCCAGGATTTAGGGTTAGATTTTAGGATTTAGGGTTTAGGATTCTAGGGTTTAGGGTTTAGGATTCTAGGGTTAAGGTTTAGGATTCTAGGATTTAGGGTTTAGGATTCTAGGATTTAGGGTTTAGGATTCTAGGATTTAGGGTTTAGGATTCTAGGATTTAGGGTTTAGGATTCTAGGATTTAGGGTTTAGGATTCTAGGATTTAGGGTTGTTTACTTCTAGGTTTAGGATTAATGCCTGCAGGCTTCAGCGTCTAGGTAGTAACTTCTCATACGCAAACTCCGCTTGTCCCGGGGCCCCCCCGGGACAGTTGTCCCAGGGCCCCCCCCGGGACAGTTGTCCTAGGGCCTCCCCGGGACATTGTTCCAAGTTGTTTCGGGGAGTCGCGGGACTTTTTCGGGACAATTGTCTCGGGCCCCCCCCGGGACGCCCCAGGACCGGAGTCCCAGGCCCTCCCGGGACGCCCCGGGACACCCCCGGGACACTGTCCCGGGGCCGCCCCGGGACGCCAATTTAGGATATTGGAGTGACTGCGCTTAGGATTTAGGATTTAGGGTTTAGGATTTAGGGTTTAGGATTTAGGATTTAGGATTTAGCCTCCGGAAATAGGATTTAGGATTTAGGATTTAGGGTTTAGGCTTTAGGATTTAGGATTTAGGATTTAGGGTTTAGGATTTAGGATTTAGCCTCCGGAAATTTGGATTTTTGCTGGTGATTTTCAAGTGACAAATTCTGTTCATAAAATGTGCCTTTTAGAGAAGGCCGGTTGCGAATCTCGAGGTCCCCTCCTTTCTTTTCGTGTGGCTGCTCTCTGAAGCTTCCGGATTTCAATATTTAGTCGCGCTTGTCCTTTTCTGCAAGGGTTTAGGTTAACCCTCAAACCACACACACCGCAGGCACAGGCTACTAATTTTACTCACCTCGTGCCAAAAGGGGCTACCAAGTACAGCTATACAACGGCAGTAGTCAGAACATGCTTTATATCCTGACACCCCTCCATGGCCAGCTGAATCCTTGAGCTGGACAGCTGACCTGCACTACTCACGGGTTGCAGTCTGTACAAGGACCAAAGCCTCTTTGCGTAGCCTCAGCCCTCTGCAACGTGTACGGGTTTTGGCCCAGGTGTCTACAGTGTCTCCTATGAAACTTCTTGCCCTTACGGGTGACGTAGACGGGGCTACCCGCATTCGCCTCTAGACCTCGTCGGTCCACGCGGCCTCCAGCTGTAGGGGCCGGCTTCGTTGAAACACGTGGCGTGGTCCACCACACAAACGCAAGCTTGATCCATCGCCAAATGGTCTGGATCGCCAAGATATGGATGATCAGCATGTAGATGAAGAAGGAAACGTCTTCAGTCTCGAGCTGGCGCTCCTTCGGCTGCCCCGTAGCCACGCCAAAGGACGCGAACAGGCACGCCATGACCAAGCCCCTTGTGAGAGGCATGCCCTTGACTAGCTCTGTCACTCTTGAGCCTGAAAGAGCTTTCGTGCCCAAGTCGGCCCAGTTACTCTTCGTAGGTTCCTTTTGCACCGTAAGCTGCTTTCTCTGAACACAGTCCTGTATCCAAAGCTCCTTCATGGACAAGTGCTTCACCTTGCCCGAGCCCTTGCGTGTCGCGATTCCCTTCGCTGCGCTCGAATCGGTTCTCAGGGTAAGCTTCAAACCCTTAAACCCAATCCGTTCCCAGATCTGCGCTGTCAGCAGTCCGGCGGCAGCTCCTCGCACCAACGCGTAAAACTCAGCCTCTCCAGAGCTGAGCGCTATCACCGATTGCTTGGCACACGAAGCATCGATGAGATGCTTCCCAAATGTCTCAGCGTAGCTGGACATAGACTTGCGCGTGCGCTTGCACGCTCCCCAGTCCGAGTCCGTAAGCACCACAGCTTCCTCAGGCTGCTCCTGGTACTCGTAGTGCCAAACTTCCTTCGGGTACTTCAGAAGGTAACGGCCTAGGTGCTTGAGCTTGAGCTCGTGTTCAACCGTAGGCTTTGCCATGCCAGAGGTGATCTCCGACAAGGCATACTGGATCGTCGGGCGATCCTGGGACAGGTAAAGCGCAGTACCAGCGAGTCTCCGGAACTTCGCTGCAGCCTCAGTGTCCAAAGGATCTTCGAGATCCCTGCGGCCTTTCCCACATTCCGTAGAACATGGGGCGTCTGCGCCCTTAGCGTCCGTAAGCCCGAGCTCCTCAACGATCTGCCGCGAGTACTTAGGATCAGCTTCCCAAGTGAACCCGCGCTCGCTCCATCGAATGATGCGGTGTAGATGATCACCATGCGTGGTCTGGCCCCCGAACTCCTCAGGGCCAATCCGTGGCAATATCTTGCTCTCGAAGGATTGCATCATCAGCGCATCCAGTCGATCCAGATCGTCGCTTTCGCCCTCAGCGATAAAGTCGTCGCCGTGGCAGCTCAAGGTCACGCACCAGTCGTCGTGGTAGAAGAGGCCAGGGATTCCTGGAACCTCCCAGAAACCTGCCTCCGTCATGACCTCACACACGCGCTTTGACCACTGTCGCGAAGCCTCACGTGTGCCATTCATGGCTTTGAGCAAGTACCAGAGCTTCGATTGATCGAGATCTTTCGGAGGGACGACCGCAATTTTGCCCGTGGCCACCGCATGAAAGAAGGCAACAGAAACATCATACCGGGCAATAAGCTTGCGCCGGTTGGTCCTGCCAGCCTTTGCAGTGGCTGCAGCTGAAAGTACCATGCGGTGCGTCCGCAACGGCGGTGTTCCACTGAAAACGTCGTCGCGCTCGTGGTCGTTGATCTCTTGGGCTACGCAGCGGCTGCGCACCCCATTTGGATCATTGGGCAATGGTTTCCAACCATCCACCCACCGGCTTCGGACTATCTTTAGCCCCTGCCGTCGCGCCTCCTCCCAAGAGATGTCCTTCTTGACAGAGTGTTCCTCCATCTTGTCCAGCTCGCGCCCTCTTGCAGTCTTGACCTTGTCAACGGGAAGGGGCTAGCCTGTTCGTTCGTCGTAGGCACCAAGCTCCTCCACTCTGCCGTCCAGAGGGTAAGCAAACAAAGGCTCCCACTCGCCTTTCTCGTGGAGCGTGGGCAGTCCCCCCATCAACTCCTGGTCCTCAAGAGGACGCTTTTCACCTCTTGCTTCTGGCGTCTTCTGCTTCTTCGCTCCTTGTGAGCTCTTTCCAGTAACGCGGCGCTGCCCGCTGTCACTTGAAGGAGCGGGGACACCCGCATCCTCAACTTCTCGCTTCTGGCCTGACTTAGCCTCAGAGGTCCCCTCCATGGCCCTTGGCCTTGAAGGTTGACTTGGCTCGGTGCTTCCCGACTCCAAGTCTTGGCCGGTGCCCTGGGGCATCTCGGCCTGACCTCCTTCAGTCTCCATGGGTCCCGCAGGTGTCCCAGGGACTGGTGTACCAGGCGTTCCTGGCACCGGTTGCCTCGGGTACAACTTCTCGAACCTCTTACGGCACTCGTCGTTGTGCCGCTTTGGGTTGTCGTCATCACACTCACAGCCAGGACATCCAGGTGTCTTGCCGTGCTTGATCTGACGCTCCAAGGTGATATACACCGAGGGCTGCCTGCGACCTGGAGTCGCTGGGGCCTTGTTGTCTGAAGGCACGGTAGTTGGCTCTCCGCGCGGTTGCCAGGGAAGCCCAACCATCCCCTCGAGGTGTTTCAGCTCCCACCTCTTCTCTTCTGGCCTTCGCCAGATGCTTCTGCACCGACGGATCCCCTGAGCAGTGCCCAGGAAGTGCTCGTCGGAGGCAAGAGACTTGCCTAGCCAAACTCCAACTGACGTTTGCTTGTCCAGCTTGCCAGTCTTCTCTTTGTCAAGCTTGTAGTGCACGACCTCGCAGCACTCAGCAACTTCGCCGCGGAAGTCCCGGCCTCGAAGCCTTTCGTAAGGTGTTCTCCCGTCCTGCTTCACCAAGAAACGGGAGATGAGCCACCCTGCGTGCCGCACCAACCACGGAAAGACAACCCCCTCAGTCTCCAGGGGCTTCTTGTAGCGATTCTCCAGCGCGCTCGCAAGAGTTCGCACCTGACGCGCCAGCTCCAAAATGGCTCGCTCGGCCGCGCCGTTAGATGCGTGAGAACCTTTCGGTGCAGTCTGGTGCTGCACGCTGCCAGTCCAGGACTTGGCGGCACTTTCAGCAAGTGCCCGGATGCTATGCTCAGCATCGCTCATCATGATGACCTTTTGGCGCCCGCAGAACTTGAGCGCTTCAGTCACCAATCCAGTGGCATACGGGTTAACGCCCTTAGCCACCACACCAGAGAAAACACAACCGGACTTTTCGTCCACGATCACCAGAATGGGAAGGAGACCATCCTTCTCATCCTGAGGCACCTTGACCTCCTCCACGGAGTTCACTGGGCCCTTCAAGGCCCGTCCCAGAAAACAGTAGTCCAGGGAGATGCGCGCCACCTCCGACGCGCGACCGCTGGGCTCTCGAGCTGAGTGTGCATCCTCACGCACCTTGCCGTGCATGCAGTGATCGCACCAGCTTCGCATGGGCAGATGCGTAAGCATATGCTCGTCAAACTCGGCTTTGCTAACCGTGTCCGGGATCTTCTTTGTCTTCGGCCGCCGCGTGGCCTCAGACACTTCCATTGGCACGTCGCCAATCTCCGGAAGCCTCTGGGCGGGGCCACCCGCGCCAGGGCCGTCAGTAGAACACCCTGCACCGGCGGAGTTACCCGCACCAGGTTTCGCAGCGGAACTCCCCGCATCGGCGGGGCCGCCCGCACTTGAGCTTTGACCCGGCTGAGCGGAGTCACCCGCTTCACCAGGCTCCTCGCCTTCACCTGCCAGCGCCTTTGCTGGCACCGTCTTCTTAGCAGCCCTCGTAGCTGCTAACACGTCTGGGTCTTCAACCCTTTCACTTTCTTTCACCACGTTCACTGGGAGCCAAAATACCCCTCTCTTCTTTCTGAGTTGCATCGTGTCTTTGGTCTCTCCTAGGGCTTTCCTAAGCTTACACGCATGCTTATCTAGAACCATACACTGCACACCGGGGCCAATCACCGTCCAGGTGCCTTTCGTGGCCGCTTGGCCAGCAGAAAGCACCGAAAACCTAACCTTTTCAGACTCGGCGTACTCTACCGAAAAGGTCCCAGCACTGGTTTCGAGCTGGCTCCTAAGCCTCTGGTCGCTAGCCAAGGGCTCACCCGTAACGGTAACCATTCCAGGCCCCGAAACACGAGAACCCAACAAAGCACCGGAGTCAAACCCTTTCCGAAACAGGTGAGACCCTGCCCCCGTATCTACAAGAACCTCGGTCTCACTGGCCTCGGTGCTGGGCGTTGCCGCCACCACACCAAAGCAAAGGTCCGGCTCCTGAGGCGATGCAGACATGGGCTCTGGTTCCTCCTCGCCCTCAGCGGGGCTAGCCGCATGAGGTGTGCGGTTCTTCCCGCCACCTTTTGCTTTAGCTTTGGGCTTGGCTTTGGCATCGGCTTGTTTCTTGCGACACTCGGCTTCTACATGCCCTTTCTTATGGCAGTACCAACACTCACGGTCCTTGTTGGGGTTTGCGCCTTGGGGCTTTTGCTTGTCTGAGCCTTGGCCTTTACCCCCTTTGTCGCCTTTGCCTTTGCCTTTGTCTTTGCCCTTGCCCTTCTCTTTGCCCTTTTTCCACGGTGCAGCTCCAAGGTCCATTGGCTGCGGGAGATTCTGCAGGACGCGGTTGGTCCTCGAAATCTCCAAAAGTTCCGCCTTCACATCCGTAAAGGATTTGAGCCGGCTTGAGTTCCGGATGATGTGGCTTTGCAGGCTGCTGTCCTTTAGCCCATTCACCACAATGCCCAAAAGCATCTCCTCATCCAGTGTTTTGCCGCTCTCCTGTTCATACCTCCGGACGCTCTTTTCGAAGGCCGCTAAGTCCCCCTCAACATCATCACCAAACTTGCTTGAAAGCAACGTTGTGAGAGTGCCCACATAGCGTGACGCAACCCTCGGGTGGAACTCCTCAAAGATGCGCCGGTAGGATTCAAGACCTTCTCCGAGGCCCGTGTTGTAAGTGATGTCAAGCGGCCTACCGCGCAGGAGCATCACCAAGATATAGTAGAGTTGGCAAGAAAGGTCCCGGTCCACATCCGAAAGAGCCCTGTTTGGGAAGCTCTTCTTGGAAAACTTCGCTTGCTCCAGCAGGTCGATGTACCTTGAGTCGATGCAGCTAAGGTAAGAATTAAAGATGAACGACCAGTCACTGAAGCTTTCCTCCGTGGACCCTTTGAAAACCTCGGGCTTCCCGAGTTGCCTGGTGTCTACCAGGCCGGCCCTTGGGGCCGGTGGATGGCTTGGGCCCGGCATGTCGGTATCGAAGGTGCTCTGCCTTCCCCGGGCTGCCAATCCTGACGCTTGCAGCTGCAACAGCTGGGCCTCCTGAGTCACCAGCCTGTTGTTCATTTGCTGCAGCATCAGGTTAGTTTGCTGCAACTGCTGCTGGAGCTGTTGCTCCAGCGGAACCTGGCCCGCCTGTTGGGCCATCTGGGGAGCTTGGGGGGTCCCAATCAACCCCGCTTCCATCTCCATCCGAGCTCTCACTGCTCTCCTCGTCCTCGTCCTGAGAGGAGCTGATGTGGCCTTTGGTTTGGCCTTGCTCTTTCGAGCGGTCCCCTTTGGTCGGGGCTCGGTGCGGTGCCGATTGGCCTCCGCAACCCTTTGGGCCAATGCCTTAGGAGAAAACCTCCTAAGCACGTAGTTGCGCACAGCCGGGGCGGCCTTGCGACGCCTGGTCCTGCAGGTACTGCAAGCTTCGCCGACCCGCTGCCTAAGCAATACCTCGCCCACACTGCCCTTAGGAAGCCTCTTCCTGATCGCCTCCTGGGTCTCCACTCTCTCTCGGAACCTCTGTTGCGCAAAGCGAGCGGATTGCTCGGTCAGGAACTCCTCTAAGTCCCTCTTGCGCCCCGAAGCCTGCTTGCTTCGTGTCGGTGCTACCGACCTCATGACCCGATTTGCCTGAGCCTCCCGAGGAACCGATCGAAGGTCGAGGCGGCTCCTTTCCTTCCTTCGTCGCCTCTCCTTCTTCCACTTGATCTTCTCGTACCCAGCCTCTGTCTGCCTGGGCTTCCTTGGTTGGCTTTTGGCCGCGGTCGTCCCGAGGATCCGGTCTCGCTCCTGAGCCTCCTCCAGGCTATAAGTTAGAACCACCCGCCTCGGAGTACGACCTCGGCCGAGGGATCAGCGGCTGCCCTGTGGCTTCTTGGTGGCTCCTGCCGCTCCTCAGCGGCTGCAAGCCTTCTGGCCTGCCCGCGGTCCTGCCTCCTAGAGGTGGCCGCTTCACTTCTTTTCCCCCTCTTGTTCTTCTTCTTGGTCACCGGCTTTCCTTTGCCGCGACCTCGACCCGCCGTCTTGGCGGTCTACCTGCTGCCTAAGCAGCACTCGGGAGGACTATATGCTCCCACACCAGCGCGGATCGGCCCGCAGCTGGTTCCTGTGACGCGGGACTTCCCGCGGTCACGTGTGGTGCGGGGCTGACCCGCAACCACCAGGGAGCGGGGCTTGCCCGCGTCCCTTACCTTCGCGGGGCGACCCGCAGAAGGTGAGCACGGAGTCCCTTAGACGTCCGGCTCCGCTACCATGCAAGGGTTTAGGTTAACCCTCAAACCACACACACCGCAGGCACAGGCTACTAATTTTACTCACCTCGTGCCAAAAGGGGCTACCAAGTACAGCTATACAACGGCAGTAGTCAGAACATGCTTTATATCCTGACATTTTCGGAAAAGGACAACCAGCTCTAAAATCTAGATTTAGGATTTAGGGTTTAGGATTTAGGGTTTAGGATTTAGGATTTGGGGTTTAGGATTTATGATCCAGGATTTAGGGTTTAGGATTTAAGATTTAGGATTTAGGATTTAGGTTTTAGGATTTAGGATTTAGGATTTTAAGATTTAGCTTCCGGAAATTTGGATTTGTGCTGGTGATTTTCAAGTGACAAATTCTGTTCATAAAATGTGCATTTTAGAGAAGGCCGGTTGCGAATCTCGAGGTCCCCTCCTTTCTTTTCGTGTGGCTGCTCTTAAGCTTCCGGATTTCAATATTTAGTCGCGCTTGTCCTTTTCGGAAAAGGACAACCAGCTCTAAAATCTAGATTTAGGATTTATTTAGGATTTAGGATTTAGGGTTTAGGATTTAGGATTTGGTGTTTAGGATTTAGGATTTGGGGTTTAGGATTTAGGATTTAAGATTTAAGATTTAGGATTTAGGATTTAGGGTTTAGGATTTAGGATCTAGGAACCAGCTCTAAAATCTAGATTTTCCAAAGCTGTCAAACGATAAGGTTAAAGGGCCGAGCCGGCCCTGCCATGCCGAAGGCCCGAAAAGGGCCGAGGCTACTCCCAGCCGTTGCCTAGGCCACAACTTAAACAACTGGAACCTTATGGGTGCAAAAATAGGGATTTCTTGGATTTTTGGTTTCCAAAGCTTTCAAACGATAAGGTTAAAGGGCCGAGCCGGCCCTGCCATGCCGAAGGCCCGAAAAGGGCCGAGGCTACTCCCAGCCGTTGCTTAAACCACAACCTCAACAACTGGAACGTTCATGGGTGCAAAAAAATAAAAGCACCCCTTGATAGGGGGGTTGGGGGGGTAGAAACCCTAAACCCTAATAGAGTATAGTTTGGGTGGCCGGGGTGGGTTTGCAAGCAACGCGAGCGCGCGGCCCGGGGTGCTTCACACCCGAGCGCGCGACTTCGCCTGCCACACCCTAAACCCTAAACCCTAGACCCTAACCCCTGAACCCTAAACCCTAACCCCTGAACCCTAACCCCTGAACCCTAAACCCTAAACCCTAATCCCTAAACCCTAACCCCTGAACCCTAAACCCTAAACCCTAAACCCTAAACCCTAACCCCTGAACCCTAAACCCTGAACCCTAAACCCTAAACTCAGGATCCGATTTAAAGCTTAGGGTTGAGGAGAGCTACGGAGATACTCTCCCGAACCGTACAGTCTCAGTTGTAACGACCATAGGGTTTCGGGTACAGTCTGCCCGAAGCCCGGTCAAACATCCCCATAACGTCAGATCCTGTATGGAACCCGTTCTCGACTTTGCAGGAAATCTTAATCATAAAACTAATCAATCACCCTGCGCAAGTACGCACCTAAGTCCCTGTTCGAGATTCTAGAGTGTTTAGGGATTACGGCGATTTGTTACAGCTATCGCAAAACACCTGCGCACCAGATCATCATGAAAGGTCAGCACTCCAGATTCTCACCCACCTCGCCAGTGCGGATAGCTTCGTTGGAGGCGCGCACATCCTTGTGTGCAGGTGTCACTTTAAATATATATATATATATATATATATATTTATATACACATGTATTTATACAAACAAACATGTATGTATATGTGTGCGTATAAGTATATGCACATGTATATGTAAATGAATATAAATGCACATGTGAATACATGAATATGCATATGTCTATGTATATGTAGATGTATCTTCATAATATATACATATACACACATGTGTATCTGTATCTGTATAGGCCTATGTATACGAACATGAGTATGAGTGTGTTTGTGTATGTGTACGTGTATAAGTATGTGTTGTATGTATATACGTATATGTATACTTATAATATGTGTATGTATGTGTATACACATTTGATGTCTGTATGTGTGTATGTGTGTGTATATATATATACATATACATCCATATTATGTATTCATGAATGTCTTGGTTGTTGGAGATGCCCTCATGTCAACAAGGAGCAGAACCCAACGACACCTAGAACCTAGAAATCTAGAACCAATCCGAGACAGAGTGAAACATCAGGGCTTGGGATTCAAGGTTTGACCTCATCTGAGATGTCCTTTAAGCCCTTCGAAAATTATGTACTATTATGGTTCTCTACAGAATAGTACGGGAAATTAAAAAAGAGCCCAAAGGACAACCCAGTAATTCATAGAACATAGAGTTGCGACCCACGTTGGGAGCGCGATCCAACCCAAAGGAAAATGATTGTTTGCATATGATCCTAGGGGTGGTTTTTAGTGAAACGCTGACCACAGCAAGCTTATGAGATGGCCCGCCCTAAATCCCCCAAACTGCTCCGCGCTGCGAAACCGGGCAAAGCAATGAATTAAGATAAACCAGCTTCCAAACCCTAAACCCAAACCCTAAACGCTATAAATAACTATTAGAATGAAGATACAAAGACTAAATATAAAATAATCCGGAAACCCCAAGGAGCAGCTACCAGCTCACATGAAGCCTTGGAGGAGCAAACGCGGAATTACACTTCTGGGAACTTGCTCAGTCTTGCGGACGCCGTCCAGGAGAAATCTTCTTTCCACTCCGAGTTCTGCTCGTTTAGGGTTTAGGGTTTAGGGTTTAGGAGCTCGTCGGCCGTTTCAGTCCCAATGCCCCGCGCTTGGACACGAGGCCCACGTGGATTCGAAGGATTTGCCCGCACTGCAGATATTCTTCGCACCGCAATTATTCTTGACAAGGCGACTGTCAGGAAGGTGCTCATACGGGCCTTCCCTTCCTTAGGGGTGCTTGGAGCATCATGGGACTTCGTAAGTAAGGTTATAAATCTTTAGCTGACTTTAGCTACACATATAACTACGTATAAGCCTCAGGTACCTATAACCTTACTCAAGAAGTCCCATGACCCTCCGAGTAGGGATGGAGAAGCCAATGCTGGATTCTGCAAAGGTCATCGCAGCGTCGGGCTCTTTGTTCTGGACGCCCCGCCCAATCCAGGTCGCGGTGTGCTTCTTTGTCGGGTTTTGGGTTTGAGGGTTTAGGGTTCAGGGCACCGGGGTGGTCTGCTCCTCCACCTGTTGTGCTCTCGTGCAACCACAATTGCCGTCATCGTCGTGTTTCATCCTCGCTGTGTCTGTTCTTGACAGTTTGGTACAGCTTCTCAGGTTTGTGCCATTCTCTCTTCGTTTCCGGGTTGACCAACGACTTCACACCTGCACGGAAAACTTAATCCATCCGTGTCCTGTAGACTGCTCATGGGCAACTGGCAATTGCGAGAAAGACCACCGCAATGGAACTAAGCTCCCATACCGAATTGGGGCACTTAGGTCGTGCATCACGGCATACTGGTACGATACATACGCACTTCTGATTGATGACTTCTGATTGATGCTCCATATACGGGGGAAGGGCTAGGAGGGTTCCCTAAGTGTCCAAGTGGCTACTGACTATAGGTCTCAACCAACAAAAATAATTATTGAATCCTTTGGACCCTGGAGATCAGAGCAGCGTGGGCTTGACAGGCCTTGTTACAGCGGCAGCCGTGACATCTGGAATGGATGTTTGCAAGGCTTAGAGTATATCAAGGCAAAGCCTGAACCCTGCACTCCAAGTTACCACCCATTTTGGAAAAGGAGTTTACTTTCGACAAGCCCAGCACACAAAAAAACCCAACATACCCAGTCAAACAAACATGACCCGAAACCGGGTCATCTTATAGTAGCCCCAAACGCTAAACCCCTAAACCCCAAACCCTAAACCCCTAAAACCCTAAGCCCTAAACCCTAAACCCCAAACCCTAACCCCTAAAACCCTAAACCCTAAACCCCTAAACCCTAAACCCCTAAACCCGAGGGCGCCCTACTACCATGAGTTTCAAAGAGTTTTGATCTTTGTCAACTCCTAGTTTGATTCCTTAACCCTACATCTACCCCCCAAAACCTAAATTGACCCTAATTCCTGAACACAAAAACCCTAAACCCGCCTAAACCCTAAATCCTAAACACTATAACCCCTAAGCACTATAGCTCCTGAACCCTAAATCCTAAATCCTCAACCCTAAAGGAAACTCTAGAAAGTTGGAATATGGTTTCAGGGTAGGATACCTCATAATTTACCATGAAGGGTTTAGGATAATAATATTCCAACTTTCTGGCTTTCACTTTAACCCCTAAACGAAATCCAGCTTCGGGAGAGTTGCCTGGTCATAGAGCCGGATCACGCAATCCTCCCCAGGGGTTTAGGGTTCAGGGTTTAGGGTTGAGGGTGGTTTAGGGTTTAGGGTTTGGGGTTTAGGGTTTAGGGGCCCAGAGCCCTAAAAAGGATCCAGCAAGTAGATCTCTTAAGGATTCCTTTAAGGGAGCTGAATGTTTAGGGTAGATCCCTGAAGGACTCCTTTAAGGGAGCTGAGGGTTTAGGGTAGATCCCTCAAGGATTCCTTTAAGGGAGTTTCGGGTTTGGGGGCAGGGTTTCCTACTGCCGGGGGGATCCTGCTTCCCCCATCCGAAACCATTTGAACAAGGAATACAGGAGTTTAGGGTTTAGGTTTTAGGGTTTAGGGTTTAAGAGTTGAGGGGTTAAGGTTTACAGTAGAAGCCCAACAGTTGGAAACCCAATAGCGTCAATCCTTAAAATGAGGAATCCAAGTACAAGTTGGCCTTAATCCGGATTCCAACCTTATGGGGTTTACTGTATTCCAGGTTTCTGTCAGGGGACCCTAAAACAAAAGGGAAAGAGGGTACTACTAGGCATGAATTGAACGACAGGGTCCTGATTATGATCGACTACATGTCGACCTTAAGAAGAGTCTCCAAAAGGCCTTATGATTAGGGGTGTTTTTGGGGCTTCCGAAAATTAAGAAACCCCAAATATAGTACCCTAAAGGACCCCAAAATACGGCCCCCCCCTAATTTTCGGACCCCCCCATATGCTTAGGGCTGTACATTCAACAATAAGGGAAAGTAAGCTTTATCCCAAATCGGTACCTAGTTGAAGACTTCAACTAGGTCCCGACTTGGTAACTTAAACTTCCAGTCATTACGGTCGTTGGGAATATCGGGCACCCTGCAAATGAATGCTGTCACTCCTTACAGGGATGGCGGGGAATCATAAGGACCCGTTGCCGTCGCGGTTTGGCGGGGGGGTTTACCGGAGAACAACGGTTGAAGATCGAACTCTTAAAACCCTCTCTAACCCTACGGCTCCATGTACCCATATAGTATACACTTAGGCCTTAAAGTACCTATATAGGGTCCCCTTTCAGGCTTAAGTATCTACTATAAAGCTACTCAAGATCTTAAAACAAGGTTCAACTTTTGAAGCGGCTGCTGCTACTTGAAAACCCTAAACCCTAAAACCCTGGGGGGTTCTTGGGGAGTGGAGGCATACATTGTACCGCAATTGAAGTGAGCTACAGCAACGCATCAAGAAAGTTGAAACATGGTTCAGGGTCGAAACATGATAAGATGAACTTAGCGATACTTTACCTGAAGCTCGTGAGGAGAGCAATTGCCAAAACTATTGCAACAGTGAAAGCTATTGCCAAAACTGTGTGCAATGTATTGAACAATTGCTGAAGGCATTGCCGCAACTATAGGAACTATCGCCCACGTTCTGTGGGTGTTCCCCATGAGCATTCTTAAGAACATTCAACGCAGTCCACTTGTGGCAAAATACGTTTCCGCTTCACCACTGCTCAATGATGCTAGCTTCTGGGTGTGACTCGACGAATGAACCAGGCAACCTCCGAAGACGATGAAAGCACTTGAGATCGATCGCCTATGCACTTTGGCACTTGCCCAATCCGAGTCGCTGTAGCACTCAAGCACGGCAGCTTCTTCACCGACATACCCTAAACCCTAAACCGTCATACGCTTGCCCTAGGAGCCCGCGACCCTGCGCTGCTGGTTTCATCTGCAATGCTTGCTCTTCGATGCTCAAGACATACAAACCAAAAGGGTCGAAATTCCTTCATGGCCACCTGCGTCGGTCTGCTCATCATGGTGGCCAATGCTCTGATGGCGTTTTGGCACTCCAGTAGGTCCGGGGATAAGTAAAACGAAATCCCGACATGCTGTTCCAACTTTCTGGGTTCGACTTCAAATGGTGTAGGTGCATGTTGATGGCTGGCAGGGCTGAACATTTAGAGTAGTACACCGGCCTTTACAATCATTCGAAAAGAGTTCGGTAAATGCTATTTTCTAGAACCCTAAAACAGTAATGTTGCAATGGTAAGTCTTATTCAGCGTGGGTTTGGGGTGGGTAAGTCTTGCGGACATTGCGCGCGTGTGACTTTCGGGGAATGATTCAGGGTTTAAGGCACAGGGCTTCGCATTTGGGTTACTTAAAGGCTCATGGGACGTAGTAAGGTTATAAGTAGGTTATAGTTAGGATAACCCCACTTAGGGGACTTATCACCCCAGTTATAACCTACTTTCTAAGTCCCAGGATCCTTCAAGTAAGGGTGTTTTGAGCAGGTGTCGCCCTGCACACTAAGCTCCCACAGCCTCAGCCCTTCGATAGAAAAACCCTGGACCCTATGAGACCTAAAAACCCTAAAACAAAAACGAACCCTAAACCCTGAACCCTAAACCCTGAGCCCTGGTCAAGTCGATGTCCTTCTTCTCCTCACGGCTCAGCGGCCAATCCAGCGGAACGGAAGCCATCGCGAGTTACGAATTAAGGTTCCAGGAGGCTTCGGTAGCTTTTCGGAATGCCTTCATACCAGGTTTCGAGCATGACTGTCCTGATTAAGAGAGGCGGTTTTATCAATCAGGTCTGCGTTGCTGTCGTTTTGAAGAAGGAAACAAACACGGGGACCATGATCATGAGATTAGGGTTCACACTTTGCAGAATGATACATACTAGACCTACACACATGTATGTAGATATCTATATATATATATATGTACATATATATATATATATAGACGCATACACAGCTTCTTATGAATACTACAATCACTATACATATGCATATACATATACATATACATATATATATATATATATGTATATATACATACATATACATATACATATACATATATGTATATATGTATACATACATTCTGGGCTTCCTTGTGAATATTACAACTCGTAATTGATCATTCAAGCGCCCAAGATATTGTTCCGGGATCCACCTTGGTTCAGCGGATGGTGAGGCGTAGACCTTTCTGCACGTTCTGTTCCGCTCGCCTGAGCCCTTCCCCGCGAGTGTGTGCGCGTATTCTGCAAAAAGCATGACTATCTAAGATCGTTTGCAAGATGATGCAGCAAGTATGATAGAAGGCGGCCTGAGCGAGAGCAGTCTTTTTCTGCATGTCACGGCAGCTTTTCCTGAGCCGTCGCTGGCCCTGCTTGCAGCTTGAAGCACCAAAGCTTGATGCGGCTGTCCGGAGTGAAGTCCTGTCGGACGGCTGCAGGAAACCCACAAACCCTAAACCGTCAGAGCCCTAAGCCCTGAAACCCCATTCAGAAGCAAACCTGCCAAAAACTGTCGCTTACATAAACCCTTAACCGTAAGTCCCAAAGCCCTAAACCCTCTTGAACATTTCAACAAATCCTAAGCTCCTTCCCATCCCTATAGTAAGACCCTATACTCAAGATAGCCCTGAATTCTAGGTTCCTCAGTATCCCCTCAATAACAAGAGCACCCTGTTTCCTAATATTCAGTTGTAATTCATAAAGAGACCCTCAACGAAAAAAGTGCACAAGGGTACTACTACTAAGCCCTAAATCCCCTGTAGATCCCTTCTAGAACCCCTTTAAGGATCCCTTATAGATCCCCTATACAACCCTTTAATGAGCCCTTTATGGAACCTATAGATCCTTTATGGAACCCTTTCAAGGAACCAAAAGATTCCTTATAGTACCTTTTAAGGAGCCCTTTAAGGAAATGGACCCCCTGTTCGGCTGTTGGGGTCCTCGTGCCAGGCGAACCCCTGCGGGCTTTCGCCGGGCAAAGACCAGGCCAGGCGCAGGGAGCGCAGCTCAAGAGCCTGGTGCTTTAATACGGTTGATGATAACTACTAAGCATCCTAGCATTCCTTTAAAGGGATCTATCAGGGTATTGGATACCTTTAAAAGGAACCTAGGACTACAAAAAGGGAATAAGGGCACTACTGGGCATCCTGGCCCATAATAAGGAATAAACCATAAATCCCATAGTTTAGTGTCTTTAAGTTAGCAGCTCAAGAGCCGAGGTCTTTAAGAGCTTTGGGTTTAAGGCTCCAGGTATCTTTATAGCAGATACTTAGGCCTGAAAGGGGTCCCTAAAACGGTACTTGAAGCCTATATAAGTATAGTATACATGGAGCCTTAGGGTTAGGGCTCTAGGCTCCTTTAGGGGTTTATTGCATGAGGTGTTCGTAGGCCAGCAGCGAGTGATGGGGCATCACCAAATTCTGCCTAATTTGTAGTATAGGAGCCTCAATAATTACCAATGGGATTCCTTTTTATAGGCATAGCATAATGGGCTCCCAAACCCTATTCTAATTATTAAGGCATGGGATCGTGAAGGGAGTGCTGCTCTCCCCATTGATCCCTAAGGTTCCCTGTGGTTCCCCAGCATATTGCCCCCGCAGAACACCCCTCGTAAGGGTCCCAGAATCTTGGTGACTCTGAAAGCAGCCCTTCAGATCCAAGGCGGTCTGCAAACTTTCTACTTGGGTTGTCAAAACTAGGATCCATTTTCGGTTACCAAACTATAGTTTGCCGTATCAAAAGTAGAAATATACTGGGTTCCACACAGCGACCTTGATTTTGACAGCTACCTAATTTTGGGCCTAAACAATTACCAATACTATCTTGAGGGTTCCTTATTATAACTATTGTATAATGGGCCCCACAACCCTATTCCAATTACTAAGGCCCTATGATCCTCGGGAGTCCCTCTTCGAAGCAACACCATCAACTGGACTCCCAGTTGGCTCATCGCACTCCACGGTCTTTCTTGCCAAGTAATGTAGGAACCTGATTAAGGAACCTTGGGTCTTTATTCGGGCTCCTTACATGAATCCTACTCTTTCGGGGGGTTATAGGCCCAGGGTTTCTAAATCAGGTTCCTACATTAACTACCCCGGGCTCGGAGTCTCCCGTTCCTTGATCTTGCTGAAAACATCGGTTACGGCCATCATCTTCGCGTGTCTCTCCTGGGCCTGAAGAAGTCCATCACTGTCACTGCCCTCGACCTCCTTTGCTGGCGAATTCCTTTGCCACCACAGCGGCTCCATTCCCTGCGCGACCCTCAGCAGCGTCTCAACTCCAAACCCTAAACCCACGGAAGGACGCAACTTGATGTAAATGAAGACTTCGACGCTCTATGTAGTCGACAGTCCCCAAGTGTAAGCCTAAAGGCCCTTGTAAACCTGAAACACCCTGTCAGACCCATTCTCATGATTTGACTCAAGCCTTTAACCCGCTAACTAAACCCCAGCACAATCCTTCAAATAACCCTTACAGACACCGAAGATGTGGAAACTCAAACCGCCTGATGACATAGAGCCTTAAGACTTAGAAGATGGTTTCGATGCATAGCTGCTATGACACTTCTTACATTCGAAGACGAACTACAGTAGGGTGTAATATTACCCAATTATTATCAACTGCCTGCTCCTATATTCGGGCCTCTACAGGCCCGATGGCACCTCACAAGCCCGTAAGCCCAAACACCAGCACCCTTAGCCAAAACTAACCTTAAACCCCAACACTCTAACCCCTACCCCCTAAACTCTACTTGGAGGTTCATGGGTAGTTACAAGTGGGTTTTAATTAAGGTAACCATAATTATAACCCATATTAGGGAACTTATATCCCTACTTATAACTACCCATGAACCTCCAAGTACACCCCTCAGCCCCACGGCCCAAAGCCCCAAACACCAGGCCCGAAACCCCCAAAGGCACTAATAGCTTGAAAAAACCCTCGCCTCCAGGAAAGCACGTTCAACATTCGCGGAACGGGTCTGATGAACGACCTGGGCCCGATTTAGGGTGCAGATCCCTTTAGGGTTTAGGGCCTAGGTTTGATAGCACCCGTAAGGGGTGGCCCTGTTCTAGAACCCTGTAGTACAACTTGAGGGTTCTGGAGTTTTGGGTTTAGGGTGCTGCTAGGGTTTTGCACTCGCGACGGTTCAAAAATTAAGAAAAGGGTCCTGGGACGTAGTAGCGGGTTGGCGGGTCTTTCATTGATATCTACAGCAGGCTTGCGGCTTAATTAGCAGCTTCAGTACTTAGGGTTTTTTGGGGGATCAAAGGGGTTCAGGCGTTTTTGTTGCAGGGTTTAGAGGTCTAGGGCTTCTATAGGGTTTGGGTTGATGAGTAAACCCAAGACTCTCAGGGCTCCCATATGAGGACCCCTTTGACCCCGCATCATCCTGATTAAGGTAAGCAAGTTGACTGCTTGGAGGATCAGGGGACTTAGTAAGTAAGGTTATATAAGTACCTTATTAACTGGGGATTATAAGCAAGTATAGTTACCTTATTTATATCTAACCCCAGTTACTATCTCCCATGATTAACTGAGGGGCTGAGCACCCTAGCCCAAAAAAAAAACATACCCTTGCTATTTTAACTATAGCAGAAATGTATAAACCCAAAAAGCTTACGTAAACGTTTGAAGCTAACAACGGGGCCTTTGCCGAGCTCCCGACATAGTATTGGTAACTATTTAAGCCCCTACCCATAGGCTCCAAGAGTTCCTTTTTGGGATTACCTTACAGGACCCTAAAATATAAACCACAAGGAGGAACTACAATGGGGCTATGGGTACATGTTAGACTCCTGTGTCGTCTGCGGCCGGCGATCTGGGTCAGAACCCAACAGTATCGGTGTGCCGGCAATCCTGGTTGGGGCTGCTCTACGGTTTAGGGTTTAGGGGTTTATGGTTTAGGGGTTTAAGGGTTTAGGGTTTACGGCTTAGGTGTTAGGGCTGCTTTGTAAGCCGCTACGAGACTCTGTAAGCTTGTCTACATTCAGATTTCCCTGCGAAATTACAGATTCAGGGTTGGATCTTAAAGGCGAATGTGCTGCAAAGCACCAAGGACGGGCCAAGTCGGGGAACGTGTCTGAACATGCAAATTGATTGTGTTCTTCCGGCTTCAATCACCTAAAGGGTCGCAACGTGTGCCAACCCCAGAACCGCGGGACACGCGTTCCGCAAGTTCGCAAGCAAGCCGGCATTACTTGCTTCCATAGTTCTGCTGCGCTTGGGAACTTTCGAACGACCGGCGGAAGAACCAGCAAAGAATGGATCACCTGCATCAAGGTGTTCCTGAACTTGGAAAGCGACCCTGCGTTGCGCAGAACCACTGATGCCGCGATCATTCCGGAGACGTTGGCGTGCAAAGGCCGCAGCCCCCATGTGGTGGCGCTTCCCGGACAAGGCTCGTGGGAACCCGCACCCTCCCCGTCGCTGGGGCGTTTTTTCTGCGGTAGAAGAGGACGTACCTGAAGGGTTATATTAGAGTGTAGCGCATCGGAAGTTTAAGATTCTATAGGATAATATCAGGGTGTACAGGGTTTAAGGTTCTATAGGTTTAGGATGTTTTAACGTTTGGGGCTTAGGTTTCTGTAAGGGTTGAACAACGGCTGTTCGAAGATTTAACACAAAAAGATTCCGTCCTCCAGGATTTACGGCATTTGAGGGGCGTCATTTGGATGAAGCTGCTGCAGTCCGCGCTCGCATTTAGGCAGCCCCCGAAGTCATTGAACCCTGCTTTGTTGTCAATTCTTGCATCCCAAAGGCTCATATCACCAAACCCCAAGTTTTGGCATCGCCCCGCTCAAACCCTAAAGCCCAACATCCTAGACCCCCCAAACTACCCTCTAATATACCCTAAATACCCAAAGGGCCATGAGGCCTCTGTTAAAGGGCCCTTGGGGGGTCCTGGATGACCCTAAACCCTAAACCCTAAACCCTAAAGCAGACCCCTCCCCCAGCTGCGGCTGTGAAAGCCCGAGCTACCAGGAAGTCCACCGTCGGGAATCGCAGCGCAACCTTGACTACAGACTTGGAGGATCAGGGGACTTAGTAAGTAAGGTCTTGAGTACCTTCATTGGGGGTATAAGTATCTGCAAGTATAGTTACCTTGTTTATAACACCAGTTACTGAGTCCCCTACGACTTGCTGTAACTCAAGGCATGAGGGATTGAGTGAACCCCTAAACCCTAAACCCCTAACCCCTAAACCCCTAAACCCTAAACCCCTAACCCCTAACCCCTAAACCCCTAAACCCCTAAACCCCTAAACCCCAAAACCCCTAAACCCCTAAACCCTACACCGTGGCCTCGGTTAAGGGCTGAGGGTGAGGCTTTAGTGATGCTCCAACTCTCCGACTCGGGAGTTGCACACCCCCCGGTTACCTCTTAAAGCTTACCCTAAGGCTCAAAATGGCCCAAAAAGCTTTATAAATTAATTATGGTCTTTAGGCCCAATAGCCTTAAAGTATGAGTCCTTAGAACCTTAGGGCTACGGTTGATGATATAAATCCTGCATTACCCATAGTAAGGAACATACCGTAATTCCCATAGTCTAGGGTCCTTAAGGTAATGCAGGATTTATATCATCAACCGTAGTATTAAGGGTTAGAAGCTGCCCCCACCCTGAAATAGTGGTATAACAGGAATATAGTAGGGCCCTGATATCATCCTTATAGTCACTATTACAGGGTGGGGGCAGCTTCTAAATTAAGGGAAACCCTAAACCCTAAACCCTAAAGGGGTCTTTGGGAGACCAGAGTTCCGGATACTCAGCGTCTTGGACCTTTGGGCTTCCGGGTTCGCATGGATTTTCGGTTTAGGGTTCGGATGAAGTCAAGAAGCTCAGCTGTCAGAAGTCCCTTTGAGGGATCTATAGGGGGTACTATAAGGGTTTGGGGTCTACTTAAAGGTTCATGGGACTTAGTAACTGGGGTTATAAATAAGGTAACTGTACTTATACTTACTGATAACCCCAATTAAGGTACTTATGACCTTACTTACTAAGCCCCATGAGCCTCCAAGTATACCCTAAACCCTAAACCCCATAGACCCCTGTATGTGCCCGCGCTCCGCGTTCTCGACCCCCCCCCCCCCCCCCCCCCCCCCCCCCCCCCCCCCCCCCCCCCCCCCCCCCCAATGGTAACCCCCCCCCCCGACCCGGGCGACCACACAACAAGAACAAGAACAAGAACAAGAAGAAGAACAGCAGCAACAACAAAGCAGCAGCAACCACGCGGAGGAACCACAGGAACCACAGGGGGGGAGGGGGGAGACAGGAACCAGAAGAACCACAAAAGGGAGGGGGAAAACCAAGAGGAACCACAGGGGGGGGGGGGAACCACAGGAACCACAGGGGGGGGGGGGGGGATTACCATGGGGGGGGGAGGGGGGGGGGGGGGCGCGGATGCTGGCACATATAAGGATCCCTATAGATCCCTTTAAGGAGCCCTTTAAGAACCCTTACTTCCCCAAGTATGAGAGCACTATGGAGGTCTTATGGCAGGCCGCGCTTGTCTGGGGGCCTTAGTTATACTAGGGCTCTGGGGCTAGATTCATTCCGATTTTAAACCTAAGCCCTAAGGCCCTAAGGTCTAAACCTAAAGCGTCCCCGTTCCCGGGGCGGGAAGTCGCAGCCGCGAGAACATCTCGACTTCGTCAAGGGAAGTCACGGTCATCCCCTTTGAAAACACATTGAATGCGCTAAAGGGTTCATACGTAATGTTCTGACGGAGCGAGCCGTGGGCTCCTTCAACGGCCTTTGACACCATCTTTTTACACTTCTCCTTGAGTGTTGCAGCGATGCTTTTCTTCACATCGACACCCTGACGCTGGTGTTCGTGTGGGCGCGAGTTGATGGCTGCTTAAAGCACAACACCCGCCCTTCGGGTTATCTAATATATATATATATATATATATATATACAAATATACATATATATATATATGAAGATAACATAACATAATAGAAGGCGATAGTATTCACTCCTAGACCCTGCACCCTCAAACCCGACATCCTAAAAACCCTTTAACCCGAAAACGCACTGAAGGCGATAATATTCATTCCTAAACCCTCACACTCGAAATGAGAAAAACCCAACCCCGAAAACGCCCGAAGGCGGCAATATTCGCCCCTAAACCCTCCAACTCGAAATGAGAAAACCCCTAATCCCGAAAACGCCCTCAGGGGGATAAGATTCATTCCTAAACCCTCAAACCCACATCCGTTCATTCCTAAACCCTCAAACTCGAAATGAGAAAAACCTTAACCCCGAAAACGACCGAAGGCGGTAATATTCATTCCAAAACCCTCAAACTCGAAATGAGAAAAACCCGAATCCCGAAAACGCCCTGAAGGGGATAATATTCATTCCTAAACCCTCAAACCCACATCCGTTCATTCCTTAACCCTCAAACCCGAAATGAGAAAAACCCTAACCCCGAAAACGACCGAAGGCGGTAAGATTCATTCCAAAACCCTCAAACTCGAAATGAGAAAAACCCTAATCCCGAAAACGCCCTGAAGGGGATAAGATTCATTCCTAAACCCTCAAACCCACATCCGTTCATTCCTTAACCCTCAAACTCGAAATGAGAAAAACCCGAAGCCCGAAAACGCCGTGAAGGCAACAATGTCCATTCCTAGACCCTAAACCCTTGCAACCCTGAACCCGAAGTCTGAAACAAAAACCCTAAGCCAGAAAAGGCCCTGAAGCAAACCCTTCGTCAGAGCCTAAACCCTTAACCCTAAGCCCTAAGCCCTGAACCCCTAAACCCCAAACCCTAAACCTCTAAACCCTAAACCCCTACCCAAAACCCTAAACCCCAAACCCCAAACCCCTAAAAACCCCTAAAGCCCTAAACCCAAACCCTAAACTCCTAAACCCCTAAAACTTCCTCAGAGATGCCGCAGCCATCGCTTCCGCCAGGGGCTCCACGAGATCGATGAGCCACACCACCTCAGGCAGCCAGGGTGCCCTAAAAGGGATCTAGGATGCCCTTTAAAGGGACTACAGGGCATCCTAGGGTTCCTTTCAAGGGATCTATAAGGGATCTATATGGGTAGGGTTTAGGGCTTTAGGGGTTCCTTTTAAGCGAGCTATAAGGGTACCTGCGAGGAATTCCTTAGGGCTAGGGGTTTAGGGTTTAGGGGTTAAGATGCCCAGTAACCTAGGGATAAAAAGGGACTCCCCTTTTTTGGTATTGGGTAACTTTATAAGGAACCTAGGACTGCAAAAAGGGAAAAAGGGTACTACTGGGTATCCTAGGGTTCCTTTGCAAGGATCTATAAGGATACCTGTAAGGGGTTCCTTCAAGGGATCTGTAGGGTTTAGGGCTTAGGGTTCCCCGCAAGCAAAAGGGTAACCTTTACCCAAAGGGCCCAAGGTACCTTCAAAGCAGAACGTAAAGTTTCTACATTACAAATTGCTATTATGGTCTGGGAAATCGTATCCCCCATAACAGTAGCCAGGACCTTCTGGGTTAGTTAACCTTAATTAGAATAGGGTTCCTTTAGTAACGTTCCTTTTGAACGGTTCCACAAGAGTTCGTATATCAGGTAATCAACTATACGTGCGTGTGAACGCGAAATAACCACCAATGCTAGTCTTAGGGCTCCTCATTATGTTATGTTTAGACTATAGTATAACACTCAAAAACCCTACTCTAACTGTTGAGGCCCAACTGCGACCGTTCCGTAGAATGCTATTTAAAACACTACTAGAGCCGATCTATTCCTTGATTTGGTTTGATTTATTGTTCAAGGTTTCAGGTTTGGGGTTGGAGGGTTTTGCTTAGGTTTAGTACGGAATACAGGGTTTGGGGTATGCTGCAGTCGACGTGGAGTAGGTAGGGACTCTGCGCAGATACGTTGATCACGGAGCATTGGGACCACTAGATTGGAGTTTCCTTTATTATTCGGGAATATTCGGGACCCCCAGTAGTATAGTCTCCGAACAATGAGACCCTTGTTATACGGACCCCTCAATACAGTGCCTCATACCTTTAGAAACCCCCCAAATAACACCGCCATGCTAACGCCTAAACCCTAGAATAGACTCTAAAACCCTAACAAAACCCGAAAGCCCTAAGCGCTGATTCCCAAAACCATACATCCTAAACCTAAACCCTAATAGGCACCAAAACCCGAAACCCCAAAGCTCTAAACCCTGAACCCAAAATCCTAAATCCTACTTGGAGGGGCCGGGGACTTAGTAAGTCGTGTGTAAGTAGGGGTGATTATTGGCGTAACTCCGTTTAGGGTACTTATAACCCTACTTACTTATAACCTACTTACTACGTCCCCTGCCCCTCCAAGTAAACCCCTAAACCCTAAACCCCATAGATCCCTTTAAGGATCCCCATAGATCCCTTTAAGGATCCCTAAAGATCCCTTTAAGGAGCCCTAAACCCTGAACCCAAAATCCTAAATCCCATAGATCCTTTAAGGAACCCTATAGATCCCTTTAAGGAGCCCTTAGTCCCTCCTTTAAAAGGAACCCGACTCTTAAATCCTAAACCCTGAATCGTGAAATTGAGATCCTCTCTGCTCTTCTGCAGCTCCGCGACGTCAGCCGCCAGAACGACGTCCAGCTGCATGCCTGGCCTTGGCTCGAAGTTCCCAGAGACTCCAATATCCCTTTAATGAAGGAATATCTACCTTAAATTATGGCCTCTTGTGTCTTGCTGGTTCTTTTTTGGGGGGGAAGGAGCGGGAATAGGTGTACGGTTTAGGGTTCAGGGTTTCGGGTGCTGTGCTTGCTTTTGCTCGGGAAGGGGGGGAGAGTAGAGGGGTCTTACTTCATAATTGAATCGGGGTTTGGCGGTCCATCGGAAACAAACCATACGAAGGGATTGCACAAGGAGCTCGAACTTTGCTGCATAACTATACTCAGGAATCTATTAAGGCGTACAGTTCGTAATTGTTCGGGCTTCTCGCTACTTGCTGAGGCTCCGCGCGCCTTAATGACTAAGGGGTTTTGGCAGGTTTTTGCGGGTTTAACGCTTCCCTGGTTTGGGGTGGGGTGGGGTCACGTGGGGGGGGAGGGAGGGGGCGGCGTTGTTTTAGGAAGCACTCTATTTTTGGTCCCAAGAATAGTACAGCACCTACATAAAAAGGACCCCAAAGGGGACCCTAGTTTAGAGAACTGTCCATGTGGGTGGTTGTCAAAATTATGGTCCCTTTTTGGGTACCTTAAATATCAGGTGCTCTATTTTAATAACGACCCAAAAGGGACCCTAATATTGACAACCACCGGCCCATGTACGGCTCAGGCCTGCACGATCGATGTAGTGCTAGGATTTTTGATGTAGGGTCCAGAGCCGGACTTTGGGGTCTATGCTTGAGGGCTTTTTGTTAGGATGCCCAGTAGCCTGGGAATAAAAGGGCTCCCGTGTTGGTATTGGGTAACTCTATAAGGAACCTAGGACTACAAAAAGGGCATGAGGCTACTACTGGGCATCCTAGTTTGCAACGTTTCATAAGGTTTTTTGGTTTTTGGTTTGGGGGTTTAGAATTAGGGCTTTGTGGGGCTGCGAAGGTGCAACAAAAGGGCCTCAATAAAAAAGGTGTTAAGGGGTATGTATGAGGCTTCCAGAGAGTGTAACATCGTGTGCACCGTAGTTCGGGTGGGCGTTTTCTGTTGGAGGAAGTATACCACGAATTCAGACATCCTGACATCCTAAACCTTATACTTTGGGTAAACTCTCAACTGTAGAACCCTGCACACCAAAATAGATATAGAACCCCAACTCTAGGATGCCCAGTAACCTAGAAATAGAAAGGGGCTCCCGTGTTGGTATTGGATACCTTTCTAAGGAACCTAGGACTACAAAAAGGGAATAAAGGTACTACTGGGCATCCTAGAATAGCTAACCCCAACTAAGGACCCAAGGCTCGGTCGAACAGTACAGACACTTGTAGTATACCGCTAAACGCACCGAACTATGGATCTTAAACCTCACCTGGAGGTCAGGGCTCGTAGCACATTCTTTCATAGGCAGGGCTAGAACTATTTCATAACTTATCCTTTATAATGCTGCTGAGCAACTGCTTGCCTACGTCCGCCTGCCCTCCTAGGGGATGTCGTTTTTTCGGCGTGGTGACTTTTCGAGACGAGAAAAACTTTTTTACATAATGATAGTACACCCGCAAACTAAAACACCAAACACCACAACATAGGGGAAACTTTGTAGGGGATTGTGTGAAATACATCACAAATTGTCAGTCCTATAAAAAATTTTCCAGGCCCCAAACCCTAAACCCCAAAACCCTGAACCCGTTACCCCATAACCCCATTAACACGTAAACCCACAACCCTAAACCTCAACCCTACCTCCCAACTATCCTCTAAATATACCCTAAATATACCCTAAATACCCACCATTAAGGACCATAAGGGCTCCATTAATGGGCCGTTGGGGGGTTTTGGTAAACCTCAACCCCACACCCCTGGTCTCTAATGCAACAACCTAGTAGACTCTAACCCCTCTCCCGTGTAAAACCCCTTTAGGAGCCCTTGATGGACCCCCCTAAACCCCTAAACCCGGAACCCTTACAGATCCCTTTATCCAAAGAACCCCCCTCAACCCCTACACCCCAAACCCTAACCCTTATCGAACCCCTGGTAAACCCCAGCCCTACACCACGAAGGAGCCTTCCAGCGAAGAACTCAGCCGCCCTGGCCCAATCCTGGGCTCTCATACGGTCTAATGTAGGAACCTGATCAAGAAACCTTGGGCCTTGAATAGGGTTCCCAGTGCTCTTTAAGGGTTTAAGGCTCTTTAGGGCTTAGCGTTTAGGATTTAAGGTAGGAACCTGATTAAGAAATCTTGGGTTTTTATTAAGGTTCCTTATATGAATCATGTGTTTTAGGGGTTATAGGGCAAGGGTGTCTTAATCAGGTTCCTACATTAAGGCTCAGGGTCTTGGGTTGAGAGCCCATGAAACCCCTAAACCCTAAACCCTAAACCCCTAAACCCTAAACCCTAAACCCCTAAACCCTAAACCCTAAACCCCTAAACCCCTAAACCCCCAAACCCTAAACCCCTAAACCCTAAACCCCTAAACCCTAAACCCTAAAACCCTAAACCCCTAAACCCAAACCCCTAAACCCCTAAACCCTAAACCCCTAAACCCTAAACCCTAATCCCTAAACCGTGCAGGCTTTAGGGTTCCCGGTTGCCAGCGTAGCCGGACCCGGAGGATTTGTTCAAGCGGGACAGGAGCTCGTCGACATAGTCCCCAACAATCTTGTCAACCTTTAGGGTTGAGGGGTTTTAGGGTTTAGGGTTTTAGGGTTTTAGGGTTTTAGGGTTTTAGGGTTTAGGGTTTAGGGTTTACCTTGTCCAGCAGTGACGGGAACAACCACGTTCCACTGCTCGGGTGATGAACTACGAGGGCATGGCGAAGAAATTTCGTCTTGGCCTTGGAGTGAAACTTAGCATGACTCATGCTGACCGAATGCGCTTCCTCACGGTAAGTAGCATGGTCGTTGAAGATGCGGTGGAACGACCGTGCCTCCTCGCTCAATGTAGGCACGAAAGTCGAAGCCACGAAACTTCTCGAACGCTGCGGGAAGCCACAAACCCGTGAACTTGGTGCGCGGCAAAGCCTCGAGGCCGTGGCGGCTTGTGGAAAGAGCAAGGGCGTCCCGCTCAACCTCAGCGGCCCGCTTGAAGGTCGGGCGCGCGTAGAAGAGCCCGAGGCGGCCGCCGACGCCGAGGGGATCAGAAGACACGTAAAGCTCTGATACCGCGCCGCAACGCAAAACACGTCCGCTGTGCGGAAGCTCAGGCTTTGCCGGGACCGCACTGATGGTCGATGCAAGGCGCCGGCGTTTGTGTCATACGCATTGTTAATGCTGAACGGTAAGACGACGCTTCGAAATCCCCACAGCAGAGTGATCTATCTGGGCAGAAAGATGAGTTTGAACAGGAATAGTTCACCAGAAAGGCCGTAAGGTTAATGCATAGCAACCTCTACCTCGAAAAACGATACTTATACAAACACCCTGGTAAACCCCTAACCTATAGCTGCACAGACCTGTAAAATCTGGAAACCAGGCGACGCCGCAGAACCTAGGAATCAAAAGGGTGCTCTTTTTGGTTTACACGGGGCTGATACGGTTGATGATATAAAATCCTGCATTACCTTAAGGACCCTAAACTATGGGAATTATGGTATATTCCTTATTCTGGGTAATGCAGGATTTATAGCATCAACCGTAAGGGAGCCTGAACCCTTAAAAAGAGAATAAAGGCCTACTGTAACCATAAACCCTAAACCCTATACTCTAGGTCCAAGAAGTACTAGCTGCATTGATCAACAAGGACCCCGAACTTCTAGACCCCACTCAAAGGCCCCTGGGACTTAGTAAGGGTTCTTCAAGGGCTCCTTACAGAGATCTATAGGGATCCTTAAAGGGACCTATGGGGTTTATGGTTTATAGGGTCTACTTAAAGCCTCATGGGGCTTAGAAAGTAAGGTCGTAAGTAGGTGATAATTAGGATAACCCCACTTAGGAGACTTATAACCCCAATTGTGACCTGCTTACTAAGTCCCATGATCCTTTAAGTAAACCCTCATCCCCGAGACCTGAACAATAATGGCCAGAAACTGAACCTTATTCATTCCTTTCCCTGAACCCTAACCCCTAAACTCTGAACCCTAACCCCTAAACCAGCCCTAACCCCCTGATCCCTAAACCGCCATCTCAAAGCCCTGAACCCTAATCCCCCAACTCCTAAACTTAGTTGCTGAGTTCATAAGTCCCCCAAAGTGTACACTTTCAGTTCTATAGTGAGTAATATTCTCCCTCAAAGTGTAAAGTGTATCCAGTCAGCTACTAAGTAAACCCTAACCCCCAAACCCTGAACCCCAACCCCTAAACCCCATTCCAACCCCGTACCCCCAAGCTCCAAAACCCCGAACGCCTAAACCTTAACCCTGAATAACATACATTTTAGGGTTTCTTATTATGATTTCTTTAGATAGGTCCTTAAGAAGGTAGGTTATTCCGGGTTAAGGTAAACCTTTGACAAGGGCCCAGAATCCAGCTCTGCCACCTCGACGATGCCACGGTCTTGAGCCTTCTGGGCCGGTTCTTTAAGGGGTTCCTTTAAGGATTCTCGAAGGGTATCATAAGGGCTTAGGGAGATTTGGGGCATAAGGCTCCATGTACCTACAAAAGTATACACTGTGGCTATATTGAGGACCCCAGAAAGCACATAAGCATAAGCATTTGATGGGGATATCCCTGCCTTATTGGGCTTCATTATAAGGAGTTTATATGGGATATCCCTATCCATATGTTTGCTTATGTGCCTCTTTTTGGGGGGCCTATAGGAACCCTTAGTAGATTCCTTAAAGGGTCTATAGAACAGTTTAGGGCCGCATACATCGGAGCCACTAGAAGGCCAAAGTGTATACCGTAAGCCTTAAACCCTAAACCCCTAAACCCTAAACCCCCCATTAAGAGTCCCTCTTTTCCCCTTTGATATGTAGGAGCCCCTAGAAGGCCAAAGTGTATACCATTTCGCTACGCGGAGTCTTAGAGGCTTTTTCAGGTAGGGTTTAGGGTTTAGGGTTTAGGGTTTAGCGTCCCCATAACAGTAAAAGTCTATAATAGGGCTACTATTCAGGGCCTTATATATCTATATTATGAATATTATCCAACTGTTACTGAGTGGGGGCCGTACCCAAAGGCTACTTATTTTTTACAAGAGCTTCAGAGTTTATGCGATTTAGGGTTTTAGGGTCTAAGAGAGTTTACTGGGCTTTCAGAGTTCAGCGCTAGAGCTTAAATCGGGGTTTAGGCATTAGGATTTGCGAGTTAGGGTGTCGGGTTTAGGGTCTGCATGGGTCTACGGTTGAGGGGTGTGCTGCCCAAAGGATCCTATGTCCTGTTATGGGGAATACTTCCCTAAGTCAGAATAGTAATTCCTAACATGGAAACCCTACATTCTACTATATCGGTACATAGGACCCTTTGGGCTGGCTTAAGGCCTTCAGGGCTTATGTAGGGCTTAAGGGTTTTGGTTCCCGCCTGTAGCTTTACATTAAGCTCCTTGAGTCATACCTGAACTCTATACCTGAACTCTATAAACCGGCTGATCTGGAAAGGACAACCAGTGCGGTGATTCTCGTGCCAGCGATTGGGCACGTCGTGCCGGATTGCTTCGATGATTGGCTCGGTCGAGCCGAACTAAACGGTTTGCAGCATGACCATCTGCCCATCTTTTCTAGCAGATTAATTCACAGGTTCTGAAAAGGCGTTAAAGACCTCTTCGTAAGCAGCTCACATAACTTCTCAGAGTGCTTTACAAGGGCTCTGGGGCCCTGCCATGAGGATGCTTGCAAGGGCTTGAGGGACCGATTTAGGGTTTAGGGTTTAGGGTACAGAGCTTCGAGTTTAGGGTGCATAGGTTGGGGGTTTAAGGGCTTGCGGTTTGGGACTCCGTGTTAGGAGGGCGGCATCATGCGAAGACGACTCCAATGCTAAGAGAACGACGATGACGACACCATCAACCACGAGCAGACTTACCGCTGTGCTGCGGTAGGAAATCTTAAAAAATCCGAGCAGACTTCAGGAGGAGGCGCGCACAGGAAACGGAACCACATCACAATCACCGCATCCGTACCTTGCTGAACGCTTCGCGACGAAACGATAAGAAAAGAACATGCCGCATGTCAGTTTACAATGCAAGCAACAGAGCCCTTGAAAAGAGGTAACCAAAGGGCTCAGCCAAACCTTCCAAAAACCCAAACCTTGACCAAACCTTCTAAAACAAACAACCCTGGACCCCCCTTGAAAGCAGCCCATAAACCCCGGACAAGACCAAGTTCCTCAATCCTACAGCCTACACCCCAATGCTCGAACCCTGAAAACTTAAATCCCTAAACCCTCAATCCCATAAAACCCAAACCCAAAAAACACAAAACACACAAAAAACGAACTCCGAGGCCAGCAACCGCGGCAGCAGTCAGCTGGGCAGCTGTCTCAAGTGCCTTGCCATCGGCAGGGTTTAGCAGTTATCGTTTAGGGTTTAGGAGTTGGGCGGCAAAAAAGCTAAGGGGGTCTAAGATTCTTGGAGTAGGGATTCCTGAATTAATTACTATGAACCTTATTATGGGAACCCTAATCCCTACTAAACCCCCATAGGCCAAAACCCCTTTTTGCCTCCAAAGAGTTTAGGAGTTAGGGTTTAGGGTTCAGAAGACAAAACGTCGTGGTCCGGGTAAACGGTGAAGGGTTTAGGACTTGCTCAAGCAAAGCTATCCCTGAGAGCCCAGTTAACTGGCATTGTTAATAAGTTATATGGCAAGTTACTGACTTGTGGCGACTACACTGTAGTAGCCATAACTCAGTAACTTGCCATATATCTCTATACAAATGCAGTTACGAGCCTTATGTATTGTTTCAGGAACAGTATCTTACCTGGAGGGTCGGGGACTTAGTAAGTAGGTAGTAAGTAGGCTTATAAGTACCCTAAAAGGGACCCTAATTGGGGTTATGGTACTTATAAGTCCCTAAAATAACCAGTTACTAAGTCCCCCGACCCTCCAAGTAGCTACTATTTGCGCAGCTGGGAGGATGGCTTGGGAGTTTCGTATTCAGCTCCAAAGCCTTCGATGCCCAGGCCGCCAAGATCGCAACAACCCCCCCGCTCCCCTGATGAGGACACTTAAAGGATCATGGGACTTAGTTTCTGGGGTTATAAGTAAGGTAACTACACTTATAGTTACTTATAACCCCAATTAAGGTACTTATAACCTTACTTACTAAGTCCCATGATCCTCCAAGCAGGGATCTCGATTTTGAATCCCATACAATGAGAGAAGGTTTATTCATCGACGATTCTACCTCAATCTCAGATACTCTGCTAAATTCTCACTAACGCACAAGACTACCAACATCAACACTGAACCCTAAACCCAAACCGAAATCCTGAACCCTAAACAGTGCCTGTTGGACCGCTGCATTAAGCAACATCCAATCTTTTATTAATTTACAGGGGCTTCTAGAGGAGATGTCATTGCTGAAATACTTAGACGTGGCTACAACCCAAATCCTGTAAAACAGGGCGGCTTTGATATTTAGAACAAGCGCTTTGGGGAATATACTATTATGTACATGAACCCCCCCCCCCCTAAAGAGGATTGGTGATTACTTTTGCCCTATATGGGTAGTTCTGAAAAAAGTGGGTTCTTTGTATCAGGGTGCCTTACTATTTGGCGGACCTAAAACGGAGCCTACTTTAGAGACCTACCCACGTAACCCTACCCTTAACAACCCCAAACCTCAATCCCTAATCCCTTGCAAACCCTAAACCCTAAACCGCCATGCCAAAACCCTTGCAAACCCTAAACCTAAACCTCAAACCCCCAAACCCTTACAAACCCTAAACCTTAAAACCTAAACCCTAAAACCTTACAAACCCGAAGCCCTAAAACCTAAACCCCAAAACCTTACAAACTCTAAGCCCTAAAACCTAACGCCCAACACCTTACAAACCCCGAGCCCTAAAACCTAAACCCCCAAAACCTTACAAACCCTAAGCCCCAATACCTAAACCACCAAAACCTTACAAACCTCAAACCCTCAGAACTACACTATGCCCTTGGGGAAGATCCCAAGGGCTCTTGCGAAGCTGCGGGCCTCCAAGCAGTACGCCAGGTCCGTCAGGTGCACAGCCTTCACAGGGCTTAGGGTTCATACTGCTGATGGACAAAATCCTGCATTACCCTTTATAAGGAATATACCATACTTCCCATAGTTTAGACTCCTTAGGGTCATGCAGGATTTTGTCCATCAACAACAGGGCTATTAGGGCTTATGGGGTTTAGGGTTTAAGGCTATTTTAGGGTTTGGGGGTAGCTTTAAGGGAGCCCTTAAGGGAACCCTTATAGGGTTCATACAGGGTTATATAGAGTTGTTATAGGGATTTTAGGGTTCATAGTAATATTAGGGTCTTTAATAGGCCTTAAATAGGCTTACGATTTCAAATGGTTCTTGCTGAGGATCTGACTCACTTCTTTCTTGGTATTGCAGACAGGCCACCTGCCTTCAACACCAGTGTGAAAGTTCTTATAGACCTTTGAAGGAACCCTTATAGATCCAGGAAGGAAAGCTATGAAGCCTGTACACCCTATATAAAACCCCAGGGTTCCTTTAAGGGCCGTTACTTGAAGGCTCATGGGACTTAGTAAGTAAGGTTATAAGCAGGCTATAAGTATGGTAACCCCACTTAGGGGACTTATAACCCCAATTATGACCCACTTAGTCCCATGATCCTTTAAGTAACTAAAGCTGAAACCCTCGGCCTCAGCGCCCAAGGCTGCAGCCGCAAGGCCCGCGAGGCCTCGCCCGGCACCAAGCTCTAAGACCTGCTTGGAGGGTTCTGATCCCAGGGTTCCCTTAACCCTAAACCCTAAACCCTAAACCCTAAACCCTAAATTAAAGGGCTCCTTAAAGGGATCCTTACCGGGATCCTTAAATGGCTCCAAGACCTGCGAAGCGACTGCAAGGCCCCTTGAATGAGAGCTTGTTGAGGGTTTAGGGTTTAGGGTTTAGGGTGTAGGGGTTTAGGGTTTAGGGGTTTAGGGTTGAGGGTCTAGGGGTTTAGGGTTTAGGGTTTTAGGGTTTAGGGTTCACCAAAAAATACAGCAAGGCCCTTGCACTCAGGGGTTTTAAAGGGAGTTAAAGGTTTTAAGGGTTTTGTGGGTTTAAGGGTTCAGGGTTTCTAGGGGCTTGGAAGGGCTTTGAGGGTTAGGATTGTAAGGGTGTCTTGGATTTAGGGCTTAGGGTTTTTAGGGATTTAAGGGTCTTTGTTTGAGTTGGAGGCCTCGAAAGTGGCACTTCCACTTTGAGTTGAAGCTAAGCGCCAGGTCCCCTGTAGGCGGTGTCGTTCCTCGGCTTCTCCCAATTCTGCTAGCCTTCCGCTTCCCAAGCGGCCCAAGCCTCGGCTGAATATTTATCCTCGCCCTCCTTTGCTCGTGCTGCGGCTCCGATCTGTTGCGTTGTAGCAGCAGATCTGCAATCCCAAGGTCCCGGATCCTGGAGACCTCCAGCTCACCTTTACCAGACGGCAGTTTAGGGTTTACCTTAGCCCCCCAAAACCTACCTATTAGGGGTCCATCATACTATTTTCTAGAGTGATTTCCTTGTATAAGTTCATCAAAAAGTAGGATATTCAGGATTAAGGTAAGGTTTGGGGTTTAGGACCCTAAACCTGGTAAGTTCCATGTTGCCGAAGCCCTCTGCCCCTCAGTCAGGGACGAAATTATGCTTCTATGCTTACAAACTATGGTTCTCTGTATCTTTTGCTGCAAACCCTAAGTGCGACACGAACGAGGAACTCTCTTCTGAAGATTCTAGGAATCATTTGCTCTCAAGGAAACATAAGCAAAAATATGCCTGTACAGCGATCTTTGTGACGAGGTTGTATAAACCCTCAAACCTCTAGACTGCACCAAACCCTCCCACAACCTTGAATCATTGTAATGCTAGCAGCAATGCGGATACTAGGTATAACGGCAGCCCAGCGAATCCCAGAAAGTTGGAACATGGGTTCAGTATCACTACTGCTAGGGCCTTTTGTGCTGTACCTCAAGTTTATGGCCTTCTACTCCAGAGTATCTTAATTCCATCTAGTATCTCTTAGGCCCAAAGTACATCCACTAAAGTACATGTACTCGTGCTTTCGGGTCAGCGTATGAAGTATACTCATAAGAAGCATGGACCATCATATGGACCCTTCGGGATAGTAATATTTAGTTTTAGACAAAGCTATAGCTCCATATTAAGCAACGGAGGAAATCAAGAATTACCCCATATCGACACATAGTTTCTAGGATGCCCTGTAACCTAGGAATCAAAAGGGCTCCCTTCTTGGTATTGGGTAACTTTATACTTAAAGGCTCATGGGACTTAGTAAGTAAGGTTATAAGTAGGTTATAGTTAGGATAACCCACTTAGGGGACTTATAACCCCAGGTATAACCTACTTACTAAGTCCCATGATCCTTTAAGTAACCTAAACTACCCCTTATAGAACCCCTATATCGATCCCTTAAGAGGAGCCCTTTAATGGAACCTACTTACTAAGTCCCATGATCCTTTAAGTAATGCCGAACCTAGGACTACAAGGCATCCTAGTTTAGGAATTACTGTTACCCTAAGACTCCATGTACCCATATAGTAGGTACTTAGGCCTTAAAGGGGTCCCTATATGGGTACTTTAAGGCCTAAGTATCTACTATATGGGTACATGAAGCCTTTGGGTTAAGATTTGAAGAAGTATCCCCCATAACAGTGCCAGGAGCCCAGGGATAATATCCTTTTAGATCCCTTTTTGGACCCGTTAGAGGAAAGCTTGAAGGATCCTTGAAACCCTGAACCCTAACACCTGGGCATCCTAGCAATCTTTTAACTGAAATTCCTAAACCCTAAACCCTACTCCTAAACCCCTAAACCCTAAACCCCTTAAATGAAATATGCCGGCAGACCCCGAGCCTGGCGTCCACGCACGAGCTCCGGCTGTTTCTCGAGGAACTGGGGAAGCGCGAGGAACGCGGTGGGTTTAGGGTTTAGGGGTTCGCGTCTTGGGGTTTAGGGGGTTACTTCCAAGGTTTCTGCAATGGTTCTGTTAGCGCGGGGAAGCTTACATCAATTCCTAGGTTTCTGAGTAGCAACTGTAATACAAGGGTACCCTTTCTCCTACTATTCTGTTTTGATTTATAAGGGGACCTTATAAAAGGGCAAAAGGGCACTACTCAGGAACCTAGATTTGAAAAACGGCTTCGGGTTTAAGGAGGATTCTCGGATTCTTGTTGGAAGAATGGGATTTAATTCCTCTGATGGGGTTTACGTGTTTCGATGAGGGGCTGATTAGTTTGTTGAAGATCTGATAGAACTGTCCTTCCGGGGTTTGCTTTGGCGGTTCATTTTTGTGCTACATACAGTGCGAATAACATGTTATAGGAAGGGGTCTCGGCTTGGTAGGTGTCAGGTTTAAGTTGTACGAGGCTGTTGATCATTATGTTGCAAGGTCTTGTGTTGGCTTTAGGATTTGACACGAAACCGGCTTGTTCGTTATGGCATCAGCAGCGATCTTGGCGCTTACAGTCTAGGACTCACCTTAGTTGTCTGAAGGTTGTGGGTTGAATTTGCTTTTCCGAATTGCTTCTCCAGAAAAGAAAACAATCAACCGACATAACAAAGGCAAGACCATAACAATTCACAGTCATGCTAAGCTATACGAGCCCAAAGATCGTTGCATGTCTGAAGACCAGCCAGGGCGATCGATTCGGTGCCTTGCTGAGCGCCACCGCTCCATCCCAGATGCTCGTGCCGGTATCGGCATGCTCCTGGAGCTGGCCAAGCCAAACCCACTCAACAAAAACTACCGTAGGGCCGTAATAATTACCTATTACTATTTTGGGGGCTCCTTGCTAGAATTATAGTATGATGGGCCCCAAAACCCTATTGAACAAATTCTCAAGGCCATTAGAACCCCAAACGCCTCAGAGCACCAACCCGACACCCTAAACTCAAAGCCGAACGATCGAAAACAGCAAGAACCTGCTCGCAGCTTCTTGGAGGTTTTTTTGGCTTGAGCGGGCCTCGTCGACTACAGCTGTAGCACTCGGTCCCTACAAACAAACAAACAAACCAACAAACAAACGAAAACAGCGGTGAAACATGGCGGCTAATTAACAGAGGTCGACAGCTAGCTGCGGCGCACAGGCTTTGCCGGTGTTGGCCGTTCAGCACAAGCTACGGTGCCTCAGCGACCGATCCACAACAACCGTGGGCCGTCGCCCAGAGCTGTCCAAGACCATCGGTGGAGCCCAAGTCAAAGCTCCGGCCGCCGTTCTAGTTCCGTCGAACAACGGACAGCCCCGAGGTCTTGTTGTGTCACGATCGTGCACGGAAAATCCACAAGTCCACAGAGCCGACAACCAGTGGCGGGCGCCACGAAAAAAGACCCTTCGACGTATGTCGAATGTCATGGACAGTGGAATTGACTGTTGGGCCCAGCTTCCTTAACGTGCACGCTCCGAAGTCGAAGGGGGCCAATGATCCAGCAGGCGCTGCATGTCGCTGCCACTGGTCGGGAAATGAGATTCCCGCAGGAGGTACAGCAGTTGATACTGGCCTTCAGTATACAAGGTCTTGAGGCGGTAAAACCATACTGGAGCGTGTCTGTGTCAGGCTCATGAAGATGCGGCATGAGCTCCTCGGTAATGAACGGAAGCTGAATGCCCGGGCCAATGCCACCCTGCTCCATGAAAGTCTGAGCCGCTGCTCGCCAGCTGTCCTGTCCCCAAGGGTGGCCAAGCCGGTACCGTGGACGGCTACCGTCGGGCATAGCATCCTGATTGGACTCTTGTGCCACCAAGCGGTGGATTAGAACTTGGGCCCTGCAGTCGCATGCGTCGAAGAGGGCATAGCGCCACAGGCGTGCTGGGAAGTAGAAGTCCATTTTTCGAGGGCCGCGCAACCAGAACACTACAACGGCACTGAGCTCCCAACCGGAGGTGGTGGCAGCTGTGCGAAGGCGATACAATGCGGCATGCAAGAGCCCAGCGGACTGGATGGGGAGCGTAGGCTGTGCTTGCAAACCCAGAGAGGCATCATCCAACGGAAGCAAGAGGCGAAAGGTGCCTTTACAGACACCTGGGTACGAAAACTCTTGAGGATCGAAATCCCCGCGTCTAGCTGGGAGAAGTCCACGATGGAAGCCTTCCATCATGCGGGCAGCAATCGCGATTTGGGGCTGGCCTACAAGAGAGGCCGGCACCTCCGCCTTGACTCTAATCTCCACAAACCGCAAGCCATTGCAGCTTCTTGGAGGTTCTGATCATGGCTATGACTGAGTATGTCCGCAAACAAAAGCAAGAGGCTAGCCTGCTTAGACTTGCGGTGTACTTAACTTGAGCGTCCAGCTGTAGGGCTTCACAGCTCTGGACATCAGTGGAGCGCTAAGCCCCAAAACCTTACATCCTAAACTCACGCTCTATGCTTTTTCAGGCTAAGGGATTTGGCTAAGAGAAGTCCAAATGGCCTCAAGCGCTTTCTAGCCCCCACAGCCCTGAACTCTTGAAGCTAATACAGGGGTCTATATTAATACAGGTACATGAAGGAGCCAACGACGTAGTCTTGGTAACTTCTTAGCTCCCTACATATTAGACTCCTGTGTCGTCTGCGGCCGGCGATCTGGGTCAGAACCCAACAGTATCGGTCTGCCGGCAATCCTGGTTGGGGCTGCTCCAAGGTTAGGGGTTTAGGGGTTTAGGGGTTTAGGGGTTTAGGGGTTTAGGGTTTAGGGGTTTAGGGTTTAGGGGTTTAGGGTTTAGGGGTTTAGCGGTTTAGGGCTTTTAGGGGTTGAGGGGTTGGGGCTGCTCTGTATGCAGCTACGAGACTCCGTAAGCTTGTCTTTTGAGTTTACAATGGGCTGGGAGGAGTTTACTAGGATGCCCAATAACCTAGGAAAAAAGGGCTCCCTTTTTGGTGTTGGGTAACTTTATAAAGAACCTAAGCCTAGAAAAATGGAATAAGGGTTCTACTGGGCATCCTAGTTTATTTAGCGTTGAACGTTCAGAATTTCCTTCGAAATTACCGGTGCAGGGTTGAGTCTTCAAGGAGAATGTGCTGCAAAGCACCAGGACAATCCCAAGTCCGGCCCCTGCAAGCTGCTAACCCAATCAAAATGCTGAAGGTTGGGGGTTGAGGGAGAGGCCGAAGGTCCACTTAAAGGATCATGGGACTTAGTAAGTAGGTTAGAATTGGGGTTATAAGTCCCCTAAGTGGGGTTATCCTAATTAAAATCTACTTATAACCTTACTTACTAAGTCCCATGAGCCTCTACGCAAGATCCCATAGACATGCCTACGAAACGCTCCAGAGAAAATACACAAACAACAGTCGCCTCCCAATCAGCCTCGCCAATTCCCTGAATTCAACCATATCAACGCACAGCAGCCATACCTAGTTCATGGGTGGGATAGGATGAAAAGTGTACACTTTTGTTCCGTATGGGTTTAAGTACCCGTGAGAATGTAAAATATTACCCAACTATAACAAAGATACCCCTAGACACTGTCTGTGCTAAATCGAACTGCCGAGCTGAATTGCCGCAGATCCTGAATTGAACTCCTCAACTTTCAACTTGAATATGGGAGCTTCCGAAAATGAGGAATACCTGATTTTGGGGGGTTCTTATAATCAGGATCCTACTATTTAGGGTACGATATCAGGGCCCCTTGTTTTCGGAAACCCCCCCGTATAGATGTCTTGACAATTGCAATAGCATGCGAGGGCCGGGGAAGTTCTATGATAAGGGACCCGAAGGAATGGTGCTATATTAACCCTGTACTATGGAATGCGCCCCAAACCCATAAACCCCTTACACTCCTAAACCTTGAACCCGAAATTCTCACCCCTAAACCTTCAGTCCCGATCCTCAAACCCTGAACCTAAACCCTATTTTGACCCTTGCGGAGACTCTAAACTCACGAGGATTCGCGGAGGCGCTGGAAGGAACCATCGAAGCTGACGTTGAACCTGTTCTTCGGCTTAAGGGTTTCTTTATGATTTCAAGTCTTGAGGCTTACTTATAGGGTCCTGAACAATTCAAGGGGTGTGTTTGATTGAAACCTTCAGGGTGAATGTTTGAGGCTTTACAGGGCTTGACGTGGTGCTTCTATGTCTGATGATGTTCCCACCACACAAGGCCTGCACAATCAGGGGTTTTGAGTCTACTGTCATATTGTTCTACCATCAACGTAGTTAAAAATAGAAGAAACATGGTGAATGTAAACCGTAATCCACCTGACAGTAGTTTGGAGCACTACCACAAAGCTGTAAAGCCAAAGGCTGAAGAAAACCCTGAACCAGAGGCCCTGAAACCTACCTCACCCTAAACCCTAAACCCTAAATCCTAAACCCTCCATCCGGACAGTCCTACCTAAAACCCATCCATGCGGCCCTGATCCGGAACCTTATTGAAGCAGCAGAAAGCAAATAAGAACGAAATCAGGCACCCGACCAAAGCTGTGTTATCCATATACACAGCAATATGATTTGACCTATGTACTACTCTCTCATTTGTTTTTTTAATACTTATTTGTTGTTTTTCAATACTTATTTATGTATATTATATATGTGTATAAACAGACATATCTACATAAGAGGAAAAGGTCTATACACAAACACACACACACACACATACATACATACATACATACATACATTACATTACATTACATTACATTACATTACATTACATTACATTACATTACATTACATTAATACATACATACATACATACGTACATACATCCATACATACACACATATGCATGCATGCTTGCGTGAATGTATGAATACATACGGCACTTACCCGAACCAAAAAATACGACGACATGCAGCCGGATCCATGCAAGCCAGGAGCTGCGACCAGGGGAGGGCCAAGGAGGCTTCGGTTTGCACCTGGCGGTGCTGACAGGGTTGGGAAATTTGTGTTTCTACCCTGGGTTCATAGGGGCACTTAAAAGGGTAGGGGGGGTAAGGGGGGGTAGGGGACGAGACTTTCTTAAAAAGGCCCGATTAAATCCTTATTGTAGGTATTAGCCCCCTACCCCCCCCCCTCCCCCTACCCCCCTAAAGGTCCTTATGATGGGTTCTTGGTAAGAATTTAATTAAATTACCAGAATCGGGACTATAGTAACAATACTACGGTTTCCTTATTATGGCAACTTCGATTAAACTCCTTAACAAGAGTCCAGTACCAACAAGACGGCTAAACCACAAGTCCTTCAACCCTTCTAGAGCTCGCCCACACTGCCCTAAATTCCAAACCCCAAACCCTCATCCCAACCCTTTATCCTCAATCCTGAACCCTGCACTCACAAACAACAAAAGTCGCGGCCTACTCCCTAAACCCCAGACCCCAATCCCTGGAACCCAAACTCCCTAACACTAGAATTAAACGTCTAGGAGTCTAGGACCCTGCAACCCAAAGCCCTTGAATCATAAACCCTTTCCAGTATAACTATATACTATATAGCTACCCTAGCAATCCTACTCGCTGAGTCAGTCCATGATCGTTCAAACAGAACCCTAACCCACAAACCCTAAACCCACACCGGCCTCAGGTCGTCCCCCAAACTCTAATCTAGTATGGTATTGGGTACCTTTATACGGAACCTGGGACTACAAAAAGTGAATAAGGGTACTACTGGGCATCCTAGTAATCCGCCTCCTGAGGTCGTCCTAAACCCCCAAACCCATTAACCCTAAACCCTAATCCGCCTCCTCAGCAGCCCAAAACCCGAGGAAACAACAGTTGAAGCTTTCAGAATCGACTACCTTACAAGGGCCCCAAAAGTTGAAAAGTTGAGTATACAGCCAACCCCCGAAACCCTAAACCCTAAACCCTAAACCCTAAACCCTAAAACCCTAAACCCTAAACCCTAAAACCCTAAACCCAAATCCCCTAAACCCCTAAACCCAAATCCCCTAAACCCCTAAACCCAAATCCCCTAATCCCTAACCCCCATAATCCGCCTGCTCAGCAGCAGGCTCCTGGAGCCGCCACGAGTTGGCCTCGCAGTCGAAGACGAAGCTTCGGCCGTCGCGGGTGCGTCGAACCTTTGGGGCATGTATACTTAAAGGCTCATGGGACTTAGTAAGTAAGGTTATAGGTTCTAAGTAGGATAACCTGACTTAGGGGACTTATAACCCCAATTAAAACCTACTTACTAAGTCCCATGATCCTTTAAGTAGGGTTTCTTTTTAACCCAAAGGGTCCTATGTACCGATATCGTAGAATGCAGGGTTTCCATACGCAGCTGTTGCATACCCTGAGACTTCCTTAACTACTATTTCTTCCATTCTTCCATTCCCTACAAGCCCTGTTTCCATATTAGGACTTACTATTATGACTTAGGGAAGTATTCCCCACAACAGGACATAGGACCCTTTGGGTAATGTGTATTGCCTAGGTCTCCATAGTCTGTCCATTGCAGACATACGCAAGGTGAGACAATTTATAGAGGCTTAGGGTTTAGGGGTTTTGGGCTTAATTACGGATTTTGGGTTTAATTGGGGGTTTAGGGTACAGGATTCTAAGTTTGGGGCATTTCAGGGCGTCTATGGTTGAAGGGCTTAGGGTTTGGGCTTTGAGGGTTTAAGGGTTTTGGGGTATTTATAAAGGTCTAGGGTTTACCCGGACCCCAGAATATGCAACAAATTTTGCCCTTGCTGGGCCAACATCGAAAGCAAAAGAGGTGTCGTGCACTGCTCCTTTCAACTCTTAGCTGTGGTTAGTAGGGAATGGAAGAATGGTAGTAATAGTAGTTTTAATTGTACCCCATTCCCTCATTTGCTACTAACCAAAGGCAAGAATTTAGGGCTTAAGGGCTGGCTGTTTTAGCTTTTGTTGGCTTGGGTTTGTTGAACCTAGGGTTTGGGCTTAGGTTTTGATGGTTAGAAACTTTAGGGCTTGGGCTTCGAAGCGGGGAGGGGGTGAAAGTTTAAAGAATTTGGCATCTGCGGTGTCTGGGTGCTTGGAGGCGGGGCTTTGGGTGTGTGAACGGCTTGGGGTTTAGGGTTGCACTCAGGAATCGGCGTGACGGTTGGGGTATGCTAGGTCTTGTTTTGGCGGGTCAAGCTTCGACTGATCCCCGACTTGCTAAAATCCACCTCATCTTGCATCAAGTAGAGTCACCTAAACCCTAAGCCCTGGAAACCCTTAACCCCCCCAAAACAAAAACCTGGGTCTTATAGCCCGGAGATGACGTTTTGGAAAGATCTTACATGGGTACTTCTCGGAACTCGGGTCCTCTTTGGGGAACCCAAGACCCGGCGGCGTCCTTGCAAAAACGGGCCGTAACAGGGACCCTAAGGGACCCAAATTTAGCGAATTATCAAGTGACATTAACGGAGTTCAAAGTTGAAGGACGACAGCCTCCTGCAGGAAACTACGGTTGATGATATAAATCCTGCATTACCTTAATGACCCTAAAATTAGGAACTATGGCCTATGGTATATTCCTTACTATGGGTGATGCAGGATTTAGATCATCAACAGTAGGTCGAAAACAGGTGAGAAAGGTTGGTTTCGTAAAATCATCCAGGTGCTCTGTCTTCGACGAGGTGTCCAGGTACCAGAAACCATGCAGGATAGATGCAGTATTGAATACAACAACTAAAACCCTAACATCTACAGCTGGATCGGAGCAGTTTGGGCCCCTGTAGCCTCTTTTTGAAAGCGATGGCTGTCATTGTATAAAAAAAATTTCTGTTGCAGTGAACCTTAAGCCTTGCTCGTTGCTTCCCCTTCCCACGTACATCGACTACGTAAGCCTCAGATGACAAGCCGGGGAGGCCCAATGGGACCGTAAGTTCAACTGGCACCCCAAAACCTAAATAAATCGTAAGCACTGCACGATAACTACATGTTGACTCCGCAGTGTTTAGGGCGATTCCAAGGATGGACATTCTTCAAAGACTTAACTTGATATGGTGCCCCTGAATTTTTGTGACGAGTTCGACAAGCATAGGGTGCCTCCACGCTTCACACCCAAGAGGCCTCAACACTTGATACTGAGTTCACTTGATTCGCTCCATACTTGCACTATAAAATACAACTTCAAACCCGTTGTTGACTGACTTACAAAACCGTGTGCCTTAGGCCAAGACACCCCTCTGGCAAGGAAAGCTTGAGGCGAGAAGACCAGTACTGCGGGCTTCCTGATGAGGATTTACAGTTTAAGTTAAAGGTTTTTAGTCAGCTTTAGTATGTCGGGTTAAGGATTCACGATCAAACCTAAACCCTAACCCCCTTGCAAGAGAGGCGCTCGGGGAGCGTCGTCTGATGCACAGGTCGTGCTGCTGGCGCTCGCGCCCGCGCCCGCGTGCAACATGAGAATAGCGGCGACGACGGGAGGCCGGAGAAGCATGAGCTAGGTTTAGGGATCTATAAGGGTTCCTTTAAAGGGATCTATAAGGGTTCCTTTAAAGGGATCTATAAGGGTTCCTTTAAAGGGATCTATAAGGGTTCTATAAGGGGCTTTAGGGGCTTAGGGGTTTAGGGGTTTAGTGTTTAGCTGCATGGGTTTACAGTAGAAGCCAGAAAGTTGGAATAGCAATTATCATAGTTCCTTTAAGGTAAAATATAGGGGATCCTGGCATTATTCCATATTCCAACTTTCTGGAGTTCCCTTTAGGGTTCGGGGAGTTTGGGTTGAGGGTTAAGGGGATTTTCAAGGCTCCAGGGTTCAGAGTCTCTTGCTTGCGGCCCAGACATAAATATGAGTATTGCACTTGTTCTACCATTCCTGAGGGCTTAGGGTGTAGGTTTAGGGTTTAGGGTTGCTCGGATGTCTTGTGAGCTTACCGTTGTTGAGATCAGTTCGCGGTGCGCTCAATCGGCAACCCGTATCTTTAGACTTCCCTAAGGCTCTAAGGACTCATATATTCAGGCTTTTGGGCCCAAGGGCCATACTATATGTATGGCTTTTGGGCTTTATTGATGCCCACGGATTCATTGTCCTGTTTTCTATGTTCAATATATGCTACACCCTACAGTAACAGCTTATGTTTTGCCTGAGCTCGGGTTTGGGAAAGGATGCTTTGTTTGTTTCGGGTTCAGGGTTGACCCAGACTGGGTGTGATCAAGCATGTAGACTACCAACTCCTTACGGATTTGTGGGGGCAACCGCGTTCGGGGTTTATCCAAACCCACAAAATATGTGAAACAATGGCCCAATCCTGCTAAACGGCTCGCATTCTGCATAATTGTCGGGTCCAGGTAGGCGTTTTGGTGCTTAGACACCCTACCTTAAGCCGGAACAACCTACCTTTTTAGGGTTCCGTATTATGATTTCCTATACGTCCTGAAAAAGGTAGGTTATTCCGGCTTCAGGTAGGGTTTAGGTGGTGGGGCCTGGGATTCATAAATCACTGCAGCCCAATGGCTTGAAGGGCTCATATGCCACGGCAGAAACCGTACTCGAAGGATCAGGGGACTCATTCAGAAGGACTGCAATAAGCCCAAGAAGCAATCCCAAACTGCGCAGACTGGGTCGATCCTGGGTCCATTTGGGCCCGAGTAGTTCCACAAAGTGACTGCTATTGTTGTGCGGGGGTTGATGCATGGCATGCCCTGCAACATCTTTTAAGTAAAGAAGTACCTTAAGGGTGCATGTACCCAAATAGTGCATACGTGCCTATATACAGACTATGTTAAGGCCAAAGTATATATTTTTTGGGTACATGGACCCTTAAGCCCTAGAGCCTGAATCCCTTATAGAACCCTTCAAGGCACCCCTTAAAGGAACCCTATTTGGCTGCATACCCCCGAAAGCCCAAAACGACTACCTAAAGGCTCATGGGACTTAGTAAGTAAGGTAATAAGTAGGTTATAATTAGGATAACCCCACTTAGGGGACTTCTAACCCCAATTATAACCTACTTACTAAGTCCCATGATCCTTTAAGTACCCCTAAACTACCCCTTATAGAACCCCCGATATAGATCCCTTAAGAGGAGCCCTTTAAAGGAACCTACTTACTAAGTCCCATGATGCTCTAAGTAGAATCCGAGGCCCATGCCGGAAGCCGCAAGAGCACGTCGCCTGCAAGAACCAACCGGATCAAGGCCCCAAACTTAGAAAAATAGCCCTAAACCCTAAACCCTATATACCCTAAGCCCTAAGCGCAGAGACTGCAAAATCCCTCGAGAAGGAATAAACCCTAAGTGAAAGACGGATCCTTGTTCTGAGTTAAGGCATATTCCCTTAGTTTAAGGGGCTTTGTAGTCTCTGTGATCCTCCGAATTGGTGTCTGTCCTAGGTCCTTTAGATCAATTCCAACTGGTTGGTACGAGCCAATGGCAAAGGGACTGTTACAACAGACTGCGGGTATTATGGTAGATGCCAACTGTGGCTTGTGCAGATGCAGCAGCAATCCCAAAGGCTCCATGTACCTTTATAGTTGATACTTAAGCCTTAAATGGGTCCCTATATAGGTACTTTGAGGCCTAAGTATATACTATATAGGTACATGGAGCCTTAGGGAATGTGAAGGCCCGGTTGGCGCTTTAGCAAACCCTAAGTCCTCAAACTCCGGCCCTAGACCATACTAGGAGGATCATGGGACTTAGTAAGTAAGGTTATAAGTGCCTTAATTGGGGTTATAAGGAATTAAAAGTATCGTTACCTTACTTATAACCTCAGTTACTAAGTCCCATGATTAAGTAGGCCCTTACATCGCAAGCCCTTGAACCCTTTATCCTGAACCGTACGGTTGATGATATAAATCCTGCATTACCCATAATAAGGAATAATGTAAGAGTGGTTTTATTAAACCGGGTGACAATTAAAATACTCTCTGGGCCAGAATTTCCGGGCGCAAGAGGAGTTTAAAGGCAAGGGCAGATTTGGCCAAACAACTGATCATAATTTTCCAGTCGCAATAATTAACGGGGTGACAATTAAAATATTCGGGCTCAGAAATCCCCAAAATTCTACAGACGAGGCTACGTATTTAGCAGAGACTCAAACAAAGAGGACCCTAAACCCAGCCAGCAGAGTGCAGATCGGCACAGACGACACTGAGCTACTAGCTCGCAGAGTGCAGTTCCAGACTGTTTCACTCCACCCCTCGGCAGATCCAATGGCATCCAGAGAGCTGTGAAACAGAAGAACTCAGGCTGCCTTAGGTGGCAGACCCAGCTCCAGACGCAGTCTGTTCAGCAGATACCGCTGCAGCTTGACAGGGTCACAGTCCAGACAACCACTTTGCCAGTGGCATCTTGAACAGACGCCCAGACCTGTCAGACGGACAGACTCGATCCGAGACTTGTCCTCCTCAGACAGATCAGAGGCGTCAGGCTCCTTGTTCAGAGAGAGCAGCTGCTTCGCCAGAGTCTCAAGCTTGAGGACAGAGGCAGCGTCCTTGCCAGATTTCGCAGCCAGCTTCTCAGACCGGATCCGGTTGGCCTTCAGAGTCTTCTCCAGATCCTTCTCTTTGCCCAGAAGCTCCTTCTCCAGCTTCGCCTGCTCCCCAGACAGCTGAGCCAGAAACCCTTTCAGCTCAGACATGAGCTCCAGAACCAGCTTGCCGCGAGACCCACGAGCACAGGGTCCTTCCAGAAGCAGGCCCGAGCAGATCCAGAGCATGTTGGCCAGAACCCAGAAGCCGCACTCGTCAGACTTCTGGGTGCCAGAGCAGCTTCTCTCTGGCAGAGTCTCTGTCCGCAGAAGCAGAGACAGAAGCCGGGCAGCGTTCACAGAGCACTCCTCGTGCTTCTCAGACAGGCTGTCCAGGTACTTCACAGAGAAGTTTTCTGAGAGCTCTTCTCGCTGCAGGACCAGAAGAGTCCAGTGGTTCCGAGAGTTCCCCCAGACAGGCACGAACAGCAGCTTGTTCTCAGAACGAAGTCTGTCCAGAGCAGCCCGCAGAAGCTCGGGGCGGTCGTGTTCGCCGAGGAGCTGCCCAGAGAGCTTCGGGTCCACCATGCAGATCTTGTTCTCCAGGAACCAGTTCTCGTCGGAGTCGCTCAGATTGTACCGCAGAAGTTCCCAGCCGTACCGAAGATGCTGGTCCAGAAGCATCTGCGGGTAAGACTTCTTGAACTTCAGCAGTTCCACAGGCTCCGCAGCAAAGAACCCACCAGAAGCCTCCAAAAAGAGGCTAGAGCCACCGCAAGCTCGCAAAATGCTTTGCTTCAGATCCCTCTTCAGGCGCATGTTCTTCCACTTCTTCGCAGTCTGCCAGAGTGGATCCACCTCGCAGACCTCCTTGTCAGAGAGGATCACGGTGGCACAGGCATCCCCTACACCTGAGCAGACAATGAAACAGAAACTGTCTTAATTATTGAAGAAAATAAATGCCACTCAGTGGCCAAGCAGAGACACCTGGTTCGTCAGAAGGTTGTGCATAGAGCACTTGCCAGACTTGCCACAGGTGTGGTCCTCTCGCAGAATCCTGCAGACTCGGCCGTAGAGAGGGCCCTTCGTTGCCTCCTTCAGCTCAGAGGCCTTCTCAGAGACGGGGTCAGCAGGAGCAGGGCCAGGCACCAAAGCAGAGTCGCCGGAGGGCTTGTCGTCCAGAGCCTTGGCCTTCGCCAGAGCCTTCGCAGCGTGGGCCAGGGCCGTCTTTTTCTTCTGCTTCAAAACGGCCTTCTTCACGACAGAGGGCTTCTTCTCAGAGGCTCTCGGCACCAGACGTTGCAAAGCTTGCTGTCGGGACATCTGTGTCAGACGATGCCTCATGGCTTCCAGAAGCTTTCCTCGAAGCTTCCGCTTGGCCAGAGTGATCATCTGCTTCACGTCTCGCTTGACAGCTTTCTTCTTAAAACGCTTTACGGGTACGTTCCGGACCCTTTCCCTTCACACAGATATTCGCACTTCACTTTTCCTCGGGCGCACGGCTGTCTTGGGTGCGTCCCTTGAGCCTAAACACCACAGTGGAACATTTGTTCCATACTATACAAAATCATGTGGCAAACAGCTCATCTACAGGATTATAGGGCAACACACTCCTAAGCGAAATGTTTGTTACCCCCTCTTCGTGCATCCTCTTTTGCCATTTCTTTCCTAGAGGTGCAACGAACCCAAAACAGTCGCACTTTCCTCCTTTTGAAACACTCGTTGTGCACTCGCTTTTTGTCGTGGTGTGAGACGAGTGAAACAGAGCTACTCCTACTGGCCGCTCTCAAACTCGTTCACTTCTTTGGCCTTTCAGCCTCAAAAGAACTCGTGGTGGCCCAAAAGCCACAAACTCTTCGAACTCTTTAAACTCTCTCCTCGTGAAGAAACTCTTCGGCTTCTCGTGGTGCAGTTGTCGTACAACTTTCAGAAAACTCTTTCCTCATTTGGGAACGAAGTTCCCCCTCTGGCTTTTCAGCCTTCAGATTCCCTTTTTCTTTATAGACCTCCGGTTTGGTCTTTCTTTCTTCTCTTTTTCCTTTTCTCCTTTAGCCGCTCTTTTGTTGGGCTTTCTTCCCTTTGCCCTTCTCCGCATTGTCTGTGCGGTACTTTTTCTTGTTTGTCTCCAACCTGTTCGCGTATGCTCTTCGAATTATCAATTCGTTCTTCTTGTACCAGGATTGGAACTGTTCCTTACTCATTTCTTCCCTTTGCATCTTTGGGGCATACTGCCCTGAGGCAGTATAATTGTAATCGGCATCCCAACACGTTTCGGAACCATGTCCAAAACGTGAACATACCGCGCAAACCATTGGCTGGCTTTGCGCATCAGGATCTTCGTTGATCCGGCTTTCCTCTTTAAACACCTGGAGCTCATCTTCGAGGGCCTTGTTGTTCTTTCCAAGCTCCTTTATCGTCTCGCGCATTTTCTTGCGCTCCTCTTTCATCTTCTCTGCATCCTCATTCGATGGGCCTTGCGTCGACCCAGCACTGCTTTTGCGCTTTTTCAGCTTTCTCAATTCTTCATTCAATTCTCCAATCTCTTTGTCCTTTGTCTCTTTTAGCTCCTTGATCTCTTTATCCTTTTTGTCGATCTCCTCTTTGATCTCCTTTTCTTTCGTTTCTTGGAGCTCTTTAATCTCTTTGATCCTCTTGCTCTCCATCTCTTTCAGCTTTTGCTCAGCTTCGCCCTGAAGCAGTCCACCCGCTGGAACCTGAAGTTCCTTCCTTTTTGCCTTCAACTCCTCCAGTGCAGTCTGAAGTTTCGGTCTCAATTGGTCCATCTCTTTCTGCAGGGCGGACTCTGCGTCCATTATCAATGTAGCCTCATTTTCCTGTTCCTCCTCTTCGGCTCTCAGCTTGTCCAGTTGTTTTTCTATGGACTCTTTGGCAACGAACGCTTCGTCCGCTACCCGCTTCAGCTCTTCCTTCACTTCTATCTCTTTTGCGATTAACCTATCTCTTTCTTCCTCTTTGAGCTTCTTCTGTTTTTGCTTGTAAGTATACAAGTCCGAGTAAATCGTGAATTTCTTTCGCTTTTCGTCCACTTTCTCCTGCAGAACTCGCATCTGCCCAAGCAGGTCCTGCACTCTCTTCTCCTCCTCCAGAACTGACTTCTTTGCCATTTTGTCCATGATCTCCTTGTATTCATCATCACTGGACTCAGACTCTTTCTTTCTCTTTTCTCCTTTCTTTTTCTCTTCCTCTTTTTCGGAGCTTTGCTCTTCCTCCTCTTTCTCCGAACTCACTTTCTCCTCGCTTTCGGAGGCTTCTTGCTCCTCCTCTTCTTTCTCCTTCTTTTTCTCTTCTTCTTCTTTTGTTTCCTTAGCCTTCTCTGCGGCTTCATTTGCCCTTTCCTTCTGGCCCCTTCGCCTCTCGGAAGCATCCAAGGCCTTCTGCCTCAGCTCGCTCACTCTATCTTCCATAACCTGTGCCTGGCTTCCTTCGGCACTTCCTTTGCTTCCTTGTGCCTCTCCAGCCAATTCCTCGGCTGTTTTCTTGAACTCTTCAGGCACTTTAACCTCCGTCTTTGCAGCTTCTGATGGGGCCGCCTCTTTAGGCTCATACTTTTGGTTGAGGCGTTGCACTTCGGGCCATAGGGCATCCAGGGTTAATCTCCTCTCTCGCTCCTTTTTGAGCTCTCTTTCGCATAGGGTTACGGACTCTATGCTGCGGCATTCGTCACTGATCATTGTCTTGAGGGCCGCGTCGTCGGCCATCTTTTTCACTTCTTCTTTTTCTTCTATTTCTTTTCTCCTCACTTCTTTTCTTTTCACTTTCTCTCTTTTCACTTCCTTCCTTGAGTCAAAAACGGCAGCGGCGGAACAAAACATGCATTCAACACTTCCAACCAGACTCTTCCACAAGCTACCGTTGCAAGCCATGATAACAACCAGTGTCATCATCATCACCATCATCACCAAACCAAGGTTTCCACCTTCACTGCTTCTACTGCTTTGATCTCTTAGTCCATCACACTGCTGAACCATCATCATCATCACAAGTCTTCTCAGATACTTCGTAGGGATCTTGAAGTCACTTGCTATCCTGACCTCTTCACTCTCTTCTCCAGTTTTCACACCGATTCTCTCCAAACACTTCACAACAGCGTTCCTCGACAAAGCCTTTGTTCCTACATCTGCAGGGTTCTCCTTTCCAGCTATCGCTTTCACTTGAAGACCTACAGAAGTAAGTCTTTGAACCCAAAGCAGTCCTGCATCAATGTGCCTCGTTCTTCCTAGGCCTTTCTTCATGAGAATAGACCTAGCACTGCTAGAATCCATCCTAATCACCATCTCCGGCCTAATCCCTAGAACTCTGTGCAACAGGTTCTGTAGAAAAACTCCTTCACTCAAACCTCCAACAGCTGCCACCAGTTCGCTTTCGCAGCTGCTCAAAGCCGTCGCTTTTTGCTTTCTCGCGTGAAAGTAAACGATGTTACTGTTCACGAAAATCAACACGCAGCTCGTTGACTGCCTATTCTCACGATCGGTCGCCCAGTCGGCGTCGGTCACTACCTCGATCAAACTCTTTGCCGTAAAAACATCTTTGTAGGCATTCTCAGTTCTCTTATCACTTGGATCTAGAAAACTCTTTCCAGGATATGCCTCTTTGTGTTCTATCACGTAGTGGGCTGTCGCTTTTACATACTTTGCCACGTGCCTAAGCACTGCTAAGTCTCCTCGCGTTGGCGCTGCCAACTTCCCAGACAACCACTTCGTAGCGAATCCCAAATCAGGTCTCTCAGGTGTCATATACAGTAGGATTCCTACACAGGATCTATACAGATGATGTTCATCTGCATCCAAGGGCGTGTCGTCCTTCAACGATCTTCCGTAATCCATTGGAAACGGCAACTTCTTCGGCAGGGCTTTTCCCAAACCTAAAATCTCTTCCAACTTCTCAAGATACTTGCCGTCCATCCTGATCTCAATTCCTTCTTTCGTTCCTAAGAACGTCCTCTTCAAGAAAGTACACTTTCCTTCTCCAACCTTCACTGGTCCTTCCAGCTTTATCTTCAACTTGTGCTTCAGCAGCAGATCAACCACCGCTTGGTTCTCCTTTGGTTTTCCAAACACTTCCAAATCATCCACATGTGTACTCATCAGCGTTCCACCTTCTCCTGGGGTCTCTGAAAACTTGTAGAAGAAACTTGGTAACCCCACATCGGAAACCATCTTCTCTTTCTCCAGGATTTCTCGTAAGTGCTCAAACCAATCACTGCTTCCTGTTCGTTGTCCCGGCAGGGTGTACTGCAGCTGGTACCACTTTCCTCCTAAACTCACAACCGTGTACTCCTTCTGTGGCACCTGAAGGTACGCGTCCGAAATGTCTATCGAGATCATCTCGTAGTCTCTTGAACTCGCACACAAAGCTGATAACAGCTTGATGCTCGAACCAATACTCGTTGGTGAGTATAGCGCTGAGAGATCGTAGTCCGTCAGCCACTTGTACTCCCGCGCCACTAGGCGGGCTCTCCTCTTCCATTGGAGGTCCCTATGCCTCCAATCCAACACGTACTTTGTACTGAGTCTCTTTGGTTCTTCTCCATTCGGACCTTTCTTCAACTCTCCATTCTCATCTAGTTCCACTTCTTTGAGAACTTTCATCTCCAATAATCTCTCGATTTCTGTTCTCTCTGCTTTCAGGTCCACCTTTGCCAAATCTTCATCTTCCAACTTTGGTGGCCCATCATCATACTCGTGAGACCAAGTAACCGTTAGGTCCTCTTCTGTCTCACACACCTTCTCGTTCCACTTGCTCTGGAACTCTCGACTTTCTTCCAGAAACAACTGTGTCTCGTCGAGATCAACATACTCATCTCCATGCTCTTCGGGATCTTCGCTCTTGGCGAATCTCCGAATGTGGTATTCCACTCGTGCCGCGCTTCCTCGTGCTTCGTCTCCAAGTCTCGGCACCTTTTCAACTCTTTCTTCTACCTCTCCAGTTCCTTCGTCTACTCTTGGTTCTTTCTTTGGTGACCCTTCTCCTTCTTCTTCTGCATTCCTCTTTGCAACTTCTCTTTGAAACTCTTCCAACGTCATTTCATCGGGCACCAATTCATCTTCTGCTTTTCTCTTTGTTCTCACCTCTCCTGGATCATCGTCATCGTCATCGCTCTCGTCGTCCATTGCTTCTGGCGTTGCTCCAGATAGCGACGAACTCTTGCTAGAAGAACTTGAGCTTCCTTGGCGGTCGCTCGGCGGCGAAGGCTCGCTTCTCTTTTCTTCTTCTACTCTTTTGTCAGCTTCCACCGCCAATCTTGGCAGTCCTGGCCCATCATCAATAGGCACAATTCTCTTCTTCTTAAACCTCAAAGCCTTCAGCTGATGATCCCATGGAGCTCCAACCGAAAGTTGCAAAAGCTCCGGCTGATATGCCTCAGCACATCTTCTCATTGTCCTCGCTTTGATCACTCCTCTACCTGTGCCAATCAAGTTCAGATTGCTCGCGTAGTCCTTTCCAAGAAAGACTCCTTTCTCCCAAGGTTCTCCTTTCTCCTTGGTCTTTGGCACTGCTTTTCCAAACACTGCTGACCCGAACGGGGCCAACTTCCCTTTGTACGTTCGGTCCACTGTCGCTTCAAACGCAGTTCTGCCATCTCTTCCAACATGAAACCTGTTGTGCAGCCATGCTGCATGTCTGTACGCCCAGCTATAAAGCGGGACATCCGATCCGATGGCCGTTCCACTTCGTTGCTCAACCGTCGCCAACAACGTCTTTGCAAGGTTCCTCACAGTTTGGATATACCTTTCCACAGGCAACCCTTGATGCTCATCAGGCGTGGCATCTTGCAACTCCGTCTTCAAACCTTGTCTTGTTCTTGCCACTTGAACTCCTCTCCTGATGGCAATCATCACTGGCTCGGTATCCGTTCTAATCACCACTTCAGCGTAACCCAAAAGGGCTAACACTCTTACCACTTCACTCACTGCGTGGTTTATCACCGCATCTCCTCCTTTCGTTGGCACCGCAATAGCTATCAGGAACTTCGTGTCGTTGTCAACACCCGCAAGCTGAATAGCAAGCGGATCTCTCTCCTTCTCATCTCCTTGTGTTCCTGTGAACATAAAGTCCAAGCTAAACACGGGCCGTTGCGCTTTCTCTTTCGTCTCTTCAAAGTTGTCTTCTCTGCTCTTTGCTGCCTGGCATGCTTCACACCAGGGCGCTCTCGGCAAATGCGTCAACTCATGCGCTTCAATCTCTTCCGGGCTCGGCAAAGCAGGCAGAGCCTCTGGAATCGGTTCTCTCTCAAACTCCTTTCTGATATCCTCAGAGATTTGGGCTTGCGCTTTCACTTTGCTCAGCGCAACCTCTTTCTTCAATCTTTTCCACAAAATCTCTTTCGATCCATTCTTCGAGATATGCAGATACTTGCACGCCGCTTTCATCTCCTTCAACTCACTCTGGCGTGTCAACTTCATTGGTCCAATCACCATCACTTCTTCCTCATCTTCACCAATCACTGGAACTCCTCTCTTCGGTTCCTCTTTCTCACTTTCCTTTTTGTCTTTTGAACTTGAGGAGGTTCCTGTGACCTCCATTGGCACTCCTTCTTGTGCCAGTTCTCTTTCAAGCTCTTCCAAGTTCGTGAGCAACCCATAGTCACTCGGTTCCTTCAATCCCTTTTCCAACAAGGTGACCATCACCTCAAACCTTGCTTGAGGACTTGCCCCAAGTTGCACTCTTTCTCGATCCTTCCAAATTTCCGTACACTCAAAGAAATCCATACTCTTCCAATCCACTTCATTCAACACTCTTTCTCCACTTCTTTTCATCTTTCCTAGCAAGGTTGTCCTATAAGGAAAATAATCGCCTTCATCTCCTGCTCCCTCATAGAGTCTATTAGGGAACTGACCCGTTGGGTCAAACGTCTTCCCCATAAACCAATCAAACCTTGCAGGCGTGCCGTCGTTTAGCACAAACCAACCATCTTCATCTTCTTTGCTCTTCAACTCATTCTTCAGTTCTCGCTCCAGCCTCACAGGCTGTACCGTCATCTCTTCTCCTTCAAGTCTCCGTATACACATCCTTGCCATTGAGGAATTCCTTTTGAAGTATATCGGTATTCGAACACTTCCTTTCTTCAACCACAATCTTCCATCTTCATTCACCGTACCCCAACCTAGCTTCCACATCTTTCCTACCGCAAACAAAGGTTGGGTGACATTGCCGCAAACAGCACTGTCGGTGATCTTCAACTTCTTTCCAGACTCCTTCGTGAAAACAAACGTCACATTCTGCCTCACAGGCAGCGTTGGGATCACTTTCCCTTGCGCATCTTTCAGATGATACTCAAAGTTCGAAGTTTCTCCGACTTCTTCTGCCCAATCCATAGGCAACACATGGCAGTCAGCTCCACTGTCGAGCACTACCTCACATGCATCCACTTCTCTTGCTGTTCTTCTCACATCATCTCCTTCAGAAACCATTCTCACACTTCTTTCAACTTCTGTTTCCAAGAACCACCATCCTTGGTACCACTCCATCAAACCATCAGTCGGTTCTTCCTCGATCTCTTCCACTTCATCGCTCGAAGAGATATCAAACTCCTCAACTCTTCTCAGCTCTCCTTGAACCAAACCTTCAAACTCCTGACACAATCTCACAAAGTTGAGCTCTTCATCCTCATCGTTCCACTCTTGTGTCATCTCTACTCTTCTTGCTTGGCGCGCTGCTTCAGCTGTGATCTGCCTCACTTGACCAGTCTCATTCTTCGTAGGAGGGGCATTGCTAGAGGAACTCTTCTCGTGATCTCCTTGATGGGTTCCTTCCTCTTCTACCTGTCTCACTTTGCCTTTACCTCCTTTTCCTTTTCCTTGATTCTGCCAGCAATCAGCTGCTTTGTGTCCTGTCTTTCCGCATATGTGGCACTCTCCTATGAACTTTCCTTTCCCGTAGCCACCAGCGTCCACTGCTCGTGCATTTCTATAACCACCTTTTCCTTTTCCTTTGTTGTCGTATCCTTTTCCTTTTCCTTTTCCTTTGTTGTCGTATCCTTTTCCTTTTCCTTTTCCTTTGTTGTTGTACCCTTTTCCTCCTTTTCCTTTGTTGTCGTGACCTTTTCCTTTTCCTTTGTCTTTTCCTTTTCCTTTCACTCGATCAATATCCATTGGTTGTGGTCCATTGTAGGGTGTACTCTTCGTTGCGCTTTCCATGTTAAAAGACTGCAAAATGTTCTCCGCATTCCACGATTGGGTACTTCTTTCATACTCAAGCAACTTCTTCCTGATGTCTGCGTACTTCGTCGTAGGGGTCAATCCTATCAGGATATGCTTCCTCAACTCATTTGGCAAACCTTTGAGTACTGTTCCGATTTTCAAATTCTCATCGTAGGGTTTTCCTTCGGACAGTTTTTCGTATTCTGCCACCAGTTTTTCGTAGGTAAGCAGATAGTCTAAGATAGAAGTCCCCTTCGTCATCTGGGGAAAGCTCACTAGAGCTTGAGCCATTGCCAGCCCTCTTGTTCGGCTTGACGGCTCCAACTCTTCAAACAGTCTCCTCCAGACAGAATATCCATCTGGACTTCCTTCTGACTTCAATAACTTCAATGGCCTGTTCCTAAGATACGAGGCCAAAATCGCATACAGCTTTGTACTTCGCTCTCTTTCACCAACTGTATAATCTGCTGGATTTGGTGGTGCCAGCTCCACTTTCTTCAACTCTTCTGCATAAGTGGGATCAATGAATCCCACAAACACTTTGAAACTGAAACTCCAATCTGGCCACTGTGAAACTTCCTCCTCCAAATTCTTTGGAGCGAACACATCCGGACTCTTCACCAGCTTAGCTGCAGAGTCGTAACTTCTGGTACTTCCTGTACCTGCAGCACTTGCCAAAGCTTGCGCTGCTGCCGACAGGTTCCCTATCAGGGCCTGAAGGGATCCTCCTGCAACTCCATCTGGTGCAGGCATCGCCATTGGCGTATCACTTGGTGTATCTCCTCCTTGACCACCGTGACCAGGGGACACAGGCAAATCCGCGTCTCCAGCTGGACTTGGCGTGGCCATTCAACTTTCCTTTCTTTCACTTTCCGTGACACTGGGGCCCAAGGCTCGTTTCTCCTTGTATTGGGCTCTTCTTCAGCCGAAGGTCCTGGCCTTCAGCTCCGCTACCATAAAACGCTTTACGGGTACGTTCCGGACCCTTTCACTTCACACAGATATTCGCACTTCACTTTTCCTCGGGCGCACGGCTGTCTTGGGTGCGTCCCTTGAGCCTAAACACCACAGTGGAACATTTGTTCCATACTATACAAAATCATGTGGCAAACAGCTCATCTACAGGATTATAGGGCAACACACTCCTAAGCGAAATGTTTGTTACTTCTGCAGAGTGTCTTTGTCCGCAGAGAGCTGCTTCTGCCAGGCTGCACGTTGCAGGTCCAGAGAAAGTGTCACGACGCCAGATTCGATGCAGGGGAGCTGCAGATCCAGTGGCATCTCGTGCACGTTCAGAAGGGCCTCGGAGACCTGGCTTTCCAGAGCCTCGTCCTGCGAGTCCGACTGGTGGTAGCTCCATTCCACCAGATCCGCCACGACTTTGGCTCCGTGCAGAGCAGACCAGTCCGGCTGGGCTGGAATGCCAGATGCATCCAGCCAGGAGTAGCGATCCTTCAGCCAGGCTGGCTTCGTCCTTGCAGAACCTCGGCTGCCAACATGTCGAGGATAACAAAAGCTACAGATTACTTGAAGCTGGAAAAATAGAGGAGAGCAGAGCGGCCCATGGAGGCGCCGCAGCAGTCTTCGTCTTTCAGAGGCACCAGAGTCTGCTTGGAGAAGTCCGGTCTGTAAGCCAGCAGACCGTTGCGGCGAAGACCAGACACGATCCAGTCTTTGGAGGCCTGTCTCTCAGACATCTTCGTCTGAGCTTGCACCACAGCCGTCGCCATGTCCAGATGGCTCGCTCGCCAGAACTCCTTCTCGCCAGCTGCCAGCAGAGCAGTCTGACCGGCATGCCTGCAGGCACGTATGGTTTAGGACAGTGTAATTAAACCGGACATCAGAGAAGGGAAGCAAAAACAAAATGATTAGAGCAGCCTCAGGTCGTCCATGGCAGACCTTGCCAGACTTTTGAAAGATCTGGCATAGTCTGTGTCAGTCAGTTGCAGACTCGCAGTCAGTTTCGGTCCAATGACCGTCTGCAGACTCTGCGAGTAGAAGAGAGACTCTGCCCCAGAGACAGACCAGGCCGCCGCGAAGCAGTCGCGGACATGGACAGAGGCAGGTGCCAGAGCAGCCAGCTCCTCCTGAGCCCAGGCGAAGATGATGCCATCCACATTCGCAGAGGGCTGGCTCATCAGACTGATCTGGCGAAACAGAGAAGGATCCTTGTCCCGAGCCTGCCTCCAGCCACGGAGCAGATTGCCAGCAGAAGAGCCTGCTTTGCGGCAGATCACCTTGCCAGAGAACTCAAACGTCTCGTCTCGCAGAAATCGACCAGAGCTGTCGATGTTGTTCAGACGAGCGTGAGAGCCGTGCACCACCAGAAGACCAGGCAGAACTTGCCCGCTCAAACCAGACTCGCCCTCCAGAGCAAAGTCTTTGCAGAGGCCGTACAGAGCTTGCCTGGCCTCGTAGGTGACACGGTAGCGCACAGAGTCCGCGTCCAGAAAGGCCCTCTTCTGCCTCTGACCAGAGGCACGGGCAGCTTCAGCAGACGGCTTCAGAGCCTGCAGCAGAGGTGCCACCAGATCGCCAGACTTCACCTGGTCAGAGGAGGACAGATGGTGATTCTTCAGAGCCTCTCGCAGATGCTGCTGGGGCAGAGGGTTGTGCTCCCACTCAGCAAAGAGCTCTCGCTCGCTGCCAGACTTTATCCACAGAGGGATTTGGTCGGAGCAGATCACGACCAAATCAGAGACATGCTCTCTGAACTCAGAGGGCTTGGCAACCCTGGTCGCCAGATCCTCCAGAGGTGCGAAGCAGGCTGTCCACAGAGTGCGGTCCAGACTCTGGTAAGTGAGCTTCGCAGAGACCATCTCCTCAGACTCAGACAGCTTCGTCTTCAGATCCGGCTGCAGATTCTTGGCACCGACATCCAGCAACAGCTGCCTCAGACGGTTCTTGCCAGAATCTTTCGCAGCAGACTGCAGCTGCTTCTCGCCTTCAGAGATCTTTTGATCCAGACGACCCCGCTCGAAGGAGTCTGCAGAGGCACTCTTCGCAGACTTGAGCTTCAGAAGCTCCTTGCTCACCAGAAGCTGCCACTGCGACAGCAGATGCCGCTTCTTCACAGAGTGCCCGTAGGCACGAGACTCCTCGAACCAGTTCCGCAGAGCGGTCTTCACGGCAGAAAACTCTGTCTTGCGGCCAGCTCCTGTCAGACGGAAGCCTTGCCCACTTTTTCTGGCAGTAACCTTCGCACGGCCCTTACCAGACCTGGCAGAGAGGTGCTTGCCAGGGAGCACAGAAAAGTTCCGCTCAGACTGTTGCAAGAGAACGTTTTCTCTTCTAGCCCAGAGCTTCTTCACGTACTTCTTGTCCAGACCAAGTTTCTGGCTCATGCTTGCAGCGAAGTCCTGCTCAGAACTAGAGCCAGGCATCTCTGTCTTCATCTGCTTCAGAACACGGGCTTGCACTGCCAGAGGCATCTCTGCAGAGCGCTTCTTAGAAGGAGCTCCAGGCAGATTCTTTGGTCTGCCAGTGTTCTTCTTCTTCGCGTAGCGTCGCTGAGCTTCCAGACGAGCTTCTTCGTCAGTCTGTTCTACAACAGACTCTCTTGCCACTTCTGCCAGAATTTGCTTCATGGCAGCGGACAGTGGCCTGCCCTTGGGCTGAGCTTCCTTCTCCAGAGGAGGCTTCTCTGCTAGAGGGTGCTCGGGCTTCCAGAAGTGCAGCAATCTCTTCTGCTTTCCAGAACCTGCTGCGGTTGAATCAAGAAACAAGAACGCTTGTCACTTGCATGAATTCATATCAGTAAATAGACAGTCATTATGTCAACTGGCAAAGACGTGATGTTAGTAAAAAGACAGAGGCTTTGGTATTCGAAAGCTGCAGGCTTTGGCAAGAAGCCAGGGACTCCGGATTCCAGGAACTGCAGCAGCTAAACTTGAGGGCGCTTCCTTATTCCAATTCTATATAAACGGAGCCATTTCACAAAGCCGGCAAGGGTAACCCTTTGCAGCCCTTCTTCTGGCAATTATAAACGGGGTGGCAATAATAAACTCCTCCGGGGGAGGGGCTCCCGATGGGAAGCCTTGCTTTTGGGAAAGCTATGAAGCCAGTGGCTTTGGACAAGAAGCCAGAGGCTTTGGTATTCGAGAGCTGCAGGCTTTGGCAAGAAGCCAGGGACTCCGGATTCCAGGAACTGCAGCAGCTAAACTTGAGGTCGGTTCCTTATTCCAATTCTATATAAACGGAGCCATTTCACAAAGCCGGCAAGGGTAACCCTTTGCAGCCCTTCTTCTGGCAATTATAAACGGGGTGGCAATAATAAACTCATCCGGGGGAGGGGCTCCCGATGGGAAGCCTTGCTTTTGGGAAAGCTATGAAGCCAGTGGCTTTGGACAAGAAGCCAGAGGCTTTGGTATTCGAGAGCTGCAGGCTTTGGCAAGAAGCCAGGGACTCCGGATTCCAGGAACTGCAGCAGCTAAACTTGAGGTCGGTTCCTTATTCCAATTCTATATAAACGGAGCCATTTCACAAAGCCGGCAAGGGTAACCCTTTGCAGCCCTTCTTCTGGCAATTATAAACGGGGTGGCAATAATAAACTCCTCCGGGGGAGGGGCTCCCGATGGGAAGCCTTGCTTTTGGGAAAGCTATGAAGCCAGTGGCTTTGGACAAGAAGCCACAGGCTTTGGTATTCGAAAGCTGCAGGCTTTGGCAAGAAGCCAGGGACTCCGGATTCCAGGAACTGCAGCAGCTAAACTTGAGGTCGGTTCCTTATTCCAATTCTATATAAACGGAGCCATTTCACAAAGCCGGCAAGGGTAACCCTTTGCAGCCCTTCTTCTGGCAATTATAAACGGGGTGGCAATAATAAACTCATCCGGGGGAGGGGCTCCCGATGGGAAGCCTTGCTTTTGGGAAAGCTATGAAGCCAGTGGCTTTGGACAAGAAGCCAGAGGCTTTGGTATTCGAAAGCTGCAGGCTTTGGCAAGAAGCCAGGGACTCCGGATTCCAGGAACTGCAGCAGCTAAACTTGAGGTCGGTTCCTTATTCCAATTCTATATAAACGGAGCCATTTCACAAAGCCGGCAAGGGTAACCCTTTGCAGCCCTTCTTCTGGCAATTATAAACGGGGTGGCAATAATAAACTCCTCCGGGGGAGGGGCTCCCGATTTGAAGCCTTGCTTTTGGGAAAGCTATGAAGCCAGTGGCTTTGGACAAGAAGCCAGAGGCTTTGGTATTCGAAAGCTGCAGGCTCTGGGCAAGAGGCCAGGGACACCGGATTCCAGGAACTGCAGCAGCTAAACTTCAGAACGAATTAAATAATCAGTCTTTGCCAGAAGCAACATGGAATGACAGAAGCAGCTCGCCTGAAGAAGGCTGTGAGGTAGAACTCTCTGCAGTCGCCAGAGCTTGCTCCGACAAGCTTCCTTCAGAAGCTGCCACAAGCTGCTCAGACACGTCCTCGCTGGACACCAGAGCAGCAGAAGAAGCGGCCACACCACCGCCGCCATCTTCCTCATCAGAGGAGATCGCCACAGACATTGCTGGGCAGATCTACTAGCAAAGCCAAAATGGCATGCCTGCAGATGCATGGACAATCAGAAAGCTTCTTCCTAGGCTCTTCTCAGACAATGCAGGCAAAGCAGAACCTTGCAGAACAGATGCTCGGAATGTTTTCACTCTTCACTGCGAAGCAGATCATCACTCCAGATCTCGGGAAGACCTGGGAGCAGGCGACAGATTCAGAATCTCCCAGACCTCGGCACCTTCGCCAGAGGCTTCGGCAGCAGATTCGCCGTTGGGATCAGAGGTTTCCTCTTCAGAGAACCCTAGATCCCCCAGATCTCGCTCAGTCAAAGCGTGTCCTTGTGGAGGGTTCTTCCAGCAAAGCCAGAGATGATCTCCAACAGACAGATCCCGTCGCCTCACCAGCCAGCCATTCAGAGTCCAGCGCAGACTGACGGCACCGTTCCAGATGAGGCTGATCTGCTCACCAGATGCCAAGCAGAAGAACAGATCCGCTCGATCCAGGCCGAGGAACAGACCAAGCAAGGTCAGAATCTCCGGCTGCTTTCGCAGAAAGGCTTTGCCCAGAGCACAGACCGCCACGTAGGCAGAGACCACCGCAGAGGACACCATGTCAGTGTTCAGAGGAGCTACAGAACTGACACAGAGCTCGATCCAATCGGGAATCAGAGAGAACAAGAAGCTCGGCTGCAACCGGTGCTTGCAGAGCAACAACACTTCCAGAACGTGTGCAATGCGAGGTCAGACTCTTTTTCAAAAACTCCTGCGAGATCTGTTCTGCGGCTCACTTCAGAGCCTTCAAAACCTCAGAGGCTTTGCGAAGATACTCCTTCTGTTCAGAACTCAGAGTATCCCAGAGATGCAGGAAACAATCCGGTGCATACAGAGATGCCTCCTCGGACGGAGGCACAGTCTCCTCAGAGGCTTCAGACAGAGCTTTCAGTCGCTGCAGCGGCTCAGGCACGGCAGGTGCCAGATCGTCGTTGGGGTCTTGCTTCAGAGACGGCTTCTTGACCACAGCGGAGGCAGACGGCTTCTTGAGCACCCCAGACTTGCCCATCTTGCCGAAGAGAAGCGACCAGAGAGCTTGAGCAGAAGTTACTCAAGTACTTACATGTTGCAAAAACAGAATCAGACAGTGGCTGCTTCAACACAGACAAACCAAGACAGACACAGTGCAAACAGATTTTCCCTTCCTCTGCGACAGAGGTCTCGGTGCGTCTGCAAAAGACAGAGCCCACAGCCAGAGCTTCCAGAGCTTAATTACAGAAACAACAGAACCCCTAAGTATTTAATTAATTACATATTTCAAACCCTAGGACCTTTATATACGTGCCCTATGTGATTAAAACCTAAGTCAGAGTTAAAGGTTTAAAGGGTTGAGGGTTTTAGAGGGACTAGGGTTTAGGGTACAAGGGTTTTCTGGGGTTTTCTACAGGGCAACCAGACACAGCTCCAGAGCTCTGCGGCTCCACGGCGGGCAGAACTCTGCTCATATGAGCTCCTGCCCGGATGCATGTAATTAATTACATTGATTAATTACTTATTTATTTGTTCTGGTTTTAATTAATTAATTAGTTAGCTCACGAATTATGATTAAATTTGATAGTTGTTGGTTAATTGTTGTGTATTGTTGTTATTCTTCTTCTTCTCGTTGCTCTTGTTGTTCTTCTTGTTGTTGTTGCTGCTGTTGTTGCTGCTGCTGCTGCTGCTGACGGGGCTAGTGGTGCTGGTGCTGCTGCTGGTGGTGGTGGTGGTGGTGGTGGTGGTGGTGGTCGTGGTGGTGGTGGTGGTGGCGGTGGTGGTGGTGGTGGTGGTGGTGGTGCTGGTGGTGGTGGTGGTGGTGGTGGTGCTGGTGGTGCTGGTGGTGCTGGTGGTGGTGCTGGTGGTGGTGCTGGTGGTGGTGCTGGTGGTGGTGCTGGTGGTGGTGCTGGTGGTGGTGGTGGTGGTGGTGGTGGTGGTGACCCCAAACCCTGAACCCTAAACCCCGAACTCTGAAACCCTTAATTAACCCCAAACCCTCAAACTCTAAGCCCCGAACCCTCAAACCCTTAACCCCAGACTTTGAAACCTTGAACCCCAAACCCTGAAACCCTTAACCCCAAACTTTGAAACCCTTAACCCCAAACCCTGAACCCTAATTAAACCCCAAACTCTGAAACCCTTAACCCCAAACCCTGAAACCTTTAACCCCAGACTCTGAAACCCTTAACCCCAAACCCTGAAACCCTTAACCCCTCTGAAACCCTTAACCCCAAACCCTGAACCCTAAACCCCAAACCCTGAAACCCTTAACCCCAAACCCTGAAACCTTTAACCCCAGACTCTGAAACCCTGAACCCCAAACCCTGAACCCTAAACCAGAAACCTTGAAACCCTGAACCCCAAACCCTGACCCCTCCTTGCCAGATACATCCGGATCGTTCCAGATCTGCAGCCTTCCAAAACCCTAATTAGACTGGGGTTGGTGTGCACCAGAGGGCGATTCAGATCTGGCCTCGGCCAGATGACCGGATACACCAGCCAAAGCCACAGAATCGGCTGCATCAGAAGCTCCTGCCAGCAGGAGCACAAGCCCGAACCACCAACCACCCCCAACCCCAAACCCCGCCTTCAGGCGCCTGGCATGCGAAGTCCAGAGCTGGGCACCAGATTCGGCCAGAGCCTAGGTAGGAATCCCAAAGCAGAGGCCCAAACCCCTCATTAACCCCTAAACCCCAGACCCAAAAACCTAAACCCTTCTAGGCCAAGCAACGGGCGCATGTAGTCAGACGGGAAGTAGACCTGCAAGGGTTTAGGGCTCCAGGGTTTCAGGGTTTAGGGTTTCAGGGTTAGGGGCTCAGGGTTTAATTAATTAATTAAGCAGAGGATGGGAAGGCCTTCTTGCAGATGTTCTCCCAGATCTGTCCAGAGTTGGGCCCAGATGCGGCTCCACCAGAGCTGGCATAGAAGAATGCCAGATCACGGATACACAGCTGGTGGTTCTTGCAGTCCGACAGATCTCGGTATGCAGATGCAAGCCACCCGCCCCCCCAGACACTAAAAACAAAGGCCTGGGTGCAACTAAGTAGCAGCTCTGGAACCAGACAGCCCAATCCCCACAGTCCTCAGAAACCTTCGCCAGATCCACCTTCTTGGCCATGAAGGTGTCCAGACTCAGATCAAAGCGGAATGCCGGCAGATGAAGACTGCAGAACTAATTAGCCGAGCTGCGAGTCCCAGACAAAGGCCACATTCCCGTTCACACGGGCCACATCATCGTCCGTGATCTCATCACAGACAATCCTGTACAGAACCTGTCCAGAATGGGTTGTTCCAGAACAGCTATGGTTAATTGATGACAGATGCACCTCGTTCAGTGTCACCAGAACGGACAGGTAGCAGATGTGGCCCCAGAGCTTCAGCGAGCCAGAGGCAGCCAGATATCTCTCCAGTTCGCCTCTGACGCGAGAGCTCAACACAGACCTGCGGCTCGCATTGGCAGAGTGCAGCCATCCACGCCCATCTTGCCAGACGTCGTAGCGAAGCAGCTCCGTCTGCAGAGCCAGGACGCGGTCTGTGCAGAGCAAGGACAGAGGGCCCCTCTGCCGGTCCAGCGTCTGCAGGGCAGATTCATCATTAGACACATGCAGACACACACAGAAACGAGCGTGCACGGTCATTTAGGGCCTTCAGAGTCTCCATCAGATCATCGGCAGAGAGCCCTCCAGACGGTGCCTTGGATAAGAGCAGAAGTCACACCCAGAACCCCAAACCCCAGACCCTTTCTCGCAGAAACAGCCAAGTGTCGCCAGGGTTGTTGGCTCCAGATGGTGCCTCAGATAGTCAGATAAGAGCAGAAGCACACCCAGAACCCCAAACCCCAGACCCTTTCTCGCAGATTATCGCCAAGGCTCGCCAGGGTTGCCCAGGGGTCCAGAGGGTGCCTCAGACAAGAGCAGAAGCACACCCAGAACCCCAAACCCCAGACCCTTTCTCGCAGATTATCGCCAAGGCTCGCCAGGGTTGCCCATGGGTCCAGAGGGTGCCTCAGATAAGAGCAGAAGTCACACCCAGAACCCCAAACACAGACCCTTTGTCGCAGATTATCGCCAAGTCTCGCCAGGGTTGGCCGGTCCAGAGGGTGCCTCAGATAAGAGCAGAAGTCGCACCCAGAACCCCAAACCCCAGACCCCTTCTCGCAGATTATCGCCAAGGCTCGCCAGTGTTGTCCAGGGGTGCAGATGGTGCCTCAGATAAATAAAAGAGCAGAAGTCACACCCAGACACCAAAACCCAGACCCTTTCTCGCAGAAGCCCAAACCCAAAAACAAAAAGACACAGACAAGACTCCCCAGCCAGAGTCATGTCCGCATCAGAGGCTGCCATGGCCTCAGATATTCATTGGCTAGTCAAACAGAAACAAACCCTCGCCAGCAAGGCCAGACTCCCTGCTTCAGTCCAGTGGCGCCAGAAGGAGTTCAGAAGGGACAGCAGAAAGGCAGAGGGCACAGAAGCCAGAGTGCTGCGAATGCCAGAGGTTGAGACTTCACGTACTACTAATTACTATTACTACTATTACTACTATTACTACTATTACTACTACTATTACTACTATTACTACTATTACTACTATTACTACTATTACTACTATTACTACTATTATTACTATTACTACTACTATTACTACTAGTATACTAGGCCCAGAGCAGGCCAGAGGTTTACTATTGCCACCCTGACCCCAGACCCTGCCCCAAGAGACCCCCGCGCAAAACAACCTCAGGGGGGGGGGGGGGTTATTAAAACCACTCCAACATTATGCCATGATTCCCGTAGTTTAGGATCCTTAAGGTAGTGCAGGATTCGTATCCTGAACCATAGAGCCTTAAACCATGGAACCCGAAACCATCCCCCGCCAAATTAAACGAACGCTGAAGGTTCATGCACCTTTGTTGAAACCCTTGCCTTCTAAAACTTCTATATGAGAGAAAACCAATTTATCATGTGTATATATATATATGTAGGCATATGTATATGTATATATGTATATATGTATATATGTATATATGTATATATGTATATATGTATATATGTATATATGTATATATGTATATATGTATATATGTATATATGTATATATGTATATATATATATATATATATATATATATATATATATCATTCCTACGTGGCACGTACTTAGGATTGGCTTGGTTGCTCAGGTCAAGTTCCACAGGGGCTCTTGCAGGGAAGGCATCGAAGCGTACGCCATCGGTATACGGGCTGTGCGGGAGGACTTTAGTTCCAAGGGTACAAAAGACCCGATAAGTAAGGGTTACTTGGGTTTGCAATAGATGACGTTTACAGGCTAGTATTTGGGAGAATATGTGAGTACTCGGCGCGCGGGCCCTTAGGCAAAGACAACGAGAAAGAGGTAGCTGTGAAGGGGGGTACGCTCCTTGAGCAGGATCTCACGAGTTGGGGGTCAATGTTGGGGTCCTCTGTTTCATGGTTTAGGGCTTCATCGTAACAGGGGTTTAGGAACCAGGGATTTCAGCACTGTTGCAAAAAAAACGGCGACCATCGCCTTACTACAAGGGCCTAGATTAAATAAGAACAGAGTTTTGGGGTATATCATACGATAAGTATAATAAGGAACACACCCCCACCCCCACCCCCCCTAAAAACAAATAAACATGTATCCCCTACAGTACACCCGTTAGCCCATCCCGAGGCTTCCCGCGTGGCTCTTTTCTTGTCTTGCCCTGCTCCTTGGCATCCTTCTTCAACAGGACCCCACATGGAGATTTCCGAAAATTGGGTATACCGCGCAGCTTATCCTAAGCTCGAGACTTTACTTGAGGGATCATGGGACTTCGTAAAATTAGTCATAAGGGAACCTTCATGATTGGTACGTTATCTTAGGAAACGCGCCTAATCATAGGCATCCCACTGAGCTAATCCAGTTCAGTATCAGACTGACGTTCCTTATCATGTCTATACAACATATTAAATCATAAACCAAACCCTGAACCCTGACATTAATATACCCCGAAGCCCTAGTACAAGTATTCGGGCACGTTAACAATCAGGCCCCGTTCTTTAGGGGTCAGGGGGAACTTACCCAAAAACCGGCACTTATCACCCTGAGATCTAAAGAGCCCTTTGTACCAACCAAGATGTAGCATAATTACTTCATATGCATGAGGTATGGCTGTCGGGGCTTCAAGCCGTTAGGGCTGATGTTGGCTTTGCTTCGGCTTCTGGGTGTAGGGACGTGGTTTAGGGTTCAGGGTTTAGGGTGGTGTTGTGTAATTCGAGGCATGTCATAAGAGCTTCCGGCCTGCATGCTGTCTGCTCTCCTAGACAAGAACACCTTCAAATCCTGAATAATGAGCCGTATGTCTTAAGCTTTCAGCTCTCAATGAGAAACTCTCTGAACCATCATAGGTTCCAACAAAACCAACAGCCTTTGAGTAAGCTCTCTCTCTCTATATATATATACACAGATAGCGAAAGATACATTGTCTATACATAACTTCAAGTATATTATAGGCGTTATTCGCACGACCAGACAACCTTACAAAACCCCTCTAGTACACTATCAAACACTGTTCCAAGTCCTTATTTTCGAAACCGGCTCATACACCCTAACTTCTAAAAAAGCACCACCACATAATACAAGGCCGAATCTTGCAGAACCTTATCTAAGCCATTTTGGGAAGTCCTCGCTTATCCCAATGCCAATTGAAGTGCAAAAAAGAATTAATTACAGTTTGTGGGGTAGAGGGACTATGGAGAGGCTCAGTACTCAGGGTTTAGGATTTAAGACTGTGGGTGTAGGGATGAGAATTTAGGGTTTAGGGCATCAGGATATTTGTAACTACTCCTACTTGCCTGGAAGGCTCCATAAAGACCATACGAATCTTACAACATATCATTTTCAAGCAGGGAGAATGTAACGTGTACTCAAACCTCTGTCTTACAGCTCCCAGTAATGTGAAATCCATCCTCCGTCTTACAGCTCCAAACCTTAAAACCGTCAACAACTAAACCCCCTAAGCCCTAAACCACACTTTCTTATCCCAAACCCCCTAGACAACGAAACCCTAACCCCCCAAACCCTACACCCTAACCACAATCTTGGAACCCTTGTCGGACCCCTTGTGGGAACCCTTACTAGGAACCCTCCTCACTGGCCAAAACCCAAGGAAATAAAAGTTGAAACTTTCAGAATCGACCACCTCCAAAGAGCCCCAAAAGTTGAAAAGTTGAGTATACAGCCAACACCCGAAACCCTAAACCCTAAACCCTAAAACCCTAAACCCTAAACCCTAAAACCCTAAAACCCTAAACACTAAAACCCTAAAACCCTAAACCCTAAAACCCTAAACCCTAAAACCCTAAACCCAAATCCCCTAAACCCCTAAACCCAAATCCCTTAAAAGAACCACCCTTTCTCATCTTAGGTGCCGAGTTCATAAGCCAAAAAAAGTTTAAACTTTCAGTTTTTAAGAGGGTTTCATTATCCCAAAAAGTTTAAAGTTCATAAACTCAGCTACTAAGTCCCCCATAATCCGCCTTAAAGGCACCACCCTTTCTCATGGCAGGTTCACCACTTCCAGCTCGGGAAGCTCCAAATCCTTCCCGGCGGAAGGCTGGAATCCGAAGACCTCCGTAGGAGGGAGCGCACCATTTTTCTCTTTGGGTTTAGGGGTTTAGGGTTTAGGGTTTAGGGTTTAGGGTTGTTAGGATTTGGGGTTTCTAGGGTTTGGGGTTTAGGGTATATGACAGTTTTCTTTTTGGGCTTAGGGTTTCTGGGGCACCATTTTTCTCTTTGGGTTAGGGTTTTGGGTTCCGTACAGGAGAGCATCATTTTTCTCTTCATGCTTAGGGCTTCTACTAGTCTACGGGGGAGGTGAGGTTCGTAGCTGATTTTTTCGTTGTTGTGTTGGGGCTGGGTCCGTGTTTCATAATTTTGGCTCTGCCGGTCTTTAAACGAACCAAGTTTCAGGCTTTTCCTCCGTCATGTTTACTGTACACTAAACTGTCTATGAAGTAGATGTGTGTGCCCGGTTTAATTTTTGGTAATATGTTGTTTCTTCTTCTGTCTTCTGCATTTGTTGCCCTAATGCTTCTTTATCTTGGTGTTTGCAGTGGCTTTTTGCCGTATGCTGTTTGCCTGTTGTTTCGCTTTGTCCGTTTTTCTGGATTTGAATTGTCTGATGATTTGACGTGGTGAAATGTGCCATTTTCCGGTCTTCGTAGAAACTAATTTAATTAGGTTTTGTATGTGGGTCCAAACTGGTTGTGTCAGCGATTTTCATAATTTTCGTAAGCTGTCCGCACTGCTCTGGCATTGCTGCTGGTGTTCTTGCTCATGTAACTTATATATTTACCATCTAATGCTTTTTTGATAGATGATTTTTAAAGGTCATTACACAAGTAAAGCAATTTTGACATGTTTTCGTTTCAAAGAGATGTGTTCGATGAGTAAAAAGTACATACAGTATAACAGTACTATGGCTTCTAAAAACCCAAGGCTATGACGTTGGGGGAGAAATTAAAAAAAACAACTAGCAATATGCAACCATCTTTATTAGAAGTTATGAACAGTGTCGACACACATGCAAATTACATGCAGAAAAACGCGACGCCGGCTTAAGACATGCGCAGAAGGAGATGATTAAGGAATATGTTCCCGTAATCAATAGTTTTAAACGGAAAGGCAGATTGCTGGAATAATGCAGAAAACGTGGCGGAACAACCATCAGGTATGATACGGTTTAAACAATTTTCCAAAACGATTGGAATGATTTGTTGCGTAGGGCTCGGTGTCGTAGGGCTCCGTAAGCATCTCCTGCGGTCAAGGAGCTTCACGGTTTAGGGCTTAGGGTGAAAACGGCTGCTTGAGGTTTAGAGTGGGTCCAGAAGTTGTCAGGAAAAGGATTTGAGAGGGCCTTGTGAGGGGTCTGGTAACTTCGGGCGGGGGTGTTCCCTGCGAGGAATCTGTTCCTGATTAGGGCATGGAGGGCTTTAAAAGCAAGCCACGAACCCTGTGCTCTGGCGGGGGACGCCGAGAAAGAGTAACAGAGGAACAGCTTGACTAGAGCAGGGAATACGGCTAATTTCAGTTGAACAACTATCCAGCCAGCTGAGGGCTAGATAAACAAACCCTGCGCAAAAACACAGATACCTGCATCTCGGCGCTACCAACTGCTGAGTGCGGGTACAGGTGTGTAGATTAGCTACCACAAAGGTGGGCATGACAAACACGCATGGTGTCCAACACTTGTATGATTATACGAACGAACGAACGATTCCAGCCTGTCTCGAACAGCTTGCGAACCTTCCACGACCAGCTGGATCGAAGTATTGAGCCGAACCGTGTGATCATGCACGGATATGTCATGAGAATGAGGCCAGTCCAGTTGTAGGGCATTCCTGCCCAAAAGTTTTGCGCGAGGATATTAATGATGGATGTTCTTGATCAGTTCACGCAGGTAGTGGCAATACGAGGGAGAAAACAGGAGAAGACGGAGCGAGTGGTATGATTGACTGCCTACTTAAACCTGAAAACCTTAGTAGTTTATGCAGGCGAAAAATAGCAACTAACCAGAAGGCAATTCAAAAGTATTTGGAGGACGCTCACTCGGCAACTTCAATCAGGAGTATGGTGAAGGGGCTACTGCATGCGCGTCTCCTGTATCTATACGATGATCCATACCACGAGCTCAAGTGGGACTTTGATACTGTCTTCTGGACCACGCAACAATCCAAGAAGCGTGAACCTGCGCGACAGTAAGCGCAAGTGAAACAGCGTGAAACGGCAAGAAGCGTGAAACTGCGCCTAAAAGTCGGAAACTTTTGGCTCCAGTTTCAAGCTGTCCAAACTTCATTTACTCGAAAACGTTCAGGCCGTCTAGCCCATAGTCGCACCATTCGTCGTCGTGTTCGACTTGAGCATAGCAGCCTGTGACTGAATCTCCATCGGCAATGCCGTGCTGCTCGATCGACGAGCTCGCATGCAAACAATACCCTTTGTAGAGCAACTCCAAGCGGTCAAGACAGACCAAATGGCTGCCATCCGCCAGCATGCTGTCCTCGCCAAACACGTCATCTGGCAGGAGCTTGCAGGCCTTCCTCTTCAAGTCTAAGACCAAAGTGTCTCGACAAACCGAAATGGTCTTGATGATTACCTCATCTTCACTTGTCTTCTTCATGAGCATCTTGATCGTAATCTGATTGCTTCGGGTATTCGTGTCTGGCAAGAGCTTCCGAAGAACACGGGGAAGTATGATCATGACCGCACACCAAACGATCGCTGGCCTGAGCTTTGCGGCGAAAGCCCAGAGCCTCCTCCGAAGCATCGGGTCGCGCACGCAATGATGGCTGGACAAAATCAGCATTGATGGGCCGATATTGAAACCGTCCTGTAAGAAATCGGGCTTTTGAGATAGAACGCTGTCGGATACGCAAACTTGCCTGGCCAAGTCCTCAAGCATGTGTAATGCAGAAGCTGTTACACTGCTACTCTGAAAACTGGAAAAGACCCAATCGCTCCTGCCAAGGTCTGGGCGAGATTCTGAATCAGGTCGTCAACGTCCAGTGATCGGGCACTGTCACGTCAATTTTAGATTCAGTAACCTTGACCTCGAGCACACTGTATTGGAGCACTCCTCACCGTACGGTGACATGTTCAGTCACCAACTTAAAGGTCTTGGGGCTTGGGGCTGTAAGGGGGTTGGGAGGGGGGTGATGGGTCTTCCTGTTTGCCTACTTAAAGGATCATGGGACTTAGTAAGTAGGTTATAATTAGGGTTATCAGTCCCCTAAGTGGGGTTATCCTAACTATAACCTACTTATGACCTTACTTACTAAGTCCCATGAGCCTCTAAGTACAGTGGGTTTCTGATGGGGTCTTGTGGAGCGGTCAGGGCTCGGGTCGGGGTATAGTGTGTCCGACCGTCGGTCTTGTATAGGTCATCCTATATTCCTGAGGCTGGGCTCAGGCTCGTTGTCCTACGGTGGCCTAAGGGAGGGTGGGCTGGGGGCGGGGGTGGGGGTGCTAGATTAGAAAATGGAAATGGTATCCAGTGTTGCCCTATAGATTCCTATTCCAAGGCCCCGTATAGTACACTTTGTAGAACGCTGTCGATTCTAACAACACCCTACTCCAAGATTCAAGCCCGTATCTCATGCCCAAAGCCCACAAACCCTATGGGCGTAAGCTAACCTTTTACAGGAGCCATACGGGAAACCGTTCAAGGAAGCCTCTTCGAATTCTTGAAGCACCTCTCTTATGCCCCGCCTAGACCGAACCCAGTAACGTTTTGCTTAATCCATGTTTTGGTTAGGATCTTATAAAAACATGATAGTAGGGTAGGCGAGAAAAAGTACTACATTTTAGGGTCTATAGGCTCTAGGTCATTTTATGGTTAGGACTCTGTAATGGTATTGCCGACAAGAAGTACTACATCCCTGAACCCTAAACTAAACCCTGAACCTTGAACCCTGAACCAGAAGGATCGTTTTCTTCGGCTCAAGCGCTTTCTGCACAGAGATGCAAGGACAAACCCCACACCCTATAAAGTAAGCGGCCTTGCCATAGAACGCGAGCTCAGAGTTCAGCGCGTTCTCGATGTTTTCGCTCCTCCGGAAGCCATGCCTTGGATCAAAAGCATTGGGGGGGGGGGGGGGGGTTGGGGTTGGGGGCTTAGGGCTTTTAGAATTCAGGATTTAGGGTTTAGACTTTATGTTGGTTTAAAGAAGGCTTTCTAGCAGTTTAGGGGATCAAAAGCATTGGCGGGTTGGGTCTTTGGGGCTTTCTAGGGTTCAGGGTGTAGGGTTCAGGGTTTAGACTTAAGCCTTTTGTGGGAGTTTAGCAGTTTAGGGCTTGTAGGGTTGAGGGCTTAGGGTAAGTTGCGTCCCTAAGGAGCGCTACGGATTCTGAGAAAAGGGGCTTTAATCTGTGTTCATAGGGCCTTGGGGGATTATCGCACAATGTCTGTCTGTCTGCCTGCCTGTCGGTCTGTCTACCTTAGGGACCCCAGAAAGCACATAAGCATAAGCATTTTATGAGGATATCCCTACCTTCTTGGGCTTCCGTTTAAGGGGCTTTATATGGGATATCCCTATCCTATTTTTTGCTTATGTGCTTTTTTGGGGCCCTATGCCTGGCTGCCCGTCTCTCTGCCTGCCTGCCTGTCTATATGTTGTTGAGCACGTATGCCGTATGCAGGTATATGTATGCATGCTTATAAAAAGCATGCAGCGAATAATCGCCAGACCTCCATATTACAGTTGTAGATGGAAGGTGCAACATTAGGATTGAAACTTCAGGGTGAGTACAGGATTTGGGGTTGGAGTTGCTTCAGGATGAAGTTTTTACCCTACATTCTAAACCCGAAATCAGCACTGGCTTCGGGGCTTGGGAACTGATATTGCGCAACAAGCCAGAGCTTAAGGGTTGTGCATTTCCCTACGCGGAGAGCCCAACATCTCTAAATCACGGGATATAACTTAGAGTCTCGAAGCTTTCTTAATTTCAAGGCTTGAGGCCTGGGGTTTCGGGTTTAGGGGCTTGCTTTGTTACGCGGTTCCGAAGGGGTTTGCTGTGGGTTTAGGGTTTAGGGGGTTTAGGGTTCAGGGTTGAGCTTAGGGTTTTAGGGTGCAGGGTTTCGGGGGGGTTCTCTCTAGTACTCCGTCAGCATGATGAATATTTCCAGGACAGCGGTGGGGAAAAGCATCAAAACTACCCGAAACAACTACTTACCAACAGCTTCAGCATTGCAGGTTAAGAACTACGCTTACACCGCAGAGAAGCAAGAACTCTTAAAAAGACCTATGCAGCCCTTGTGAAGATTCTTGAAACCCCGTAACAACCACTCATGAAAGGCCTGTCAAGTGCTTACAGACCCAATGAGACCCGAGATCCCAACACCCAGCTGGGCACGACCCCGTTGGGTCTACGCCGACATGAAACATGTGGAATAGTTCTTGGGGCAATGCCGCAAAAGGAAGACCACCATTTCCAAGCAATACCCCTCCCCCGTCCCAAACCCTGAAGCCTAAACTGTCTAAACCCTAACCCCCCTAAACCCTAAACTGTCTAAACCCCAAACCTTCTAAACCCTAAACCCTGAACCCTAATCCCCCTGAACCCTAAACTGTCTAAACCCTGACCGCCTAAAACCCTAAACCCAAGCAAGACCCAGAAAACACCAAGAGGCTGCTCCCCCTCATAGATCCTGAGATGCTTCAGGGACTTAGGGTTTAGAGGATTTAGGTTCTAGGGAATTTCGGGTTTAGGGTTGGGGTTTAGGGTTTCGGGTTTAGAGCTTGGAGTTTCGAGCTTCTTAGGGTTCGGGTTTAGGGTTTAGGGTTTAGGGTTTAGGGTTTAGGGTTTAGGGTTTAGGGTTGAGGGTTTAGGGTTTAGGGTTTAGGGTTTAGGGTAAGACACTCCGAAAGCCGTTACATCAGGAATACGATACTCCGTCAACGATAACAGTAAGGCTCCCTGTTCAATTTGAGGTATGTTCATTAGGGTTTCGGCGGGTTTAGGGTTTAGACTTAACCAAGAATGTCTTGAGCCCCTAAACCCCAAACCCTGCACCCTAATTTAGGGGCCTTAATGATTAGAGTGGGGTTTCGGGGCCAGTGTACTGTAATAAGAAACCCGTATGGGTAATTATCTAGCCCCCTATCCTAAACCCTAAACCCTTTAGATCCTTCTAAAGGAACCTTTAAGGATCCCTAGTCTATGAATAACCACCTATACTATTGTGGGGCTCCTGATTATAGTTATAGCAGCATATACCCCCAAACCCTAGTCTAAATACTAACGCCCCTACATCATAGAATCCTACTATACAGCCGCACTATCATAGATCCAAAAAAGGCACCCTCAAGGATCCCTAGTCTCCTAGACCCAAGAGCACCCTGTGAATAAAAAGGGTGCCCTTTTTGGTTTAAAGGGGCTTATAAGGGAACCTAAACCCTAAAAATGGGAACAAGGGCCTACTCTAGGTCCTAGTCTCTGAAGAAGCCGGGGCTCTTGAGGGCACAGGGGAGGCCCTTGGCTTTCACCGCATCGTACATCAGCTCTGCCTGGTTGGGTGGCACGATCTTGTCCTGGAGGGAGCCGCGTTTAGGGGTTCAGGGTTCAGGGTTTGGGTTTAGGGTCTAGGGTTTGGGAATTTGGGGAGTATGGTTTAGGGTTTAGGGTTTGGGGTCTAGGGTTTGGGAATATGGATTGGGGATTTGGTGTAGGGTTTAAGGTTAGGGTTTAGGGTTCAGGGTTTCGGGTTTAGGGTTTGGGATCGGGTTAAGGGTTTAGGGTCAGGGTTTGAGGTTTGGCTTTAGGGTTTAGGGTAAGCTTTGGGCTTTGGTGTTGGCAATTTAAGGTTCGGGGCGTAGGGGTTTCGGGTTTAGGATTTATAGGATCTACTGTTCACGGCTTAGGGGAGTGTAACGGCTGATGACATAAATCCTGCATTACCCACAATAAGGAATATACCGTAATTCCCACAGTTTAGGGTCCTTACGGTAATGCAGGATTTATATCATCAACAGAAGCACTCTAGGGTCAGGGTTTTAGGGTATTCGGGGTTGTGTGTCTGTACAGCCTCTTGACGCGTTATGGTTCAGGGTGTACTGGGCTAACATAGAGAAATATGTTCAAGACCTGCCGAGTCACTCAAGGAAACAAAACGCACGGCCCTAGGAAACTAGTGAAGGAACAAGAACCAAAACATGGCACAGGGCAGCGGTGCAGACGTCCATGGAGGGCCTTTCTAAATTCCCAGTAGCCCCTCGATAGTTGCAATATATTGCAAGAACAGCAATAACACTATCAATATTAATTCGAATAAGAATAAGAAGATCTCTTTTTTCCTTTGCCTACCCCGAACCCGCAAAGTGCAATTGCCATGAAGGTACTACTGGGCTACGTCGAGTTCTGTACCGTGGACCGCAGAAACCCATCGTCGGCAAATGTGCTCTAGACCCCTAAACCGTCTCCTCAGCACCCTGCAGCAGAAGAATGGGGCAAGAGAGCTGATCGGTGTGCCGGATGGGCGCACGCTCCTCGTAGACGTCCTTTCTCGAATCTCGGGTGGGGATTTAAGTTTCAATAGGGCGGGGATGGCCCCGGCTTCTTTCAGGCTTATGAGGGTTAGAGTATAGGATTTTGAGCATACACAAAGTCCGATGCGGGGGTGTGGGATATAGGATTGAAAGCTTCTCGGATGACGAGTCTCGGGCACGTGTCTCTTCCCTATACCCAGGCCTTCCAAGATCCCTGAATGCAGGAATAGGCCTAGTAGTCTCAAAACTCTACACACAAAACACAGTCTAAAATGGATCCTAAGTACATACATGTTTGTCATGCATGCCTACAGTGCCGTGTTCGTTTGTTTTTGCAGTGTATCTACGGTTTAGGTTTAGGGACTGGGGCATGCGCAATGCGAAACCACGTAAAATCCTTTCAGAAATCGCCAGCTCTAAGCCCCAAACACTAGACCATACATCCGCAACCCTGCGCCCTAAGAAACACCAAAAAACCCCAAACCCCAAGACTTAAACCCTAAAACCCTAAAGCCTAAAACCCCACACCCCTACAGCTCCCTTGGAGGAACCTGCTGAACCCTTACAGTACCCTTTAAAGGAACCCCCCAAACCCCTAAAACTCTACTTAAAGGATCACTTGGACCTAGTAACTGGCGTTATTTTACAAATAAGGTAACTACACTTATAATTACTTATAACCCCGGTACTTATAACCTCACTTACTAAGTCCCATGATCCTCCAAGTAAACCCCCCCGAGGCCTTCTTCTCCGGGTATGGGCCCACCAAGCCATCGAGGTAGCGACTCTCAAACCTCGGCTGACTTCCGAAACCCTCCTAACAGTCAAATTTTAATAGCCTTTTAATTATAGGTCATAAATAAAGAACCAAAAAAAGTATTATTAATTATATGTCTCAAAAAATTTCCCCAAAAAATAAAGTCCTAAGAGTCAACCAGAAGAACGCCAAGAAACTTATGGGTGTCGCCCGCCAGGGCTGAAAGATCTCCGATGCCATACCTGAGAGGTTTAGGGTTTAGGATGTTGCTGAAGAAAAAGGGCCCCAGACTTTAGGGTTTAGGGTTCAGGGTTTTAAAACTAACCCCTAAACCCCCAGACCTAAAGGGGACCTAAGAAGTATAAGGTTTGGGTTTAAGATTTTGATGAAAAAAGGGCCCTAAACCCTAACCCTTATAAACCCTGAACTCCACACCTCCATAAACCCTCAGACCCATACACCATGGAACCCCTACACCAGCGCCAAAGCCCGAAGCCCTGAAACACCGAAAACCCCAAGCGCCATACCCTAGAGAGAAGAGCGGAATTCGGGTTGGGGACTCAAAGCTTGTGGAGAATAGACTTTGGGGTCAGGGTTTAGGGTTTACCTTAACCTACCAAAACCTACTTTTTTGTAGGGTCCCTATAAACTCCATATTAAGGTGTACATTAAGTACCTACAAAAAAAGGTAGGGTTTGGTAGGTTAAGGTAGGGTTTCGAGTTCAGGGTTTCGGGCCCATAGAACCCTAAACCCTCAAGCCCAAGATCTCCTTGAACCCCAAACCCGAAACTCAATGAATCCTGAAAACGGGCCCTTCAAGCAACCCCTCAAGGAGCCCTAGAAGAAGCCAGTTTTTCCCAAAACCCTAGACCCTCAACCCTAATCCCATCCTAAACCCTAAACCCTAAAGCCCTTGTTCCCCTCAACCCCAAACTCTAAAGCCCTTAAGGTAAAAGCCAGAAAGTTGGAATATGATTATCCTAAGCCCTTTATGGTAAATTATAAGGTATCCTACCCTGAAACCATATTCCAACTTTCTGGAGTTCCCTTTACTCCCCGAAATCCCAAACTCTGAACCCTCAACCCCAAACCAAGGGTTGAATCAAGATTGCATCGAACAGCCCGCTTTGAAGACATCGCGGAAGGCCAGGGCACCTTCGGTCCACTTGTGAGTTTCCGAAAATGGGGGGGGTACCTTATTGAATAGATTATTTGGGATCCTTGAAAAAGGGATCCTACTATTTAGGGTCCCCGATTTTCGGAAACACCCACTTGGAGGGTCATGGGACTTAGCAACATGAACAGGGTTCCTTAAAGGGCTCCTTGAGGGGTTCTATAAGGGATCTTTTGGGTTTAGGGTCTAGGGTCTACTTGGAAGGCCATGGGGCTTAACTTAGTAAGCAAAGGTATAAGTAGCCAAAACGGACTTACAAGTAGTTGTGAGTGTAGTTACCCTAACCCCAAGCGTCCAAGTACCTAAGAACCATATACTCTCCAAATGGAGAGCTTTAGGGTTGGAGAGTTCAGCTGTACTGACAGTTGATGTCTATCTTAAGCCCTGCCTTAAAGCTGAGCTCTCAATTCTTCAGCTCTTTTTCCTCAGGCTTCCGGGATAGGCTTTTTAGAGCTTACCTGAACCCTATAAAATCCACAATTTGAGGGTCCTTTCTGTTGCCATAAATAAGTCCAAGACAACGTACAATGCTAGGCTAGGTGTCAGTTTCAACACTCCCCAAACTTGTGTACCAAAAGGGCTCCATTTTAAGCAACAAAGGGAAACTGAAAATTACCTCGGATAGTTTAGGGTATGGAACAAATTAGCAGTGTGAGGCTTTACATGTGGCACCGTATCCAAACTCATTCCTTGGGCTCACCCAACTGTGAAACGTTAGAGGTTAAGGCGTAGGATTTGGGGGTTCAGGGCCGTTTAGAGTTTGGGGGCCGGAACCCTCTTCAAATAACTCTAGAGCTAGGGTTTAGGAATTGGACCCATCAGTGTAGCACGCCAAAACCGAAAGCCTAAGCCACACTAAACCCAACAGGACTGCACTACAAGAATGGGCCTGAATCTCGAAAACATGATTTTTTTTGGGGGGGGGGATGGCATATGGGTGGTTGTCAACATTAGGGTCCGCTTTTGGCTCCTTATTATGATACGGCACCTAATATTTAGGGTGCCCAAAAAGGGACCCTAATTTTGACAACCACCCATATGATAAAGCTCACAACTGGATAGGGATTATGCGGGGGGTACCATTAACTTACAAACTATTCAGACCCTCTGGAGATGGCCCTGTAAAAACTCTATTGGGGCGACAAAGGAGGTACCATTGACTGATTCAGACCCTATCCCTACCGCAACCTACTTTCCTGCAGGGTCCCTAGAAACTCCATATTCGAGCCTATAGTAAGAAACAACAAACACACACACACACAAGTATGGTATGGTAGTGTGACGTATCCCTACACCTATGTTGGCACCGAAGGTGGTGTAGCCCTTAAACCCTAAACCCTCAAACCCTAAACCCTATGTTGGAGCACCGAGGGTGGTGTAGCCGCCGGCAGAGCCGCCGTCGATGGCCAAGCGCTTGGGGTCAGCCAGGCCCTGATGGGGTGGGGCTTTAATGATTAGAATACTTGGCTGTGAAGTAGCCAGTGAGAAGATGTACAGACTTTTAATTCATAATGGTTACTTTGATGAGCAGGAGCGAAACAAAAGTACTCAAGCAGCATAATCCAGAACCTGGTTACTGAATCGAATGAGGATTAATACTTGCAATTGTTCTGGATTCTATGGGCGTTTCCGAAACCAGGGGGACCCTGGTATAGTACCCTAAATAGTAGGATCCTTATTACAAGAACCCCCAACAAGGTACCCCTATTTTCGGAAACTCCCGTACATCACTTGCACTCGAAGGAGCAGGGGTCCACGGATATACGAATCTGGGCTTCGGAAGGGATTTCGGGTTTTGCACAACTGAAAGCTTGGGGTATCCAGTGCGAGACTCCGACGGATGGACTCTTGCGCGTTGGGCTCCGGGGCTTTACGGTTTGGGGCTGTAGGGCTTTAGGTTTACCCTAAGGCTCTATAAGGACTCATATGATAAGGCTTCTGGGCCCAAAGACCATACTGTATAAGGCTTTTGGGCTATTTTGAGCCTTAAGGTTAGGGTTGTCCGGATGTTAGCTTAGGGCGTTGCGTTAACAGGTGAGTGAGCTTGGCTCTTCGGATTGAGGACTGTCTAGAGCGTTTGCTTCTTACCTAAAGGATCATGGGACTTAGTAACTGGGGCATACATAAGGTAACTATTGTTATAAGTAATTACTTATAACCCCAATTAAGGTATGTATAACCTTACGAACTCCCATGATCCTCCAAGTATGGCTTGTGGTCTACAGCGGACTTAGTGGCGTGCAGGGTTTTACTTATCGTCATGCTCTACTGAAGACGAGTATCTGAACTACGCACTCCCTAAGGGCCCAAAGGACCTAATAGCTAAGTACTTGGGTTGCGGATAACAGTTTTGCAGGTTAGTATTCAGGAGAGTAGATGACTATTCGGTACTTGGACCCTTAGGGACTGCTAAACCCGACTCGCACCATGAACTCTAAACACTAAAGCCAACAAACTCCCGGGTGCTTAGTGGGGAATGGGGGAATGAGTGGATCCCTATGATAGTCCCTTACGGTCCCCTATGTAGTAGTCCCAGTAACCCATTCCTTCATTCCCTACTAAGAACCAGACAGATAAAGCCTCGAAGCCTACATGCAAAGCCGTACCATCTGGCCTTCTGGACCAGGTACTCTGCTCCAGCACAAACGTCCTTCGGCTTCGTCTTAACTCATCAATCGGTTAGGAGGCAGAGATTACCAGACATCTGCCACAACATACTTTTTGTGAGGTCTTACGTATCCCAAAGGGTCCTAGGTACTGTTTTGGGGAATACTTCCCCAAATCATAATTAATGGTAATTCTTGATACAGAAACCCCACATTCTACCATATAGACACTTAAGACCATTTGGGTATGTAAGAAATCTGTGCAGTTTCGGATTTCGAGTTTCGACTTGGTTTAACAGAGTTTGCCTTTTTGAAATGTCCACGTGCAGTAACTGGTCTTCATCATGCCACGTTTTCACAGTTTGATAACGCAGGAAGAAGGCCCTGAGCAGCGTTTGTCACGGCATTAGTCTTGCACCATGCCGTTAATTTGGCGAGCGCCTTCCTCGAACAAGTAAGCTCATTTGGGACTTTTGCGAGGTTTGTCTTGGCCTTTTCTGTCCCGCACTCGAGAAGAATGGGCACGCGCCAGATCCCCAAGTCGATGGGAACACACTTGCTAATTCCAAAGACCGCTACATTAGGCGATGAAGGGCTTGAAAACATCACAGCCACTGCCAGAGTCAATTAAGTTATCTAACCAGTGGTTTTGGGGTTCCCTTGGCTCTTTAGCTCCTTACTCAATAGGGATTATCATCATCCCTGGCTCCTTAGCTCCTCCAATATCAAAGGTAAGCTATAGTAGCAACTCCGAAACTCCAAACCCGAGAAGCCAAAACCTAAACTTTAACCAATCTCTTGGGCAACGACCATAACTACTATTTGCTTAAGAAGCCCCCAAAAAATAAAAATAATAATCCCTATATTACCCCCATAAGGAATATATGTTTTATTTTTTGGGGGCTCTTAAGCAAATAGTAGATAAACAACCCATGCAGGCCCTACTCTGTCAATCCTTGGCGCCCAGATCCTAAACGATAGACCCCACAGCAAAAAAACCCTAAGACCTGAATCCTAAACCCTAAGAGTGACCCTCAAAGAGGTACCCATTGGAGGAACCTTCGCCCCCTCAGCAAAAAATGCAAGTTTAGCTGTTTCTGACGAATTATAGGAACCAAAAATTTAAAGAACACAGTTGTAATTAACCCAAAGGCTCCATGTAGCTTTATAGCAGATACTTGAGCCTCAAAGGGGTCCCTATATATGTACTTTCAGGCCTGAGTATATACTATATCGGTACATAAGAGCCTTAGGGTAAGTACTCCTCAGAAACGCCCTGGAGGAGACCGGTCCTCGATGTCCGTTACGCCCCAGTTCCCCTGGAGCTTCATGCGATAGGCCCTGCCATAGCCTGTGCTTCCCCTGTCAGAGGCTGTAGGTGTTTGTTTTGGGGGCCTTAGGGTGGGTTTAGGGTTTACGGCTTTGGGTTTCGGTGATGAGGGTTCATGGGGTTTAGGATTGAGGGGCGGCAAGGAAGAGGGACCCAAGTATGAGGGACTGCTTGACCAGTACTAGAAGTCGAAGGTTTGCCTAAAGTAATTACAGTAAGAAGTTCGCTGTTTCTGCTAAAGAGGTTCCTAGATGGTGAAACTAAAGCCAAAGCATAAAGCGGATTCCCTTGGGGCGCTTCTGACGAGCTTGCCGCGGCCTGGCTGGGGATCCTGAGTAAACACAAAGCGTTAAGCCCAAAATAGGAATATAGGAAGAACCCCATTAGATCCCTTATACAATAATACATATATTTAGCTTGTTATAGTTCACTCACCTAGGCTATGTTGAACCTGTCCTACTGAGTCCCATGACCCTGCAAGCATAAAGTTTGGAAAAACGTGGAGTCAGTCATGCCATGAAGTGTGCAGAGCTGTTTGTTCACGGATTTTTGAAACCCTAAAACAGGGCCTTAGTAGTTAGAATAGAATAGGGTTTTGGGCTCCTGTAAAGTATGTTGTATATTTGTGATAAGGAACCCTGGGAATAATATTGGTAATCACGTAGGCTTCTTTCCAAGAGGGTGCATACACATGACCGTCCTAATCATGACCTAATTTCATAAAAGTAGTATACATGGACCTTCTGGGTATAGTACACGCAGGCCCGCTGAATAATCAGAATAGGGCTTTGGAATCCTTTAGAGTAGACTCATATGATGGATCCCCAGGAATGATTTGGTAATCATTTATTTGGCTTCTTTCGTACATTATTTGGCTTCTTTGGTACACACAGGCCTGTAGTCCACGTCCAGCACCGCGAAGCCGCGGCTCGTCCAGTACTGCATCGCAGGATTGAAGACGATGGAGGTCTGTGCCTCATGCAAGAGTTTAGGGCTTAGGGGTTTGGGGCTTTGGGCCTGGGGTTTAGGGTTTAGGGTTTAGGAGTTTAGGGTTCGGGGTTTAGGGTTGAGGATCTGAGGGTCTAGGGTTTAGGGTTTAGGGGTTTAGGGGTTTAGGGCTTAGGGCACCAGTTCATGGCGTAGGAGGTTGGGGTGTAGGGCCTGCGCCTCGTTGTGGCTGACGCTTTAGATGGGTTTTAGGGTTTAAGTCCTACTTGGAGGGGCAGGGTTCTTAAAGGGCTCCTTAAAGGGATCTATAGTGATCCTTAAAGGGGTCTATGGGTTTTAGGGTTTAAGGATTACTTGGAAGGTCATGGGACTTAGTAAGTAAGGTTATAAGTACCTTAATTGGGGTTATAGGTAATTATAAGTGTAGTGTAGTTACCTTACTTATAACCCCAGTTGCTAAGTCCCCATGATCCTTTAAGTAGTGATGAAGGTTTAGGGGCTCAGGGCTTCGGGGTTTAGGGTTGAGGTTTCAGGGTTGGGACATTAAGGGCGCGACCTGATTTGGTTAAGAGTTTCTCGATTTTCAGGGTGTCTTGTCTGTCTTGTACTTAAAGGATCATGGGACTTAGTAACTAAGTTATAATTGGGCTTATAAGTCCCCTAAGTGGGCTTATCCTAATTATAACCTACTTATTATAACCTTACTAAGTCCCATGAGCCTTTAAGTAGAGCTTTATCAGGTAGGATCTGGGGGTTTAAAGTTTCGTGCCTTCTCAAAAAGACTCAGTAACAACCGAGAACCCTAAACCCTGAAACCCCTAGTACCAACAAGGGTCCTCAAAGGATCCCGTTTAAGAGGATCCCTTGAAAAACGGATCCGATTCAACAGATCGATTTCCAATGCCCAAGACTGTGGGGATCTTAGTAGGGAATGAGAATATGGATCCCTGTAGTAGGGTCTTTATAATCCCGACAAGTAGTCTCCATAATCCATTCCCCCTTTCCCTACTAAGCTTTTAGGGATCCCTGTAGAAGACCCCTTTCCAACGCACATCCCTTTTTTCAAGAAAACCGTTTTAAAGGACCCCCTTTCCAACGCCCGAGAGGAACTTAGTAGTAACAAAATAGCGCTCAAACCCCAAAAACTCTGAAGGATGCCTTTTTCAGGGATCCCTCTACAGGATCCCTTTAAAGCACCCCTTTTTCAGGGATCCCAAAGAATCCCCTTCAAACGCCCCAGTGCCGAGACTCGGTTGGCCCGCCGTGCGCTTTCACCAGCAGCGGCGGCGGCGGGGATCCCTCCGGCGCTTGGAAGTCGCCGTTGCTGGGGGCGTAGTAGAAGCCTTGCTTGGAGGGTCGGGGGACTTAGCAAGTAGTTATTTTAACGACTTATAAGTACCATAACCCCAACTAGGGTCCCTTTTTAGGCACTTATAAGGTCTACTTATAACCTACTTACTAAGTCCCCCGACCCTCCAAGTAGTTGGTTCAGGACTTAGGGGTTTGGGGTTTATAGGGTTTAGGGTTTGGGATTTAGTAGAAGCCTTAGCTGGTTCAGGACCCAGGGGTTTGGGATTTAGGGTTTAGGGTTTGGGATTTAGTAGAAGCCCATAGCTCGAGTTTGGGGCTTAGGGGTTTGGGGTTTAGTAGAAGCCATAGTTTAGAGTCTAGGCTCAGGGGTTTCGGTTTTGGTAGAAGCCTTACAGTAGAAGCCAGAAAGTTGGAACATGGCTTTAGGAGGATTAGTGCTAGGATCCCTTATACTTTACCTGAAGGGCATGAGGACAATGATGTTCCAACTTTCTGGCTTCTACTGTAGCTGTTTTACTTAGTCTGTGGTGGCTGACTTTTCGGGTGAGTGATCGCCTGCCGGCCCTTTGAGGGCTCACAGAGCTGAGAGTTACAGGGCTCCTCAAAAGGGATCTATAGGGTTCCTCAGAGGCTCCTTTTAAAGGGGTCTATAGGGATCTATAGTAGGGTGCAGGACCCCAGAGACTCCAATATCCCGTGATTCAGGAATATTCCTTAATTCATAGGGATCCGACTATGATTTGCGGTATACTCCTTAATTGAGAGTCTCTGGGACAAGCTGGAAGACCATCCGATCGCGAGGACGCATCCTCTCTTGGTCCGGTAGGACCTGGACCCATCATTCACGGCATTGGCAGCATTGGTTGTATCGGCCATCACCCCCCTCGTCCACGTTTATGGTTTGGGGGTTGAGGGCTTGGTAGAGCCTGAGTTTAGGGCTTTCGGGTTGAGGGCTTAGGGTTTTGGGGGTTTTAGGGTTGTAGAATTGTAGAAGCCATAGTTTGGGTCTTTGTTTTTTGAGACGGGGGGATTGCGATTATTGTAGGGCTTCTAAGCAAAAGGATTAGAGTTCCTATGAACTTTCCATCGAGATTCTGGTGGTCTACAGCTGTTTGACTTTGGTCTGTGGGGTGCAGTGGAAGCCTGGATTCTGTGTGGTTTTAGGCTGTGGGGTCGGGGGATGATTTGGGATGCTTTGGATTTTTTGGCTGCCATCTGCCAGCGATAGCATTAAATCCTAAACATCCCTAATCCATTGCGTCACACAACTATAGTCTGCTTTTGTTGACGAGCCCTAACCGGGAAATTAATATAGGGACCTTACACGCCCCAAACCCTCACACCACAGTCTAAATCGAAGCCCATTAAGGCTTAAGCCTGAAGCCCGCAGAGCATTCGCGCTTCCGAGTTGCCGAAGGCGGTGTCGCCATTTCCGGTCGGGAACTCGACGAGCTCTGGCTTGCTGATGTACGCGGAATCCACTTGAGCCTCTTTCTTCCTTCGCCGGCTTGGGGGGGGTTTAGGGTTTAGGGTGGGGGGGGAGCGCATTCATGTTGGAGACAATTTCAGCAATCAGAAGGTCCAAGGTGAGGACAGTATCCTACATGCCTGATCAGATACCAAAATGACTTTGTCAACCTCACAAAGGCAAAGCTGGAACCAAGACACCCGGCTACCTACATCTTAGCTACTACTATGCTAAACCTTTAGAATTAGATACTCATGTAGGAGCCTGTTAACAAAAAAACATTATTAATTAAGGTTCCTTATATGAACCCTACAATTTTGGGATTATATAAGCCCAGGGTTTCTTAATCAGGTTCCTACATTAGGGTTTAAGGGTTGCAGACTCAGGCTTAGGTTGTAGAGCCCGAGTCTCCAAACTCTGCCCAGGAAGAAGCCCGTGTAGGCTTTAACTTTCCTGACCTCCTGGGGTCCATGTACCTGCGTAGCAGGCATAGCCACTGCTTAAGCCTTGACAAGCTTCCGACATCGTAATTCGTGGCAGTAGACACAATTAGAGCCAAGCCAAGCTATCAAGTACAGTTATGGGCCAGCACTTGATACCCTAAACCGGCTCTGTGCAAGAAGGAGTCATGGAGCTAGCGATCGTGGTCATCTCCCCAGCACCGCTGCCCGAGGGCAGCGTCCATGAGAACCTGTGTTTCGGGGTCAGGGGAGTGGCTACCATCGGGCACAACCCTAAACCCCTAAACCTTAAACCGGAGTTTTACCAAGGTGTCGTGTTATCGTGTTCGGTGAGGGCTTTAGCCCAGGGTTCGCGACCTAGCGGAAGATGTTGCAACGACTCAATGCTCTTAGGGCCGGGTGTCGTTCAAGACATGCTCGCAACCTGACAACAACTTCTATAAGCAACACTCGAGGGCTCACTTACTTTGCAAGCATTGTGAATACTCCTTCACTGGATTCACATGAAAATCGCATACTACAAGCAAACTAACGGCCCCCTCAACTCCAAAGCCCTGAACCCTTCTGAGCCCCCACCACTGAACCAGCTCATGTAGGGGCCTGAATAATTAGAATAGGGTTTTGGGGGGCCCAGTATACCATAAGTATAATAAGGAACCCCCAAACAGTATAGATTATTATTTAAGCCCGTATACTAAACCCTATACCAGCCCTTATAGTATCCTTGTTAGCCCTTCAAAAGGAACCCCTACGGTAGAAGCCAGAAAGTTGGAATATCATTATCGTAACCCCATTTAAGGTAAATTATAGGGGATCCTACCATTAATCCATATTCCAACTTTCTGGAGTTCCCTTTAAAGGAACCCTATCCTGGAATTTTACTGGCCAGGCAGCACGAATGGAGGAGTTGCGGGATCGCCCCCGAGAAAATGAAGAGTCTTGCCATCGGGGCTGGCGCGGACCTCATTGAGCTCTGCAAGTGGGGTAAGGGGGACTGGAGCCCTACTTTAAAAAACCTTCATAATTACCCATACTATTTTGCGGATCCTAACTGTTTTTGGTAGCATAACGGGCCTTTGGTAGCATAACGGGCCCGAAAACTCTAGTCTAATTATTAAGGAAGGCCCATGTATTACACAGTTTCCTAAGGGGAAAGCCGTCTTCCCTTTGAGCCAGGGATCTTCTTCGAAGAGGTTTAGGGTTTTGGGAAGGCTTCATGCTAGTATACTTATATCAAGAAACCCTAAGGCAGACATTTCGATAATTCCCATGTCATTCGAAGCGGTCTCTCTTTAACGAGGACCTCCAGAAAACAAGCCCTAACATCTAAATAGCCCTAAACCCTAAGCCTCTGGCTAAACCCCGACTTCCGAAGACACTCTAAGCCCCAAGACGCTCAGACCCTAAACCTAAAGCCAACAAAACGTCCCCAAACCGTCCACCCCGAACCCAAACTGCTGATGATGCACGCCGCCAAGGGTCCAAGCATTTAGGTATTTGGGGTTTAAGGTTTACTGCTGACAAAGCCACGCCGCCAAAGTAAAGGGGAAGGCCCTCCTCCTGCCCGTACCTTGTCTGGGCTTTGAAGAAACGAGAGAAAAAACAATAGACTTTGTTTCGTACTGGTTCCTTTCAGGAACAGGTTCAAACTAAGGCATTCAAGCACGGTACTCCAGAACCCAGTTGTCACTCCCTTCCAGGGTTCAGGGAATCTGGGATTTTCGGGTTTAGGGTTTAGATTTATAGGGGCGGAATATTCTGTTAACAAGACTCCCTTCAAGGTCTATAGGGGTTTTAGGTTTTAGGGGTTTAGTTTAGGGCCTACGGGCGAAACATTCTATTAACAAACCTCCCTTCGAGGGTTCAGGGTCTCGGGGATTTAGGGTCCTATGGCTCTTCTTGGCAATAGTGGTTATAAGTAGTTGCAAGTAAAGCCACCCTAGTACTAACTAACCCCGGTAACTATAAGTCCTATGGTTCTTTTAGTGCTAACCCGAGTTACTATAAGTCCTATGGTTCTTTTTGGCAATGGTCTGACAAGGCACTCTTTGGCGCTGCCCTGTGAGAGGCACACCAAACGGCTCGCCCCACGGTCGGGGTCGGAGAAGCCTTGGGTTGAGGCTTAAAGTCCTACTTGGAGGGGCAGTGTTCTTAAAGGGCTCCTTAAAGGGATCTATAGGGATCCTTTAAGGGATCTATGGGGTTTAGGGTTTAGGGTCTACTTGCAGGGGCAGGGAACTTAGTAAGCCGTTTGTAAGTAGGGTTATAATTGCGGTAACTCCATATTTAGTGTACTTCTAACTCTACGAATAACCTGCTTACTGAGTCCCCTGCCCCTCCAAGTAAACCCTAAACCTTACGTGTTCTGTATCCTAGGGGATCTAAAGTTAACCGGGTCATAAAGAGATTACAATGACACCAATATGTTAAAGGTTACCTACTCTACCTTTGAATAAATCCTAAACCCCTAAAACTCTTACGTTTGTGCACAGGGAAGCAGGAGCCCAGCCGGATTGCCGGAAACCCTGATTGGTAGGTCCTTATCTGGGCTTTGAAGTGACCAGGGAGACAGAAGTATAGCCATATGTTTCATACTGGTAAGGATCTGGTTAAAATAGTAATAATATTAATAAAAATAATAAGAAAGTATTCAAGTATGGTACTCCAGAACCCACTTATGTTTCGATGCACTTTGGGCGTGCTATGAAACTGAGCTTCGAAGCGTTTGGGCTTTAGCATGTGCAGCTACTACTTATACTTCGGCCCTGCAGCAAGCACCGTGACTAGCGCCGGGGTTTCGGGGTCTCGGGTTCAACCAAGACCATTGATAAACTTTAGGGGTAGTTGTCAAAAATCCGTCCCCTTCTTGGGTCCTTAATATAATACGGCATCTACCCTAAACCCTAAACCATATTACAGGTACCCCGCAAGGGGTCCTAATTTTGACAACCACCCTTAAGCTTCTGTGATGTGGGATTGGAAGAGGCTCTTCGGGCTTTAAGGAGCGGAGTCGGCTGTTTCACAAATTTCGGACTTCGTCCGTCTAGCCCCTTAGAAGCATAACGAAACACGTATTTCTATTATCCTCTTGGGCTTGATCTATATATATATATATATACATACATATGAACAGAACAAAAATGAAACATTCTAAGGAGACTACAAGTAAACCCACACCCGTAACCCTGAACGATGAACCTTAAACTCTAAATTCAGGCTCTTGTTGGATACTTGCGGTCTCCGGCACAGGCGATGCAGCTGCCGTCTTCGAGGAAGCAGTAGTTCCTCTGTGGGTTTTGGGGGCCTCTTGGGGCTTCACTTAAAGGACCATGGGACTTAGTAACTGGGATTAGAAAAAGGCAACTATACTTCTCATTACTTGTAACCCCAATTAAGATATGTATAACCTTACTAAGTCCCATGATCCTCCAAGTAAAGGTTTAAAAACTAAACCCTTCGACCCCTACAAAAACAACGATGGAAGGTACACCGGAATCAGGCCACGGCCGTTCAATCCTCGATCCGAGAATGGCGGGGTTGTTCAAGCATGGGCTTAGGGCTTAGGGTTTAGGTTTTTTTTTTTTAAGGGCCAGGGTTTAGGGTTTAGGGTTTAGTCGGCGGTTTTTCGGGCATTTTAGGCATGTAGTTTTCAGGATGGTCTTGAAACACTTGGTGGGGCCCCCAGTGCGAGTCCTTCCCCTGCTCTGCGTTCCAAAGCCTACTCGCACAAGCCGGCCCAGGATTCACGGAACCCAAAATGAGGTACCCCATATTTTCGGAGACTCCCAAATCTTAAACGCCGGCCTCCAGAAACCTAAAATCCTGCAGGTCGAGACCCTGAACAAACCCCCAAACCCCGCCGTAAGTGTTCCTCAAAAGGGTCCCTTTAAAGGGCTCCATTATAAGGTTCCTTGAAGGGTTTCCTTTGAGGGCTTGGTTAAGGGGTCCCTTTGAAGGCTTCTTTCAAAGGATCCCTGACAGAAGCTTAGACTAAAGCCTTAAATCACGTGAGCGCGCGCGTGCACGAGAGCCTATATAAGCCCGAAGCCCTTAAGCTTAAATCCTAAATCCCAAAAGCCGAAATCCTCAACCCTTTCGGGTAAACCTCAACTAAACTTTGCAAGCTAACCCCAAATCCTACCCTAAACCCTCATGCATGAACCTGATTAAGAAACCCTGGCCCAAGAACCCCCAATATATTAGGATGCATATAAAGAACCCCAATAAAGGCCCAAGGTCTCTTAATCAGGTTCCTACATATTCGAGGAAACCTTACTTAAAGGATCATGGGACTAAGTAGGTCATAATTGGGTTTATTAGTCCCTAAGTGGGGTTATCCTAATTATAACCTACTTATAACCATACTTACTAAGTCCCATGAGCCTTTAAGCAACCGATCATAAGGGTAACCCTAAACCCTAAACCCAAAAAGCGCGGTCCACGCAGCCTCTGGCCCAGCTGCCAGCCAGGAGCAGCGCCAGCGAATTCAGCATCCTTCCGTGAAGGAGGAGGGTTTGGGGTTTAGGGTTTGGAACGGTTTAGGGTTTAGGGAAGGCTTAAGACTTACTGATATAGATTTTGAGTGGTGCTACTCGACCTTCCATTACACGAGGGGGTTTAGGGCTCAGAACTTTAGAAAATAGATAACCATCCTTCCATTAAGAAAGTTTCAGAAATTTCATCTGAATGGGGCTGTATTTGGCTTCACAGTGCAGGATTTCTAAAACCCGCTTCCACTCAAAGGCTTCCAGGGGTCAGGGATTGGGGTTGACAGGTGCAGATAGAACCCAGAGGGTCCAAGTACCCAAATAGTATGGTTTTAGGGCCCCAAAATCCATACTCTGAATGGTTTTTGGGCCTTGAAACCCTACTATTTGGCTACTTGGACCCTCTGGGCCCAAACCCTAAACCCCTAAACCCTATAAACCCTAAACCCCTAAACCCTAAACCCTACTATTTGGGAACTTGGACCCTAAGGGGAACAGAACCATGCAGGGGTTGCATTGGGCTTCGTGTCTTGGCATCGACTCCTCGTTGCTGGTTGATAAGACACGTTCCTTTTCTAGACCCAAGAGTTAAGGTTTAGGGTTTAGGGTTTAGGGTCTAGGAACAAAAAGGGTGCCCTTTTTGGTTTAAAGGGGCTAATAAGGGGACCTGAACCCTAAAAAAAGGGAATAAGGGCCTACTCTGGGTCCTAGTTTTAGAGGGGGTAATACTGCTGATGGGCAAAATCCTGCATTACTCCCATAATAAGAAATATTATATACCATAGTTCCCATATTTTAGAGTCCTTAGGGTAGTGCAGGATTTCGTCCATCAGCAGTATGAATCAGTAGTCCAAGAGTTCAACTCGTCTTGCCAATATTTGGAACTAGTGGGGCGAACCATCACGCATGGCCTCTACATTAGGATAAATTCGCCCTTTGTCAAGGCCACCGGTTGTTACAGTCACCATACTCTTCTGCGTTCCTTGGGACATCGTGCTTTTCTCGAAAAACATCCTGAATACTCTAGTAGCAAAAAGAAACCGTAAACCCTGTATCATGTAACTGTCCTCTAACTTCCTCTAACCTTGACCACTAGAATGTCCTAAACCTGAACCGGATCTCTTCCCCCAGGCCTTGGCTAAGAGGGGCACGATGCCCTCCGAGCCATAGGTGTAAAGATTCCTGGTCGCATCAACAGCTGTCTTTACCCTTGGGTTTCGAACTTCGAGTTTTAGTGAGTAGGATTAAGCGGACCCTTGGGAATACAGACCCCCTCAATGAGGTCCCTGCTTAAGAGAGCCAGAAGTAGGGTTAAGAAGCAGGGTCCCCCTTTTGAGGGTACCCCCCGAATACTACGGTTGATGACATAAATCCTGCATTACCTTAAGGACCCTAAACTATGGGAATTATGGCTTAGTCCTTATTATGGGTAATGCAGGATTTATATCATCAACCGTACCTCGGCCGAAGCTGCCTGGACTCTAAGGTTTCCGGTTTCGCGTTTACAGCGGCGGTTCTGACAGGTTCTAGGGTCTAGTGGACTTCGTACGCGACGCTGCCGCAATCCTATAAACCGAACCTGCTCATTATGAACTTTCCTTGCGTCCTTTCGGGTAGGTCACTTGGGGTTGAGGTAGTGCTCAAGCGATGAGCTCAGGGTTTTGGGTGGGCCAAAGCGACAATCACACAGAGGGAAGAAGCAGCTAAGCAGCTGTCACAAGTCGTGAATCATTGAGGTAAACCCTAAACTAAACCTTAAACCCAAAAGCCTGAAGGCTTGTAGGATTCTGGGTGGAGGGCTGAGTCCCCAAAGGCCTGAGTCACTGAGGATAGGGAACGTAGCTCCTAGCTTTCGACACCTCATAGTGCTGGACGGCATATGCCGCTGTAAGCCTGCCACCAAAACCCCTACGCAACCATAGAAGAACATAAATGTAGGGGCATTAATGATCCAAATAGGGTTTTGGGGTATATGGTACACCAGTCATGATAAGGAACCCCCACAACTGCACGTAATGATATAGGCCCGGATATTGCCTCGAAACCTTGTCCGATATACCGTATTCGGGCCTCAGCTACAACCCTCACCCCTTTAGGCTGGCAGTGACATAGTCCCAGCATCTCGTTGCAACGACGGGGGTGTTCGTTTGTGCACAAAAAGCATGGCCACACATCCCTACCACACATCCCTATCTGCCTCCCTTATAGCCTGGCGATTTATCAGCGTAGGAAGCCACCCCTCCCGTATAGCCTTCTGTCTCTTTATAAGTGTAGGAAACCACCACCGAGAACCCTAGCCTTAACCCTGTACACCACAGACCGCAGCACCTAATGCCTATTGGAGATCCTGGTAGGATCCTCACAACCCGTAGCTTTATCGTACGTGCAGACGACCTCAAACAAGGTCCATGTACCCAAACAGTAGACACGCAGCTGTAGGAGTCCCCTTTTTGAAGCCACGGCATATATGCAATACATATATATATATATATTCACATGTAGATATATAGAATAGACAAATTGTTGTGTAGGTACATGGACTTGAAACCTTGGAATCGGGTATACTAACCCCTTGTACAAACCGTCTAAAACCCTTGTAAAACCATGTAACATCCTATGACGCCTTCATACAACCCTCATAAAGCTCTGTTACAAGCCTTGTGGAGCCCAAACCAGCCCTTAGAAGACAACTGTGAGCTGCCAAAGCGCCACCAGCCCGAGGTATCGGCGATGAAATGCAGCTTGCCCTCGGGCGACCAGAGAGGTTGCAAGACCTCGGCAAAGTTGTGGGCCGCTCGCAGGCTTGGCTTGGAGCCGTGAGAGGGTAGTATGAGGAATTGGAACAGCTTTAGGGGACTGTTAGGGTTATGCATGTATGTACGTACGTATGTATGTATGTGTAGTAAGCTGAAGGTCAGGGAATGCAATCGCCGGACTGTAACCGGATTTCTCCGTTCTGCACTTGGGGTTGCCCTAGCTGCAGCCCTACTTACCGTACGTATCATAAGATATAGCCTGTGCAACTACATATAAGCTGTTGAACTACTAATGTTGCGTCGCATGATCCTTAATAGCCTATGTGCCGTTATCGGGGATACTTCCCTGGATCATAATAGTAATTCCTAATATGGAAACCCTACATTCTACCATACAGGTACTTAGGACCCTTTGGGTAATGGCTCCGGGACATGAAATTCCATGTTCAGCCTTTGCCTCATGGCCCCTGGATTGCAGGATCAGGGTTGGACCTGTCGGAGGCTTCAAAAGCTGGGATGCAGGTAGGTGGGAGTACAGTAGAAGCCAGACAGTTGGAATATCATTGTCGTAACCCCTTTAAGGTAAGTTATAGGGGATCCTACCATTAATCCATATTCCAACTTTCTGGAGCTCCCTTTAAGGTTCTGTTCATATAAGCACTCTTACTTGGGGCTTCCCAACCTACCTTCATCCCATCCTTAGAGCACTTCGAACCTTCAGGGTGCAGGGCTTTGGGCCGAAGCGTTCAGGACTTAAGGACTTGAAGCTTGCGGGAACCCAAAGGCCCTAAAGGTCCAACGGATCCCATCATCCCAGAATTTGGTACAGGGATTTAAGAACTGTAGTAGTTGCTCAGGTTACTATTTGGGAAAGTACCTTTAAATTACTCTTCCTTATTAGATACTTGGACCTTGAGGGTAAGGCCAAGGGCGGCAACGGGTTCACACCTGCAGCGGCTGTCATGATCAGGAAAATTGCTGCCTTTGTTCAGGAAGTACACATTGTAGACGGCAGCTTCGGTAGAACACTAAACTCTGACCTCTGTGGTAAACTATATCCCAGAGCTGTAGAAAACCGATTCGACTGCTGCACAGGGACGGCTTTCGGCTAGCTGCGTCGCGGAATAAGCGCTACTGACACAAGGACAAGGACTGACTGAACACCAAAACAAGCTTATGGTTCACATCACACAGAACTAACGCATAGACTACAAGACAACTTTGTGCATTCTTATGACTCAATGACAGGCCATTTCGTCTTCAGGAAAGTACTCCGGCACGCTTTGCAAAACACCTTACAAAACTCAACACTAATGCCAAACTCTAAAGACAGTACGGAAAGCCTCTTAAGAACCCAAACCCTAAACCCGGAACCTTAACTCTGTGATTACACTCAAAAAAATCCCACATCCCACACCTAAAGCCCTAAACCCTACACCCTGAACCCTAAATCCCTAAGCAGGTTCTATAAATAGAACCCTAGCAAAATTTAGAATTTTCGCTGTTTCTTAGGGATTATAATAATTAACCTCAAAAATTAAAAAAAATTAAGTACCCCTAAGAAACCCGAAATCCCCTAAGGGTTCTGCAGCTTCGGAGCAGACACTGCCTCGCCGCCGCTGGAGCTACCGCAGATCACCTCCTCCCGGCGGGCTTCGAAGTAACCGGGGAGCAAAACGACTAGGGTTCCTTTAAAGGGATCTGTTAGGGTTCCTTTCAAGGATCTATGAGGGTTACTATTATGTTAGGGAGCATGGCTTCGAAGTAGCCGGGGAGCAACACGACTAGGGTTCATTTAAAGGGATCTGCTACCTCCTTAAAGGATCATGGGACTTAGTAAGTAAGGTTATAAGTAGGGTATAATTAGGATAGCCCCACTTAGGGGACTTATAACCCCAATTATAACCTTCTTGCTAAGTCCCATGATCCTCCAAGTAGGGTTCCTTTAACGGGATCTGTTGCCTAGAGGCTCCATATATAGTACCACTATGGAATTAGGCCCCCAAAGCCATGATATGGATGGTCTTTCGGGACCTAATTCGATAATGGTACTATATATGGAGCCTCTGGGTTAGGGTTCCTTTCAGGGATCTATGAGGGTACTATTATGGGTTTTAAGGAGGATGAAGAATAGTATAGGGGCCTTAATAACGAGAATAGGGTTTTGGGGCCCATTATACTATATTCATCATAAGGACCCCCCCACAAGTATTGGTGATTATTTAGGCCCGTATACTAGACTATTATTTCATGGTGGCTCTTGAAAGGAACAGGTCCAGCAAAAAGTATTCAAGTATGGTACCTCAGGATAGCAGCAAGCAGCAATCTTCCTGAACAGGGATCCGAACCGTCAATCCCTAAGCCCGAAACCCTAAACCCTTACACCCTAAACCCTAAAACCCTTAATCCTAAGAACAGTGTAGCAGCCGTTACGAATCCAAGGGCTCCTTACAGGGTTCCGTCAAGGGTTCCTTCAAGGGTTTGGGGTTTAGGGGTTCTGGGTTCTGAGGACTTTCGGGTTTTAAGGTGTCGGAGTTTAAGGCTTTTGGGTTTAAGGTTGCGTTGAAGAACCCCTTCCCATTCAATCCCTTGGTGCTGCCTCGCCGGTCAGCGCCCCTTCGGCTTCGACCTTCGCCAGGCGCAGCTCCGTTGACTCCCAGGGCATGGAAGGATGGTTCCTGCATGGCCGCTTTTTGTTGAAAAGGAACCCTGCAAGGGATACCATAACCCCGAGGGTCCAAGTACATAATAATATACTCTCCAACATCCTAACCGACATAACTACCATCCTAAAACCGAGTACCCTATTCTTGGGTCCTTTGGACCCTTGGGGTAACCAGTGCATAGGGTTCCATGAGGGTTCCTGAGTGGCAGTGTTGCTGACATTACGGGTTTAGGGTTTAGGGTTCCTGAGTGGCAGTGTTTCTGAAATTATGGGTTGAGGGTTTAACGGGTACTGGGAGTATCATGGGACTTAGCAAGTAAGGTATCCGCACCCTAGTTGGGGTAAGTCACGAAAAGTATGGTTACCGTCAGTTACCACCCCTTAGTTGCTAAGTCCCATGACCCTCAAGCAGGGTTCTTCAGGGTCTGGGTTCCGGAGTGGCCGATTTGTATTAATTAAGGATTCCTTAAAGGGTTCCCTTATGGAATGCTATAATGGCTGCTTAGGGTTGTGTAAGGGTTCCGTTGCGGTTTCCTTTCAGCCGTTCCTATAAGGGATCTATGAACCGAAAGGCTTGTGAAGCCTTTTTGAACCCTAAACCCTAAACCGTATCATGGGACTTAGCAAAAAATCCCAGGATCTGCTAAGGGCTGGTAACTTCAAGTTCGGCCAAGTACCCAATGATCATGTGGGGGTTTCTGAAAGTACGGGGCCCCAACACCCTAAATAGTACATAGGATCCTTATTATAAGGACCCCAAAATACGGTATCCCTAATTTTCGGAAACTCCCATATACCCTCCCAACTAGTAGCCCACATAAGTACTATCCGAGACCTGAGTGAGTGAGCATTGGGTCGTTTATGGTTCCTTCTTGCAGAAACGGTTCAGGCTCCAGGGGTAAACCTGAGGGTCCATGTACCCAAATGGTATATACTTTGGCCTTGAAGTAGTCCCTATTTAGGTACATTGGGGCCAAAGTATATACTACATGGGTCTTGGACCGTCAGGTTAGGGGGTTTACCCACAAACTGCCTCAGCCTTTTCTTGCACAGCCAGCTAGGTTTAGGGTAGTTTTCAGTGGCATGCACGCGGGGCCATTTAAGGCGTCTGAGCCCAGTTACCTTACCATGTGTTTTTGTTTGGGCTCGATTGAATCTTGAGCAACTGGGCCCGTTGGGGTCAGGAGCTTGAAACGACAGCATTACTAGTTCCCGCAGGCTTCTAACTTAAAACCCGTTTGTATGCCATGGCTCCAGCAAATGTAGGCCAATTGTGACCCATCTGGGTGGAGTTGCGGCGCTGCATAAAAGTCCTGAGCAGGCCCGATCGACTCCAAAAGCCGGGCTTTGAAAGGCAAAGACTTTTTTCATAATGGTTCATGTAAGGAACAGGTCCAAAAAACGTAGCCCAGTGTGATACTTCAGAACCCAGAAAGTCAACGAAGCTTTGCTTCTTTTCTAGGTTTAGGGTTGAGGTTTATGATGGGAACTGACGGACTGTTGGCTTTTGTAGGGGAGTCTAGGGTGTGGGGCTTAGAATGGAACTGCAGAATCTTTCGTTTTTGCTGCGGAAGGTTTAGGGCTTAGGAGGGCGTCAAGTCTAGCGATGTTTGGTGTTCAACGTCTTGAAGATGTCAACCAGGAACCAACTAGTAGTGGTATTACGGTTTAAGCAGGCGACCATAATCGTAATCCCAACGGTATTACGAATTGTCCAGACTTCTACATAAAATGAGGGGAAGCTACTTCTGCGGGCTTTTAAGAGTCTGCACTCGGGCGCTCTTCTGACCAGAAATTCCCTGAATGCCCGATCGTTGTAAGCACGAGTGTTAAGACTTACTAGTCCAGCTTCAAAGGAGGACAGAAGGTGAAGCTTTAATTGGGACTATATAGGTTCATTACACCGTGAAGTACGCGGTTCCCGATGTTGAATCTTTCTGACGTTGTTATAGGGGCCAGGTGCCTGCCTAGAGACTCTAAACTTTATACTAAATTGTAGGTGAAACCTGAGGATAATTTAGGGCTTATTCCACAGTTACAGGACTTTACAGGGCTTGCGACCCTGGGTGCCCAGCATTCGGACCCCTTCATTAATCACTAAAACTAAAGCTGATCAGTTAGCTGCCTGAGTTTCGGTATAGTATACACCAGACCCCTACTCCAGTCAGGGAAAAGTGCAAACCAAGGATTCTATATAAAGGGGCTGAACAAGGTTTCTATGAGGCAAAGCCGTCAGCTATAAAGCCCGATGCGACTATACCCTGAACCCAAAACCCCACCTACTGCTGGGGCCTTAATAAATGCGATAATTAGAATAGGGTTTTGGGGCAGATTATACTGTAATTGTAATAAGGACCCCCAAAATAGTATAGGTAGTTTACTTGCTAAGGCTGAGCAGCGCAGCCCTCTGCCAACACAACCATGTCGCCGCTACCGTCCAGAGACACGGCGCCTGAGCATGCAGGAAATAGGGTTTCGGGCTTCTTTTAGAGTATACTGTTTAGGATTTAGGGTTTAGTTTACGGGTTTCGGCTTTAGGGTTTAGGGCATACTGGGTTTAGGGCTGAGGGCTTAGGATTTAGGGTTAGGGGTATACTGATCTAGGGCTTAGGGAATAATGATTTCAGGTTTACACTAGTCTATACCTTACACCCTAAGCAGGCAATCCGGCTTAAGGTATACAAACTACATCTACATGACGGTCTAGGGTCAGGAAATAGAGAGCCTGCATGTTGACCGCTTTTGGGAGTGTTCAGGCCACCCAACTCAGCATAAAGCGCAGAGACTCTATCACTCCCGGACTAAAGAACATACCCCAAGGGTCCAAAGGACCCAATAATATGGTACTCGGTTTTAGGATAGTAGTTATGTAGGTCAGGATTTTGGAGAGTATATGATTATTGGGTACTTGGACCCTTGGGGATAGCTTAAAGCATAATGAGAAGTTTTGTATAGTCAAGGGCATATGCATGGTTGATGAAGAGCCTCATTAAAGGAAACCTCCTGCAAACTCCGCCACCATATCAAACCGTGTAGTTTTATGCATCCAGTTGATTTGAAGAACTCTCAGTCTAACAAATTTCAACCGATCTGGGAGTCGATGGGAAGATGGAATCAGAAACTACTCGAAACCCGCAGGCCGAAAACCCCCAAGACAGGGGCGTTCTGAACAAGTGGACACAACGTTTCGACTATACCATACGGATATTGAAGAACCATAGGCAATACGTTAGGGCGTTTCTGCTTTGAAGTAAAGGTTGGTGGGGGTTTAGGGCTTCAGGCTTTAGGTATAGGGTTAAGGGATATAGGGGTATGAGGTTCGGGGATTGAGGCACTTAGCCCAGGTGCAGATAGTGTTGGTGACGTCTTTGGTCGTGTGGTCCTCCCTCACACAAATCCTGGGATGCAGACCCAGCTGCAGACCCTGAGAAGCGTAGAAATCAGACACAACATGTAAATATAGGGGCCTTAATAATTCCAATGGGATTTGGGTGATATTTTGCCATACATACATAGCCCAACATAGTATTGCGAATTACTTAGGACGTTTTTTAGCTGATCATGACCATCCCGGGACCTGATGGCCCTAACTTGTTGCAACTTACCCTTGTAAACCCCCTAAACCCAAACCCTCAGTCTTAAGCCCTAAACCCAAAGAACAAACCCTAAACCTAAGCAATAAACCCTAAGGTTTAAGCCCTAAGCCCTAAACCCACCCGCGACTAAAGTCAATCACTTCGGACATCGAATGAGATCAGAGGTTCCTGGATTCTCCAAGCTGAAGGCGCTCGAGGTTGCAGTCGAGGGTTTAGGGCTTAGGGTTTTGGGTTTAGGGTTTAAGGGTTTAGGGGTGAGAGTTTTGGGTTTGGGGTTTAGGGGTTTCGGGTTGAGGGTTTAGGGCTTAAGTCTCTTTTGGCTTCGCGGGCTTATGGGTTGTAGATGAGGTTGTCTTTGGTTTCGGGGGCTGATCACTATAGGGTCCAGGCTTGTAGGGTGTACAGTGAAGAGGAGCGAGCCAACTACTAGACCCAAGAGTAACTTAGGAAAAAAAGGGTGCCCTCTTTGGTATAAAGGGGCTGATAAGGGAACCTGAACCCTTAAAAAGGGATCAGGGAGCCTACTCTAGGTCCTAGACTATCATAGGGATCCTTAGGGGTGTAGGGGGAGGGGGGTAGGGGGCCTTAAGGCCCATAATAAGGACTAATAAGGCCTATTTAAGGAAATATAGTCCCCTACACCCCTCCCCCCTACACCCCTAAGGATCCCTATGACTATGAGAAGCTTGCTGACCCTTTACAGCTTCCGAAAAATGTTCGTACATAAGATCCTCTTAAGCCCAAGTCGGAGGAAATATCGAACATCCAAGAGGCTACTTAAGATAGGGGCCCCAATAATTAGAATAGGGTTTTGGGGCCCGTTATACTGTAGATATAGTAAGGAACGCCCATCATAATATTGGCAATTATTTAGGCCCCTGAATTAAAGAATCCTACTATAGACAATGAAAAACCCTATAAGCTACCCTGTATAGTATCCCTAGAGACCCTGACAGAGCCCTTTAAGGTACCCCGCAAAGGAACCCCATAGCCTGACAAGCAAACCAAGGAACCTCGCCAAAAGAGAGAGGCTCCCGAGCACTAAGAGTAGACGAACATGAGCGTTCAGGGTTTAGAGCCGCTTGGGGTTTAGGGTTTAGGGGCGTTTATGGTTAGAGTGTAGGGGTTTTGGGGTGGGTTTTGGGGTTTTGGGTTTCGGGTTTAGGGGGCTTAGTGTTTAGGGTAAAGGTCCTCTGAACGCTCACAGTTGTGGGATGAAGGGCTACAGTGAATCTTACGGGAACCCTTGAATCCCACTTCGCGCAAGCCAGGAACAAGCGGTTTCGCTTCATGTCGAGCACGCAATCTGCAAAGCGGTATCGCACATCCTCCTCATAGGCGCTGGACGGTGTGAGGCCTCGGCGTTAGGGTTCCCAGAGACTCCAATATCCCCTAATCAAGGAATATTCCTTAAATCATATAAGGGACCCTACTAGAATTTAAGGTATATTCCTTAATTAAGGCATATTGGAGTCCTAGGGTTAGGGTTTAGGGTTTAGGGTTGTCCAGGGTTAGGGCCCGACTTTAACCCCAAACCTTGAACCTCGAACCCTGTAAACCCTAACTCAAAGGGGAAAAGGAGGGACCCTTACTGTATAGGGTCGAAACACCATAGGACATAGGACAGATCACCAGCACTCCCACTGAAGGAAGCTTGAAGAAGAGCGCTACTGGAGTGGCCTGAATAGATAGACTAGGATTACTTTCAAAAAACACTCTATCTGGTCACAGGGTGGGTTAGGGTTTAAGGGTTTGGGGTTTAGGGGGGGTATTTTGCAATGAAGATGTGTTCAGCGTTTGGGGCTTGAGGTTTCAGGATTCGGGGTATGGTCTTTGCATTTTTTGAGCGATTATTTTGGGTCCTTGCCGATCAATTAGGATGCAGCGGTTCACGCCCCTGGCTTACGCGAAGCCGCGAAGGATTTCTTAGGGATTCAGGCGATTCGTGGATATCAGGACTAGGATGCCGAGTCGGCTAGGAATAAATGTTGATGGTATTGGGTACCTTTAATTATCAGGAACCTAGGACTACAAAAAGGGGATAAGGGCACTACTGAGCATCCTAGAGGAAGCCAGGCACTGCAAAATACCCCAAAAGAAGAGCCCCAGTTCAGGCACGGACAACCTGACTTACTAAGTCCGGTGACCCTCCAAGTAGGGTTGGCCGGGCTCTGTCTGAAGAAACCAAGCAGAAGAAAGTACATACTTACATGTCATAATGCTTCCTTGAAGGAACAGGTCCAAAACAGAGTATGTATGTATGTATGGTACTCCAGAAACCACTTTTAGGGTTTAGCAGGTAGTTTTAGGTTCAGGGTCTACAGACGACGATAAAGGCCCCGCTTTGCAAGGTTTAGGGTTTAGGGTGCCATATTAGACCCAGATCCCGCTGAAAGCAGCCGGCTTGCAAAAGGGCTCTTCTCCCTCGTCGCCCTTTAACCAGTACAGCCTGTCATCCCCAGAGACTCCAATATCCCTTAATTAAGGAATATACTTTAAATTATAGTAGGATCCCTAATATGATTTAAGGAATATTCCTTAACTAAGGAATATTGGAGTCTCTGGGTCATCCGAATGAAGTGGCATTTGCTTAGGGCTAGGCAGTCCTTAAGGCAAGCCTGGTGAGATTCGGTGAGATTACCCTAACCCCGTGCTTGTAGCTGCTCCTACTTTCTTATGGAGCCGCTTACAAATATGATCACTGGCCCAAAACCCAGGGATGCAATATGATCATGAGGCGGTTCGGCAGTTCATTGATGATCTGAGCATGTATCGCATGCTTCCCTGCCTCGCGAGCGAGGCTTAAGTCAACAGATCCGGGTGGAGGCTTTCCTGCAATCCATTACGGACACCCGGGCTTGATTTTGCAGGCCGCTTGACTTGTACAATGCTGGACTGGTGTATCCAGGCAGGGTATAGGAACGCGAATCTGAACTTAGGGTATATTTACTTGCACCTGTTTCATACGAGAAGAGTGAAGACAAACCCGATACCCGGAAGCGGACATGAACCAAAAGGCCACGGCAGCCCTTTCACACACTACATATGACATAGACGCGTCGCACTTCGCCCTGAACAAGAAGAACACCCAAATCTTCATTCCCCCAAGCCCACAAGTCTACAGAAGCCCCGTCCCTAAACGGGCTTAGATACAGTAGTCATTTGGTGCTATGTCGGACGCTCTCGCCTCTGGTCTTTGAAATTCGCATAGATCAGGTCTTTGCCGTTTGGGCCGAGCCAGTATGGAACTCCACCATACTCATGCACCTCGGCCATCAGTCAGAAGAACAAGAGAGCCGCAAACATGAACTACGGTTTAGGTTTGCAGCAGCCATGGAGCAGTGCTTGAGTTTATTAGATATTAACTCCGACAGGGCGTGCATAACAAAACCACACTTGACGAGCAACCACACAGCATACCGCCACAACACGACAAGAAGAACAGCTTCTGCTCATGATTATCATTGCATGAATTTACTTCCCACAGCTCGGACTATAGAGATCCGCCCTATTTAAGCCCTAAACCCTAACCCTAAACCCTAAACCCTAACATAGACTAAGCGTGCAAGCCCTAAACTCCCCTGAAGGGTTCCGTTAACGGCGGTTTAGGCTTTAGGGCTTAGGGGTGCAGGGTTGAGGATTTCAGATTTTTGAGCATAGGAGCAATGATTAAAGTAGGGTGTGTACCGCGCTAATAGTATACTTGGAGGACCACAAGGTTGCGAGCAACTAAGTCTCATGATCCTGCGGCCCTAAAATCCCTACAGATCCCTGATACATCCCTTTTCAGGAACCCGTTTAGGAACCCTGTTCAGCTACGAATTCGCATGATCCTTTAAGAATACTGGGAACACGAGGGACTCCAGAGTATGACGGGACTCTCGGCTTCCTGCGCTCCTTTGAGGAGAGAACAGAACTGTGACCCCCGAAATACGCACATTCCAAAGACGCAAAGCTATCCTGAGCAGAGCCAAGTACCCAAAGCTCTAATGCCCGTGCAGCAGGCGAGAAAAGAACTGCTTTTGAAATCGCCCTCCATCCCCCCTGCAAAAACCACAACACAATCCACAAAGCCATCCTTGAGGGTTTAGGCTTTGGGTTCAAGGTAAAGCCAAGATACCTGAAGCCTAAACATGAGTATATCCCCAAACATTCCCCAGGCGCGCGAGTTCGGGCGTTCACCTCATCGGGAATGACCTCCTTCTTCCCCGCGCGGTTGCAACAAACGACCTGGCTACTCGGAAAATCCTCCTCATCCACGGTTGGGATATTATCAAGTAAAACTACTGTAAGATTAACAATGCCAGCAGTAACAGTAATAACTAAATTCGACCTTTACCTTCAATGCCTTCTTGGGTTTAAGTACCCATAAGCATGTCAAATGTTACACCCAAGTATGACAAAGCCTCAACGCGAGGCCCCAAACTTAAACGAGAGCATCCTCCCTAAACCCCATGCCCTTACACCCCGATACAAGGTTTAGGGTTTAGGGTTTAGGGTTTAGCTCTATACTCCAAACCATAAACAAAAGAGTTGCTCTTCCTCTTGAGCCGGAACTGGAGTATGGAGTTTAGGGCTAAGCCCTACCCCGAGACCATAGTCTCGGGCTCAGCGGTGAGTACTCATGGCTAACGACTGTAGTAGTATAGCTTTATATAGTGCAGTTAATAAAGAAGTAATGGAGCTGCAATGGAGACCATAGCAAACCACGGTAAGCCCGAAGCGCTTCAGGCTCACGGTTTCAGGGCCCAAGCTTGGAGACAAACACATCAAAAGGCGGCTTCTAGGACTTATAGGGTTTATTGAGTTTAGGGTTTAGGTTTTAGGGTGTCTTCTGGCGCAGTGGCTGGTATTCCATGCAAGGATGGCGCCACCTCACACCGGGATTTGCGGGTGGCGGCATAAAGCGCGTCAAGCGACCTTCCTTGCATGTGTCATAGAACTCAGTGAAACCGGAAGTTCTCTTAAACCCGCCCAACAGGCACCCAAACCGTTTCCTGTTAGGGTTTAGGACTTACACCCTCAATTCCCACATCGACCGGACAAATCAGGGACATAAGGCAGAGGGTAGCAAGATAGCAGGGCTGAGAGGGGCAGAAAGGCCCAGGAAGGCATGGGGTGGGTGAAGGGGGCGGCCCGGCAGGCCGTGCCAGCTTTTGAGGGGCGCAAAAACGCCAAGGCAGTGACGTGAGGCTTTTGGCATTGGGTTTAGGGTGTTCCCATCAAGGGGGGCAATCAACGTACTCTAGGTACTCTAGCGGATTTCAAGCCCAGCTGTTGCTGGCCGGAGCCGTTGACAGCCCAGATCGGGCTGTATTCGCGCCCAGTGCGGGTGTAAAGGCTGCCGGGCATCTTTAGTGTCTTGGTACCCAGTTCTGGGCGGGAATGGCCCCAGGGGGCGGGTGGGAAGTTATAGGTTTGGGGTTTAGGTTTGGGTTAGGGTTGAGGACTTAGCATTTAGGGCTTAGGGTTTCGGGTGTTTTGGAGGCGGAGATATAGATCTGGAAACACTACGAGTCCTAAACATAGATCTGGAAGCACTACGAGTGCTAAACACCACCCGGCCGCAGGATCCAACGCAAGAAAGCTAGTCCAAACAGATCCCGCCTGACGTCCACCTTCCTGCGGTCGCCCCTCCAACCAGTACCTGGGGTTTTGAAGCCATGCGTATATGTAAACTTGCTTAATCATGGGTGTTATTCTTATTTGTTTGTTCATGTTACGGGTAAACATGTAAATTCTTGAAGACCCATGTGTAAACTCGAAAACCTATACCTGCATAGAAAGATAGACAGACAGACAGATAGATGGACTGGCTGGTTGGTTGGCTGGCTGGTTGTTTGGTTGGTTGCTTGCCCGGTTGCTTGCTTGCGTGCAGGCGTGATTGCTTGCTTGATTGACTGATTGATAGATGGATTGATTCGTTGACTGGTTAGAGAGATAGGCGAGATCTGTCGGTAGATACTGCAGATAGACAGAGAGGCAAGGCACATATGATGGACAAGATGCATGAGATCGGTAAGGTGGGCAAGGTTAGATAGGTAGATCGGTCGATCGATAGATAGATACATAGAGGGAGGAATGGAAGGATGGGCATTTGATCGGCCGACGTCTTACACTATCTGTACACCTTGGCTGACTTCTGAACCCCTCCTAAAGATTAAACTTTTAGCCTATTGTAGTTCATATAGGAACCCCAAAAAGTTAACGTTCTAAGAGCCAACCAGAAAAACGCCGAGACACTACCTGGCCCTTGGGGCTCTGGAACCGAACCATGCACCTATTCTAACCGTTAGGGGCCATACACTAACCTTTGCAACACCGCTGACACCTTTTCAAACCCATGGAAAATCTCGTACAAACTTGCAAGACCAACTCTTGGGAAACCCTACAGTATGATTATGAACCATTTCAAGCCTAGAGCAAATCTCTTGCAAACTCCTCAGAAAACCAGCCAAAGCACACAGTCCCATCGGGTCCACATGTCACAGCTGCCAACTTCACCGTTCCGGCAGTGATGAGACTCGATGTGATCGGCGAAACCCACTCCTGGGGGCTTCTGGGAAGTAGATTTGAGGGTTCCTTCACAGGTTCCTCGAGAGGGTACTTCTCCAAGTTCGGGTTTAGGGCTTGGGGATTTAAGGTTTTATGGTCTAGGGTTCGGGGCTTTAGCGTAGAAAACTTTAAGGTGTAGAGATTTAGGGTTTAGGGTCTAGGGCAGTCAGGTTTCGGGTACGGACTTTGAAGCCCCCACGGCTGGGGTCCGATCAAACCGAATACTTTCTTTTAAACGCTATTGGGGTCGCGAAATGAAAATTAGTAAAGCACCCTGATGTAAAGGACCAAGGACCCTAATGAGCAGGGGCCCTATTTAAAGAACTACCCTTGTGATTGATCATTCACGACACGATGTACTCCACACCCGACTGTCCTAGCTCTGCAGAATTTGACGTCGAGCCCGTGTACCCGTTGAAGGATTAGGTAAAAACTGTAGAGGTGCATGAACCCTTCTATTCCCTTAAACTTATCAGCACAGATTAGTTAGTGCTGAGGCTGTGGGGTTTGCAGGGATCTGGATGCACGGTTTTGAACATACCCTAAGGCTCAAAATGGCCCAAAAGCCTTATATAATATGGTCTTTAGGCCCAAAAGCCTTAAAATATGAATCCTCAGAGCCTTAGGGATAATGTTCACTTAGATGTTAGGGCTCGTCGCTCCGAGTCGCCAGCCCTAAACCCTACTACAGGGGCCTTCATAATAATTGCCTACACCATTTTGGGGGGTTCCTTATCATAAAGTATAGTATAATACACCCCAAAACCCTATTCTAATTATTAAGAAGGGCCCCAAGCTTCAACCTGGACCGCGCTTGACCCTAACCTGTAACCCGCATTGGCCCCAGGATCGTTACAAGCCTCGGTTGTATATGCTATATTGTATATGAACTTAAGGCTTGGGGTATGCACCATAACCGTCTTAGGGCTTATTTGGTGCTTCAGAGGGCCCTCAAAATTAGAGCAGGGTTCTGGGGTAGAGACATGAAGGAAGAACAAGGGGACAGATGCTACTACGGTTGATGATATAAATCCTGCATTACCTTAAGGACCCTAAACTATGGGAATTATGGTATATTCCTTATTATGGGTAACGCAGGATTTATATCATCAACCGTAGCAGTTCCGACCTCTTTCATCAGGACTTTCGCCCACGGACAACCCAGAGACTCCAAGATCCCTTAATTAAGGAATATTCCTTAAATTATAGTAGGATCCCTTAGATTTAAGGTAGATTCCTTAATTAAGGGATATTGGAGTCTCTGACAACATAGGGGCCCGAGTCCTTCGGGTTGCTATTGATAAGCAAAACCGTACAAAAACCCTAGAAATGGGAGTTTCCGAAAATAGGGGACCCCCAAAAATGGTACCCTAAATAGTAGGATCCTTATTATAAGGACCCCTAAATAAGGAACCCCTATTTTCGGAAACTCCCATATAAACTCTCAACCCTGAACTTAAGCCGTAAACCCTAAACCCTAAGCTCTAAACCGTTTAGCCCAGGGACGCCGTAGGGCCTCACCTCTGCGGCCGTTGCTACGAGGCGCCGCATTTCTCGTTGGCCTCGCCTTGAAAGGTCCTTCCTGCCGGGCTGAGAAAGGGGTCTTGGGTTTAGGGTTTAGGGTTTAAGGTTTAGGGTTTAGGGTTTAGGGAATTATTATTAATATTTAAGGGTTTAGGGCTTGGGGGCCTGCAGTGTTTGGAGAGCTTCCGGCGGCTTTTAGGGTATGGTTTTTAATGGCTTTCACGAGGTCTGGATTGGTTTTGTTTCGGCTTTTGGTGTCAGGGCTTGGAGGCCACAATGGAGGGGGTGCCGCTTTATAGGGTTTAGGGGCTTGTTGACGAGATTTTTTCAGGGAAATCCTAGCGGTGTATGAAGTCAAAAAGGGGTTCTGTAGAGCTGTTGCGGGGCTCCAGGCCCTACCCTCCAAAACCGATGTGAACCCCAAGCAGCTGGTTCTGAGGAGTAGTGGCACGAGCCGCACATTCTGAATGCCGTCTGTTTCCGAGATAGGGGGCCCTCATATAGTACCCTAAATAGTAGGATCCTTACTATAGGGACCCAAAATAAGGGACCCCTAACTTTCGGAAACGCCGCTATAGGAGTCTGAAAGGGTCCATGAACCCGAGGCCTTCAATAGGTTGCGAGATGTTTTGCAGAACCTGGTGTGGGCCTCTGACTGAATTAGAGTGCGCGTTCGGAGCACCGGCGGACGGCTGACACAAGCCCTTTGGGGCTTAGGGTTTAGGATTTAGGACAATGTAGGAACATGATTAAGAAACCCTGGGCCTATAACACCAAGTAGTAGGATTCATATAACGGACCCTGATACCCTAATGAAGGCCCAAGGTGTCTTAATCAGGTTCTTACATCAGCCAGGTAACCCGAGCCATGAAGCCGAAATTCCTACGTGCCAGGCCTCGGGCATTGAACCCCAGACCTAAGCCCTAAACCTAAACTCTAAGACTTTAAGGCTCTGAGGACTCATATTTTTAAGGCTTTTGGGCCTAAAGACCATATTATATCAGGCTTTTGGGCCATTTTGAGCCTTCCAGGTAAGGCTCTGAGGACTCATGCTATCGGGCATCTGAGCCCAAAGATCAAGCTGAAGAGGGGCCCTTACCGGTTTGGGGCATTAGGGCGAATGGCAGGCTGAACACAAACACTGAAATCCCCCAGAGTTAACAAGGGTTAGGGTTTAGGGCTTACATGCAAGACCCCAAATCCAAGCTCACGGTCCATGGTGCGACTTTGAAGATTCTGTGCTACTTTGGACGAGTATATAGCTAAGCATGAATTACGGCCCGAACCCTAACCCTAAGGCTCCATGTACCCATATCATTAGTATATACTCAGGCCTTAAAGTATCTGTATGGGGACCCCTTTAAGGCTTCAGTATCTACTATAAAGGTACATGGAGCCTTTGGGTAAGGGATAAGCCGGAGACCTTGCGGGCGCAGCGAGCTTGGCCGCGCCAAAGAGGGCCACGGAGACTCCCGCCAAGGAAGCTGACTGGCGTTGGGGTACCTAGATCTTGGGCTTCAGGGCATTTAGGGGCTTTGGATTTAGGGTTTAAGGTTTAGGGTTTGGTACCTGGATCTTGGGCTTCAGAGCTTTTAGGGCTTTGGATTTAGGGTTTCAGGTTTAGGGTTTGGTACCTGGATCTTGGGCTTCAGAGCTTTTAGGGTTTTGGGTTTAGGGTTTAAGGTTTAAGGTTTGGTACCTAGATCTTGGGGTTCAGAGCTTTTAGGGTTTTAAATTTAAGGTTTGAGGTTTAAGGTTTGGTACCTAGATCTTGGGGTTCAGAGCTTTTAGGGCTTTGGGTTTAGGGTTTAAGGTTTAAGGTTTGGTACCTCGGTTTTTGGGTTCAGTGCTGTTGGGGCTTTGGGTTTCGGGTCTATAGAGTTTGTGGCTATTAGATTCTAGGGGCCTTCTTGTGCCTGTCTGGCTTAGGTTTACCTGGACCCTACAAAACCTTGCAGTTTAGGGCTCCAAAGTCTGATTTCATTATATAGGTCCTTCCCTCTGAGCCGCCACATAAGTCCGAAAGCAATCGTTACCCAAAGGGTCCTAAGCAATTATATAGTAGAATGGAGGGTTTCTATAATAAGAATCATTAACATGATTTGGGCAAGTATCCCCCATAGCAGTACTTTGGACCTTTTGAGTTAAGAAAAGTTAGGGCTTGAACCTCTAAACTGAACTAGACCTTAAACTTAGCTACTTTGTTCAGGGGCCCCCAAAAAACTAAACTGTCAGTTCTATTGGGATAACAAGATTATCCCGAAAAATGTACAGATTTCTCAGATGTCTCACTCAGCTCCTAGGTAAAGACACCGCGAAACACGTTTCTGGCTTGATTATGCTTCATGTTGAACTCCCTTTTCCGACTTCATAGGGTCACCCATAGCCGAAAAAAACCCGCTGAAGGGTTTATGTAAGGTGTGAAGCTTTCCTACACCCCCCAACAACCCTCCAATATACTCCAAATACCCACAAATAAGGGCCATAAGGACTCTATCAAAGGGCCCTTAACCTAAAGCCTAAAACCTAAACCCTAACAAGCCCTAAACCCTAAACCCTATACACCCTAAACCCTAAAACCCCCTCAACCCCTAAACCCTATGCAAGCGAGTCTCCGAGGCTTTCGGCGCAGACCCGCGGCCCGTCCCTGAGATCAGCTGGGCGCGCGCTCCGCGAAGACCATGCGCCCACGCAGGCCCAGCAAAAGCTTGCATAATCTAGGTGTTTCTAGCAGATAGCCTGTGAATACACGCAAGTACGAGTACACGTGTGTGTGTGTCTATATATGTATATGTCTACTATAATTATATATAGAATATATATATATATATATATACAGATGTATGTATATATATATATATGTGTATATGTGACTATGCTTGTAACTGTTGTATTGGTATGTATAGGTACGTATCTATGTAAGTAAATCTGTAGGCTTATATGCATATATGCACGCGTTGTCATGTGCATTATAACCTCATCTGGGTTCCATACTCCTCGTAGCATGAGAGAAGTCATCCAGCCACGGTTGTCGCGCTCCAAAACTTCAAGCTTGAGATGTAAGGTTTCCGCAAGGTCCATGTGCCCAGTTCACAGCACAGAAACTGGCCCCTTGCACCACTCTATCAGAACTCCCTGACACCAAACCCAAGAGACCCCAAATCCAAATCTGAAGCAAACACCTGGGTTTGGGTGTGGTCTTTACCATGTACACATGCACAGTGCATGTTCAGGTTTGCATGCGGTAGAAGCCAGTCATGGGCCCGGATCTGTGATCGAATCTGCCTTATGAAAAACCGCAATCCAAAGCGAGGCCAGAGCCTTGAAAAGAACCCCTAACGGGCCTGGTTTAGGGCTTGGGGTTTAGAGTTGTGAAACGTCTCTACAGAAGTCCTATAAGGGTTGTATACGGGTTCTATGAGGATACTACGATAGGGTATTATACATGTTCCTTCAGGGGCGTCGAGAAATTGAGCAGGGGTCTGGGAATCGAAAAAAGCCGAATAGTGTATAGAGCCCCCCCAACATGAGAATAAGGCTTTTGGTTTATATTCTACTAAAATTACAATCAGGAAACTTACAGTGTAGTCTTGCTACCTACCCAGGCTTCTAAACTACGTGGATCGGAGTAGTACTTCTTGGTGTGAACCCTTTAACCCCTAAACCCCAAAACCCCTGAACCCTAAATCCTAAATCCTTGCTAACTAGTGCTGATGAGGCTCCCTTGGCTCTTTAGCTCCTTATTTAATAGGGGTTCTCATCATCCCTGGCTCCTTAGCTTCTCTAATGTCAAAGGTTAGCTTGGGAAGAAGGGAGGCAAGATCAGCACCGAGATCTTCAGCATGCTGCAGGCCTAAGCCCTTCATCCTACACGGAACCCTAAAACCCTACCAGGATCCCCCACTGGCCCTTTAATGGATCCCTTATGGTCCTTGACGGTGGGTATTTGGGGTATATTAGAGGGCAGTTGGGGGGTTTCAAACCACTAACACCGTAAAGTTCTTCGTGCCTCAGAACTCGTCGTGGTCCGGCGGTGTGGGAGGAATTCCGAGTGCTGCCCTTTCCTGCGAGCGTTTCAGGGCTCAATTTCTGGAAACCCGAGGCTGCTTGTCATCCTCAACCGTAGATACCCTACACTGTGAGCCCGAACCCAGAGACTCCAATATCCCTTAACTATGGAATATACCGTAAATTATAGTAGGATTCCTAAATATTGGAGTCTCTGGGAAGCTAGGATCTTAGGGCTCAGGCTCACGTTTAGGGTTCAATCGCCATGAGTATTCTGCCCTGGTCGCATCACTAGTACAGCAATAAGAACTGCCGTGCAGTTGTGATGACATATAGCCGTGCTAGTGGCAGTGGTCAGTAGTAGCGGCCGCAGGATTGTCACGACTACGTCGATCGCTACAGGGTGCTGGATTACTTAAAGGATCATGGGACTTAGTAAGTAGGTTTTAATTGGGGTTATAAGTCCCTTAAGTGGGGTTATCCTAATTAATTATAACCTACTTTTAACCTTACCTACTGAGTCCCATGAGCCTTTAAGTACGAATCCTGGATTTCGATTGGCGAAGAAGTCTCTTACGATCAAGGGTTCAAACCTCTACTAGCCTGCTAGAATCCGCCTTACGGCAAGGACTAGCAATACACCGTAGTATGTTCAGAGACAATCGAGTGCAGCGCACATATTAAGGAACTTACCATAGCTCATAGCTCTCATCCTATGAGGTCCTTAGCGCCTTAGCGTACCCAGGCTTTCCAAAAAAAACATCCCTATAGTTACTAAGTCCCATGATCATTTAAGTAGGTTTCGGACTGGCGAGTTGAAAAATGCCTATGCGTTTAGGCAATTAACATAGGTCCTAGGTTATCATCTGTAGTCTAGGGTTTCAATAGTAGGAGTCTACATTATGAGACTGAGCCTATCAGATACAACGGGCATAGCAACTTATGCGGGCACCACAACCACCCCTGTAAGACTTCAAACTTGACGCCTAAGCCACAGATCCCTAAACCTGCATATGCCCGTGTTCGAGCTATACTTGATAGTATAGGGATGCCACAGTACGGTACTTACGACGAGACGCGTAACCTGCTCACTATTTAAGCCCAACCATCCTCCAACCCTAAACCCTAAACCCCGAACCCTAAACCCTAAACCCAAACAACTTGAACATACACCCCTGACAAACTTCAAACATGCAGTCCTTCTCGAGCTTCATCTGCTGCAAGTAGGGAACAACAAAGCTCCACATGATCACGGCGATGAACAAGAAAAGCAACACCTGCTCGCTTTAGGGGTTTAGGGTTTAGGGATGAGGGATTAGGGTTTATGGGCCCCCAAAAGGATATTCTCATAAGCATCTTACAAGGATATCGTTGCCTTATGGAGCTTCATTGCAACGGGATGTATATGGGATTTCCCGATCCTAATGTTTGTACATGTGCTGTTTTGGGGCCCTACTGTGACAGTTGGAGGTGTGCTTCCATCCGCCGGTTAATACTCGTGACGCATGCAAGCGTGAAACGAGCACTGGAGAATGTGGGTACGGGCCTCATGATTGTCAAAACCGAGTTCTGGAGGCACCCAACCATCTCAGTGTCGGTTTGGGATTCCAGGATACGGGCAAACTCTAAAACCAACAGCTCTCCCACCCCGAACCTTCGACCCGCAAACCCTGAATCCCAAAACATTCACAAAACTCTAAGATCTGCGGCCTTGTAGACGGAATCGATTTCTCCCGACTGCCTGCAGAAGAACAGCAAGTAGAACAGGACACAAGGGATAGTTGGCTTCGTCATATTGCGTGGATGTGTGTCAAGCGCTTCGGTGTTTCATCCCAGAGCTCATCTGCTGCAGCCCTGGACGCCTCGTGGTACTTCGTCTTAACAATCCTACAGCCTAGAACAAGAGCTTACTTGAAGGCGCATGGTTATCAGTTATCAGTAAGGAAATAATTGGGATAACCCTACTTATAGTCCCGTATAACCCCAATTACAACCCTACTTGCTAAGTCACTTGAGGCCTCAAGTAGGGTGTAGGCGCGTAGGGAGGGCGTATAGAGCCCCTGCATCAAGGAATATTTCTCGAAATTCCTGGAGCGACGAAGCATCCATGGGGGCTCTCTGCGACAAAATCCCAAAATGACCTACAGAACAGCAAAACGCTGAAACCCTCAACCCAAAACTACACCACCAGGCAAACAAGGGCTCGGTTGGGCTCTCCGGCAAACCCCATCAACCCTGAACTCACTTGAAACCCTGGAATGCCAAGAGTCAATCCTACAAAGTCCTATTCAAAAAGCGAGTGCGTCGGCTTGACGAAATCGAAGAACCCCCAACTCAGTCTTTAGTTGAGGGATTCTCGCGGGTCCCCTCACCCCCAAACCCCAAGCCCCCACCCTCGATACCAAAAAACTAAACCCTAAACCCTAAACATCCGATATCTGAAATTCGCAGCCCCGAAACTTTCAGAACTGTAGATCTCAGCCCCGAACTCTAAACCCTAAACCCTAAGTCTACAATCGAAGTAAACCGATCTGGCAAGATGCTCTCTGGCTTTCCTCGCGAGGCAAGGGGTCTGAGGACTGTCAGTTAGTAGTGACGGTTCTTTAAAGGGTTCTTATAAGGGTTTTATAATGGGGGTCGTAGGGTCTGCTTCAAGGGGTCATGGGACGTAGTAGCTCGGGTTATAAATCGTGTACTCACACTTAAGAATTACTACTACTATTCGTATACTGTAAACACCACTCAGCGTACTTGTAACCTTACTCACTAAGTCCCATGATCCTCCGTGAGGGCTCAGGGTTTCGAGATTGCAAACCTAGTGTTTACGTACTCTTTTTGGGACTCTTGTGAGCCTTGGCGATCCATGTCCCTATATAGTCAGTATATTCAAAGGGTTTAGGGTTCAGGATTTGGGAGTTTGGGATTCAGGGTATGGGGGTTTAGGGTTTAGGCTTTCGTGGTTTCGGCATAGGGGGATGTATTCTGCTGGCAGGCCTAAACCATCTATCACAACGGAGAAGACTGCCATCAGTGTACCTGATATTGCACACCACAGGTTCTTTCGTCAAATTCTCAGCCTGTGGAGACCACCTAGCATGTTTGGGGGCTCAGAACATCCGACAACAACTTTCGTCAGGGATCTTCTTCATGCTTGGGGCAGCATCCACCATGTGACCCAGCGCCTCTTACCTAAACCTCAAACCCTAAACCCCAAACCTAAATCCCGAAAGCAAAACTTCTAATCCCTACACCCCAAACCTAAATCCCAAAACATAATCTCTAAACCTTAAACCCCAAACCTAACCTAAATCCCAAAGCATCATCTCTAAAACCTAAACGCCAAACCCTCGACTCCCAGGCCTTGCAGTTCTGGAAACTTCAACCCCAAGCCATATGATGAGCTTGTTGAACCGGAACCGTACAATATAAATCTGGAACCCTTCCAGCTTGCACACTTAACTAGACCTCCCCCTTCAAAGCAGGCCTTAATATATGCCTTAATAATTCGAATCGGGTTTTGGGGTATCTTCTACCATAGCTCTCATAAGGAGCCCGTACAATGATATACACCTAACTACTATACTGAACTTAGAACCCTAGCACAAATTATAAGTTTAGCTGTTTCTTAGGAATTATAAGAACCCCAAAATTAACAGTTATTTCTAAGTACCCCTAAGACTATTAAGGCCCCTGTGTTTAAGCCCATCGACCCCGTGACCTCAAACAGCAACAAGGACAATAACACCATCAACATGGAAATCACGAAGCAAAACCCTGAACCCTAAACCCTAACTTGAAAATATGTCCTGCACCTTTAACACCTGGACGTAAGCCCTAAGGCCCTGAAGCCAAATGTTCCAAACCCTTAACTCCCTAACCCAAGGCCCTGCACCCTGCAAAAAAGTGACCCCACGTTCCCTTAATTATTGTAAGCCTACGTATAAACGACTTACTAAGGCAGGCCCTAACCCCCCCAAAAAAAAATATATAATAATAAATAATGATAATAATAATAATAAATAAATAACACAACACGTCCTGATCAACTCCCGGTCGGCCCGTATCTGCGCCGCCGAGCGCGTGCGAAGCGCTCTCATGGCCTTCCGAGGAGCTACTTGAAGGCTCCTGCAACTTAGTAAGTCAGGTTATAAGTAGGTTATAATTAGGATAACCCCACTATAGACAGAAGACAACCCCCCCCAGGACAATAGCCTAAATTGGTTTTAGGTGCAGGGTTCAAGGTGTGCTGGAGTTCAGGTTTCCGTGTCTAGAGTCACCCCTTGTCGAGCGCAGTTTCTAGTTGTATCATGTACCCTAAACCCTGAACTTTAAACTCCCAAACTCTAAGCATACAAGGACTTAACAAAAGTTACAAGACCTCATAGGGTTTCTGATATACCAGCAAAGCTTTTGGGGGGTTTCGAGACTCCCTTAACCTTTAAGCTTAAAGCGTTAAACCCTAAATAAAGCGCAAACCCATAGCCTGAAACCAAGATCCCTAAACACGTGAGCCCTAACACCCCTAAACCCTGAACCCCTAAACTCCCAAATATCCTTAAACCCCCAAACCCCCCAAACTCCTACAGATCCCTTAAAGGAACCCTGAAAGGATCCCTTTAAGGAACCACCAAAACTGTGCTCAAAGGCTCATGGGACTTAGTAAGTCAGGGTATAAGTAGGTTATAATTAGGATAACCCCACTTAGGGGACTTATAGCCCCAATTATAACCTACTTACTAAAAGTCCCATGATCCTCTAAGTACCCCTAAACTACCCCTTCTAGAACCCCTATATCGATCCCTTACAGGAGCCCTTGAAAGGAACCTACTTACTAAGTCCCATGATCCTAAATTCCTACAGATCCCTTAAAGGAACCCTGAAAGGATCCCTTCAAAGAACCCCCAAAACCGTACTTAAAGGATCATGGGACTTAGTAAGTCGGTTCTAATTGGGGCTATAAGTCCCCTAAGTGGGGTTATCCTAATTATAACCTACTTATAACCTGACTTACTAAGTCCCAGGAGCCTTTAAGCACAGTTTTGGTGGTTCCTTAAAGGGATCCTTTCAGGGTTCCTTTAAGGGATCTGTAGGAGTTTGGGGGGCTTGGGGGTTTAAGGATATTTGGGAGTTTAGGGGTTCAGGGTTTAGGGGTGTTAGGGCTCACGTGTTTAGGGATCTTGGTTTCAGGCTATGGGTTTGCGCTTTATTTAGGGTTTAATGCTTTAAGCTTAAAGGTTAAGGGAGTCTCGAAACCCCCCCAAAAGCTTTGCAGGTTTCTCTGGGGCTGGTATATCAGAAACCCTATGAGGTCTTGTTGCTTTTGTTAAGTCCTTGTATGCTTAGAGTTTGGGAGTTTAAAGTTCAGGGTTTAGGGTACATGCTACAACTAGAAACTGCGCTCGACAAGCGGTGACTCTAGACACGGAAACCTGAACTCCAGCACACCTTGAACCCTGCACCTAAAACCAATTTAGGCTATTGTCCTGGGGGGTTTGTCTTCTGTCTACTTGGGCTCGGCCATGAGCCCTGCTGTGACATCTTCGGTAGCGGTGGCATCGCTTCCTCTTCCGTCGCATGCCGCCTCCGCGACTTGTTTGATGTCCTGCGTGGCTTGTGTAGAGAGCGCCCGTAAGGCCTGGGTGTTGGCCACTTGACAGGCTAAGCCTTTCTGTTGTGCCTCCTCACTTTTTGCCAAAACCCCTGACTTTGCGGCCAGGGCCATTTGAAGTTTGAAGCAACCACTGCTGTGCTGTGGGCACAGCTGAGAAGCGGCGGGTTTGGCTTTGCCTGCCGTCTGGGGATGTCCATGTCGCAACCCACCACCCTGGGCTGCATCCGGCACAATGCGGCCTTCGGTGCTATCGACTTTGGGCACTAGGCCTTGTTCCACTTCCGATACCTTGCCTTGAAAGACTGCCTGCACCAGCAGGTCGTATTGCTTGGCGATGGTGGCCTGGGTGCTTTTGGGCGTAAGGCCGTGCTTGCACAAGAATGTGAGCCGGGCAGCCTCGTTGGGAAGGGAGTCGAAATAGCCTAAGACTAAGATCGCCTCCAAGATCTTGTCAAAGGCATAGGCCGTAGTTTCGGCCCAATCGGCTGATTCCTTGCCGAAGGGAAACTTCCGGCGATGGCCGGGACTTAGTAAGTCGGTTCTAATTGGGGCTATAAGTCCCCTAAGTGGGGTTATCCTAATTATAACCTACTTATAACCTGACTTACTAAGTCCCAGGAGCCTTTAAGCACAGTTTTGGTGGTTCCTTAAAGGGATCCTTTCAGGGTTCCTTTAAGGGATCTGTAGGAGTTTGGGGGGTTTGGGGGTTTAAGGATATTTGGGAGTTTAGGGGTTCAGGGTTTAGGGGTGTTAGGGCTCACGTGTTTAGGGATCTTGGTTTCAGGCTATGGGTTTGCGCTTTATTTAGGGTTTAATGCTTTAAGCTTAAAGGTTAAGGGAGTCTCGAAACCCCCCCAAAAGCTTTGCAGGTTTCTCTGGGGCTGGTATATCAGAAACCCTATGAGGTCTTGTTGCTTTTGTTAAGTCCTTGTATGCTTAGAGTTTGGGAGTTTAAAGTTCAGGGTTTAGGGTACATGCTACAACTAGAAACTGCGCTCGACAAGCGGTGACTCTAGACACGGAAACCTGAACTCCAGCACACCTTGAACCCTGCACCTAAAACCAATTTAGGCTATTGTCCTGGGGGGGTTTGTCTTCTGTCTACTTGGGCTCGGCCATGAGCCCTGCTGTGACATCTTCGGTAGCGGTGGCATCGCTTCCTCTTCCGTCGCATGCCGCCTCCGCGACTTGTTTGATGTCCTGCGTGGCTTGTGTAGAGAGCGCCCGTAAGGCCTGGGTGTTGGCCACTTGACAGGCTAAGCCTTTCTGTTGTGCCTCCTCACTTTTTGCCAAAACCCCTGACTTTGCGGCCAGGGCCATTTGAAGTTTGAAGCAACCACTGCTGTGCTGTGGGCACAGCTGAGAAGCGGCGGGTTTGGCTTTGCCTGCCGTCTGGGGGTGTCCATGTCGCAACCCACCACCCTGGGCTGCATCCGGCACAATGCGGCCTTCGGTGCTATCGACTTTGGGCACTAGGCCTTGTTCCACTTCCGATACCTTGCCTTGAAAGACTGCCTGCACCAGCAGGTCGTATTGCTTGGCGATGGTGGCCTGGGTGCTTTTGGGCGTAAGGCCGTGCTTGCACAAGAATGTGAGCCGGGCAGCCTCGTTGGGAAGGGAGTCGAAATAGCCTAAGACTAAGATCGCCTCCAAGATCTTGTCAAAGGCATAGGCCGTAGTTTCGGCCCAATCGGCTGATTCCTTGCCGAAGGGAAACTTCCGGCGATGGCCGTCATAAACAGCGGCCACGTGCTTACCGCACCGGGAGATTTTGCAGAGGGTACTTGGAGCAGGCGTGACTGGAGCTGCATTGCCATTGGCGTCGGCTGTGGAGTCGGGAGTCAGGTCGCAGGGGCGTCAAATGCAGCTGCGCAGAGCAAACGCCGTTGCAAGTGTCATGTGCTGCGCTGTACTGTAAATGAGTATTACTGTCGACTATACTGTGCTGTATGCAAACTGTGGTGTATTACGCTATGCTGTGTGGTACTGTACTCTGTGCTGTGCTGTGCTCTGTGCTGTGTGCTGTGTGCTGTGTGCTGTACTGTGCTCTGTGCTGTGCTGTGCTGCACAGCACTTCGCTGTATTGTAGCGCATTGTAGTGTACTGTGCTGTTCTGTGAATGCACTGTGCTGTGCAGTGCTGTGCTGCGCTCTGCTGTACTGTGCTGTAATCACGCAATCATCCATCCAGCCATCACAACCATCCAACATGCCATCCAGTCAGTTCATGCTATTGCATTGATCGTTCACCCATTCAGGCTTGTTCTCAACAGTTCGCAGCAGTTGTCACCAGCTCTCGCCAGTTCCTGTCTCCGCAGTTCCCAGCACGTCTCAGCACGTGTCAGGTGGTATTAGTGACAATAGTAGTTGTGGTAGTGGTAGCAGCAGTAGTCGTCGTCGCCGACATAGCAGCACCAGATTTAATGAGTAGTAATAGTAGTAGCAGCAGCAGCAGCAGCAGCAGTAGTAGTAGTAGTAGTAGTACTACTACTACTAGAGTAGGAGCAGCAGTAGGAGCAGTAGTAGGAGTAGCAGTAGGAGAGCAGCAGCAGCAGTAGCAGCAGCAGTAGCAGCAGTAGTAGCAGTAGCAGCAGTAGTAGTGGTAGTGTTGGTGGTTGGGGGGGGAACGTAGGCTTTTCTGGACCTTTCGAATTTTAAGACCTATGTTCTGAATCATAGAAATACAGTTTACGCTGGAGGCGGCAGCGTATTGAGTAAGGCGCAAGCTTCAGTTGCAAAGGCCCTGGGTTCAATCCTGGATGTGTCGGTTAAGAAAGCTGCTGAGACTCTGGGACTGTCGTAGATGAATGTAGTTTTCTAAACATAAAGTTCGCTCGTACCCCAATTATCACCCTACTTATAAACGACTTACTAAGTCCGCTGCCCCTCCAAGTAAGCCCCTCAGCTCTCGGGGGTTGGAGATTGCTTTCAGGCAATATCTCAGAACTTTGGAAGGATCTAAAGACCAGATCCCCTAACTTGGGGCCCAAATAACCTACCTTTTAGGGACTTATATGAGGAACTCATACTAAGGAACCCTACAAGGGTAGGTTCTTTGGGGTCCAGGTAAGCCCTAAACCACTACTTGGAGGCCCTTTTGACTTAGTAAGTCTACTTAGTATCCCCTAGAAACCCTATTAGCAACCCCATAACCCACCTTACTAACCCTACTTACTAAGTCAAAAGGGCCTCCAAGTATGGCCACTGAACCTCGAGAAGCGCCTGGAAGAGCTGCCAAAAGAAGGGAGCAGCGGCGGCCGAGGCTCCCAGAGACTTCTCAACCCGATAATCGAAGAATATGCTGCTTTTCGTCTTTAGAAGAAGGCCTAAGTACTCAAAAAGAATGATCTTTAGTTCAACTGGTGTGTGAAGATTTTGGATTCTGGCGTAGGAGCTGAGGTCATAAACTGCAGTCACTCAACGGTCGTACTGTAATTTGAGCTGATGTATCGCAACATACGCCAAGATGTGCTAGTACATACTTTGGTGTATTAGCTTAAGTTGCTTGCCAGAACGCCCTCCGGCTTGAGCCAGAGCTGGTAGTTGGGGTTGGATCTTGGGGGAAACTGCGGGGGACCTTGATGCTTAGAACAGGGTTTTGTTGTTGTACATTCTCATATGGGGTTGGTAACACTTCCAATCTCGGTAGTAATTCGGGTCCGATCGAGCTTTGCCGTTCCGAGTTTCTGGCTCGGGCTCCCATAAGGTGTTGTCGGGTTCCGTAAGCTGTTGTAGATATTGACTTTCTTAATGGCGTTTAGGACCCATGGGGTTTGAGCCGGGTTAGGAGCTGGGTTCGTAGTGTGCTCGTGGAGTAATAGTAAGGAACCCCAAGCACTAAACCCCTAAACTCTAGGTGCAGGCGGTATGCTATACCACCGCACCGAAAACACTGGATTTTCATCCCGAGCTATTACCTACGTTTCAGCTTCGATGGAAACAGAAATATGACAAGGGTACCAAGAAAGCCCTGCAGAAAGTATTTTTCGCGAGGGCTGCTTTGGACCACTGCCCAGGGCTACGGTGGGCTTCAGAAATCGAATCCACAAATGGAACCCTAATCTAGCAATATCCTCAATATCAAGGCGACCACATAGAGAACCCATTCAAAGGGAAGCCCGGGCATGCTCGGCATGCTAGGGCTGCCGTGCACCTTTGGGTTTAATTTAAGGTTTGTGTAGGGGTCTTCGGTTAGGCTTTGGGATGTGGAGGGGGGTTTAGGGGTCTGAGGTTTAGGGTTTACGGGCCTAGGGGTTCAGGGGTTTTAGAGTCTAGGATTTAGGGCCAAGTTTACGGCTTTAGGGATAACGGTTCGGGTTTAGGGTTGTATTCAGCGGTGCCTAGTAGGACGACGCGATGCTGCAAACACCTCACACATCAGAGTGTTATTGGATGGAGTTGGGTCAACCCTACATCAACCCAATCGAAAACTATAAACCAACATGTGATATCTATGTTTACATCTATCTATATATATATATATATACATACGTGTTTGTGTGTGTGTATATACATATGTATATATATATATATATATACGTACATATCTATATTAAATATGCGTGTTGTGCAGGGTTGCATTGCCACTCTCATCAATATTCCTAACGGCAATAATAAACCGTAATCCCTAAACCAAAGCTTAAGCCCCAACCTTGAACCCTAAAGCTCACACCCTATAAGCCCTAAACACGAGAACCTTAAGCGCTATCCAAAAAAAACGTAATACAGACCCCTCCTCAAATGAAACCCTATAGAGCCCACAAAATCCCTGTCTGAACCCATACAGTGAAACACAAACCGTTGATATACCTACGGAAACCTGCAAGCCTTACATTAAAACCCGAAACTCTGGAAATCCTCAACCCCTGAATCCTAAGTTCTAGAATCCTAAACCCCCAACTCCCAAACCCCAGAAGCCCTACCACCGCAATCCTAAACCTTAAACCCTACTTAAAGGATCATGGGACTTAGTAAGTAAGGTTATAAGTAGGTTATAATTAGGGTAACCCCACTTAGGGGACTTATAACCCCAATTATAACCTACTAACTAAGTCCCATGATCCTTTAAGTATACCTAAACCGCAACAGCCAGAGGGAGGAGGACAACCTGCCGACTGCTGGGCTTGGGCAACTCATCCTTGGTGCTGCCGAAGTTGCAAAACAGGTCGTGGAGTGGGTTTAGGGTTTAGGGTTTAGGGCTTGGTTATTATAATCCCTAAGAAACAGCTAAAATTCAAATTTGTTGCCAGGGTTCTAAGTTCAGTATAGGTTCAGGATACAGTAGAAGCCAGAAAGTTGGAACATGATTATCCTCATGCCCTTAGGGTAAAGTGTAAGGGATCCTAGCACTAATCCTCCTAAAGCCATGTTCCAACTTTTTGCCTTCTACTGTAGACGTCGGGGTTTCGGGGCTAGGGGTTCAGGGTTTAGGGGTTAGGTTTGCAACCAGGACCGCCCAAGGGTAATAGTGGGTCTTTGGGTGTTATTAGAGGGCTGTTGGGTGGTCTAGGTAAGCTTAGAGGTTTAGGGCTTAAGGTTTAGAGGTTCAGGGTGTAGGGTTACCTGTTTAAGGTTGAGGGCTTACGGCTTACGGAGTTTATCGTTTATGGCACTACCTTGCACAGGAGTCTGCACAGCAAGGATCCTACGATACAGCGGGGTTTGATCCGCTGCGGTGGGGACGGGATGTAGGGTTCTGCGTGCTTGTGTTGTGTCTTTCTTTGGGGCTCTGGGATCGGCAGCTCCTCGGGTTCTGGGGATTTGGAGCTCTAGGCAAATACAAATAAGTAAGAGCAGTAACAGCAATGAGAATAGCCATAAAAGATGATGGTAGGAATAATGGCAACCAGAATAATTGTAAGGTTGAAGGGAGAAAGACTGTCTGGTTCTTAATAGGGAATTGGGGGAATGGATCCCTATGATCGTCCCTTATAAGTTCCCTTATAGTCGGGTTGCACAGTTCCAGGTCTGAGGACCTGCAAGAGATCTTCAGTGTTTAACCACCCTATAAAACGTGGCTGGAGGATGGAGGCTAGGGTTTGAAAGACGAAGTTCCTCACTAATCCTTCAATAATGAGGGTACCGTGTTCCCTACTACAAACGACCCTAAAACAAACAGGGCAAAACGGTACTACTTAGGGGTTTTTAAATCTATCAAAGCCCTACACAAGCCCTAAAGCAGCACTCGGCCTTTAATTCTTGTTATCATGTAGCAAAACACTGGGCGTGCGGAGGAGAAAGGTCTAGAGTATACTAAGTTTAGGCTTTAGGGACCCTTGGAACCAGTGCTGAACCCTAAACTCCTACAGTGAACCCCATGAAGTTGGAAACCTGATTAAGGCCAAATAGTGCTGGGATTCCCTATACAGTACTCTTAAGGATTAAGGCTATGGAGTTTCCAACTTTTGGGCTTCTACTGTAAACCCAGAAGCCCTAAAACGGGGGTTCGGACCTCCTGCACACACTCAGATTTATCTCCCCTCATATCGTTCACATCTTCGGGTCTAGGGTCTACGGTCTTGGGTTTATCGACAAGACAGATCACGAATGCTGACACCACGCCGGATACCGCTATGACAACTGCACTAAAGCTTAGAGACCACAGTCTTAAGGCACCATGTTCCAAAGCGTGAGGCTCCAAGCTCATAGTCCAGGATCCCCAGAGTCACCATAAATGATAAAGCATTTAGGGTTCAGGGTTTC